TTCAAAGGCAACTCAGCAAATTTGTTATAAAACGATTTTATTCGGCTATATAAGGAAATCCAAACCTTATGAAGTTTATGAAAGCCTCGAGTACAAATACCAAATAAATGGCTGTCCGAGAAAACAAACCTTCTGAAAAATTCTATGTCCCAAATGTGGCATTAACAAAAAAGCCTGCACCTACTGTACAAATAGGTCTATTATAAAAAAAGGGCAAAACATTTAGAGCATTCTCACCAATCTGCCGTTTTTCCAATCATATCAATTGAAACACCTTTACAAAACGCAGACGATGTCGAGGCATGTCGAGTTCTGTGAGCAGTAAAAATAGAAGTGTAGACACCACTATCTTCTAAAGTTATCTTTATTCATCTGCTTTTGTTGGGTATAGTTGCTGCCCTACAAGGCTTTTTAAATGTAATGAGTAAACGAGATTCACTGCCTCTTAAAGCACTGGTCCTCTCAATAATATATTTGAAAATACACAAAGATTTACATCTTCATATTTATGCAAAATTAAAAACGGGTCGAGTCTTATTTATAGCTGAAATCTTAATTTGATTCGTTATTCTAATTTCTAATCCATCTGGAAATGATTTTATGTTGACCAATTCTATAAGAGAGAGCGTTTGGACTCTATGTACAATCGTTAACTTCAGTAGGAAAACTAATTTAATTGTTTTAATGACAGTTAATTTCTTTAATGACAAGTCATTAGAACGTAATCCTTTTACAAAATCATGGACATAACTAGGGCCCCAAGTGCTGTTATATCTTGGTTTACTTGGCCTTAGATTACAAACACCTTAAAAAACCTAGTTAGATTTGCATTGTTAAATAATTCTGATCCAAAAATAAGGCTGTACTGCTCTGAAAGAACTCAATGAGCCATAGGACTTGCCTTGTCCAAAATGAATAGTAAGGAAATCTAATACAGCCTAGGTGAGAAGTAATAACACTCCACTCCCCTCCTTTCGTAGAAGCTCCACCAAAGTTTAGATGCATGCAGGTATTAAATGCCTCAAGGTAGCGCTCTGAACAGATGATAGAAAAATATCCAGCAAATCTTCTGGAATGCTTGCCTAACAAAATCCCTGCAGCCAGGGTAAGGAATTTCCACAAAGGGTGACTTCTCCTGTCAAAAGGAGAAGGTAATTTGTCTGGAATTAAAAACAATAAATAACTGCAAGGCCTCCCATCAAAAATAGGAAACCAATGCTGGCTGTGCCCGTAAGGGATTACTGCGATCCCTGTAGTTCAATCAGCCTTGATTTTTCGTAAAACCCGTGGCAACAAGCAAAACGGGGGGAAAACATAGAAGAAAATGTCGCTCCAAAAAACAGTAAACGCGTCCACATTAGATGCCTCCGGATCTAGAAATTAGGAAATAAACTTTCTGCATTTCTTACTTAGGCGAGAAGCAAACAGTTCGATTTATGGGAATCCCAATTTGCTTGTTATTTTAGCAAAAGCATTGTCCGAAAGGTACCATTCACCATCAAAATTCAAATTCGTAGGTTCCTTATCCCCTTCAAAATCAGAAGATCGAATGTAAGATGCTTTAACCCATAACCTCCTTTCTTCGCACCATTTAACTTCCAAAAACGCTGAAAAAAGCTGAAAACACCGACGCCGAATAAAAATGAACATGTGCCACCAAAGCACAAAAAGAGGAATGAGGTTAAGACCATAGATGGCGAATATACCGTCCATGGTAAGTTATTCCACAGTTTTTGGCTCTGCTTTAAAGCTGTGGTGCCACCTAGCGACTAGAAGGGGGACTACGTATATTGATTTCATAGAAGAGGTGTAACATATAATAAAATATATATATATATATATATATATATATATATATATATATATATATATATATATAAAAGTATATATATAAAATAATTTACTTTTTTATTCCGTAAAAAAGTGAAATCCTAGGGTAAAGAAGTGAAAAAAAAATTGCTCAGACTTTTTTGAGTGAAATCTTCGTCTTTTCGCCAGAAAACTGCGTTGTCCGAACATCCAGCTATCATCGTTATGCTCTATGTGCCTGGATATCGCCGTTGCATTTCCTTAATGTCCTGGTGAAACCTCTCTCCCTGTTCTTCACTTACAATAAAACAGATATGGCTGGAAATTCCATCAAGCCAAGTTTGATAAGAGGAGGCAGTAAAACTCTTTTGGGGTCAACTAAGCTACTTTTTAATACATTTTTGCTACCAGGTGTAAGGCTTGTTCTAAAGGGCAATTCTATCCTACTATCCTACTCACAAATAAAGCATGGACATTTTGTATAAAACCCTATTGTTCGAGGAGCAAGCACAGCACTTTAAGGTCATCAGCATCCACTGATGGTCTTGGTAGTTTATTTCAAAAGGAGTAGGACTTCTTTCTTTTAAATGTAACGGGGACTACGCTTACTTTATATACGGCTCATTTCCTAATTTTCAAACTAAGTCATGAATATTGTTGCAAGCTGTCCTTCGTATGTAAAATATTGACATAACTCTTTTTCGCGATCCCAGTAAAAGCTTGATGTGCCGTCAGGTGCCAATAAATGTTGGTCACGAAGTCTTCGGAAGGTGCAAATCTCTAATTAAATCATTTAATTCGCTATGGTTAAACACTTCTCTGAAATCTGGTGTCTGGGTCGGAATTAGATTCATCTGATTCTGAAGATATGACGTTTTCTAGTTCTTTTGGCGCGGTAGGTATTGGTACATTGGTACATCTGGTCCATGAGGGACTGGTCGAATAGCAGAATACCAAATTCATAAAAGTCAATTCATTTCAAAATCGTGCCTAACAAAAACAGACATTTTCACGTCATAGTATATTAATAAAATAATATTTTTAAGACATATACCGCTATAAAAAATGGACAAATGACCTTCAAAAATATATAAATAAGCAAGTGTTATTTAAAACTAACCTTAGTGGGGTAAATTTGCCGGATTCAGAAAAGGCCCTAAACATCGTTTCTTTTTTAAATAATTCCTATTAGTCACCCACATGAGTTTCACAGAATAAAATGTTATCGGCGGAGAGAAGGCGCTAGAAATTATTTTCCTGTTGTCAGATACGGGCGTAAGTTATGTTGACGTTTAGTTTTGGTCGTTATTTTTTCAAGTAGCTTTCTAAAAGACGTTTAAACTGCATCATGTATATGTACAGGACGGGCAAATTTGGATGATTCTTTAGAGGATCCTGACAACTAAAATAACTATGGCAAAATGGATTGTATCATTTACATCGCATTTTTTTCAATAATGAGACTAGATCTCGCTGTAGCCTTTTTTTGGGTTATGCAGGGTGACTTAAAAATATGAATTAATGACGGATTCTTTGCGAAAAATATTACGACGTAATTAATCATTTTCACGACCAGTTTCGAAAATACTGGGTATTGAACTTTAGCTAATAAATAACATTTTTATTTATAAATGTCCCAGTTTTTTACTTTAAATATTTTTTTCTCTCTTGTATATTTTTGTATTAATTAACACATTAAAACATGATCATAAGTAAACAATACTCTTTTATTTTAATTGGAAATAACAAAAAATTCTTAAGTATTTGTGTTTTAATGATAATTTTACAAATTTAATTTAAATGTTCTTCGCACTCTTATTATTAAAACACCTAATTTATATATATATATATATATATATATATATATATATATATATATATATATATATATATATATATATATATATATATATATATACCATGGTATATATATATATATATATATATATACCATTACGTACCAAAAAAAATTTCTTCTAGTAACGAAGTTACCTATTAGGTTTTGCTGTGTCCACATACTAAGTTTCAACGTTTCAAATTCTCATCTTCCCAACATAAAAAAATGGCGTCAAAGAGAAATAAAATTATAAAAATATGTTCGAAACTTTTACTTAGGACGTTGTCGGTCTCTTTTCAGGGTCCAAATTTTAGCAAATAGGACAAGACTTAAAATAGTGTCCTCACACAGTAAATTTAAAATTTTTTCAAAATAAATGTTTTTCTGGCAGAAAAAATGATGTTGCGCTGCATTTATTAAACTGGACACATTCAGAATTACAGTTTTTACACCTTTGGTTATTATAAAAACATTTGTCCGCGCCTGTCAATAAATTATTTCGACGAAACTAACGGATCAATCCAAAACTGTTCCGCAAAATTTCGCCGCTTGTCGGCCGGGGCACGGCGGTAGTAGGCGCACCGGTTGACACTCCTACCTACCGGATGTCGTAAAATCGAACCCAGCGTTTTACGCGCACTTTAATCCCCACGGGGGCACTCGCCACCCGACGTACCGTATATTATTCCCGTCCGATTCGTTTTGTTGCCAGTTTGTAGGTATTTTGAGCCCGCGCCCCATTTTCCGCCGGGCGACCCTTTGAAGTGCCCCGCAAAGGAGTCTCGAGCACTTTCGGAAGTAGAAACGCTTAACACAAATTCGGTGTCGGCACATCGCTATATGTCACGGAGCCGGAATGGCGGAGGGTGGAACGTAAACAGCGTCGCAAATTTCGCGTCGCACGGTATATAATAATAACAAATCTTGAATCTAAAATATGTCTAAAAGGGCAACATTTTACTGATCTTAAAATCCTCTTTTCGTTTTAACATATGTCGATATTGAAAAGAAAGATATATTTGTTTTTTTGTTTCATATTTATTAACCAATGCAGGTTCATTGTATTGATTCATAAAGAATCGGAAAATGTCCCCTTAGAGGGCGCTCGTTTCGGCATATTATGTGTAATGTATAAGTGTATAAGTGCTATTCTTGGTAATTGTTTGAGCATCTATGCATTAAAAATAGCAGTTTAGATAATGTTAAATAATATTGAGGTAATCCGATCGTAGTTTTCTTATTGCCGATTGTAGCGTAACTTCTTATGTTAAATTCGCTAGATAGTTTATGTTCGATTCGCATAGAGCCTTATTTATAAATGACTATGATATTAACAACAAATAAAGCCCAAATATAAATTTTTATGGCATTTATTTCTTTTCAAACGATCTACATTCTAAGGTACTCGGTCCCGTTATCGAAGTTCTCCCATGACCTGAAACAACGACGCACCTTAAAACAATCACCCTCCGCGTTCATCACCCAGAACCGAATACCTTTTCATTGCGGCCCAAATCCAAAAGCCCTCGGCCCTTGCTGTCCCTTCCAAAACCAGTTTGACAGTTGACGCTGACCCTGCGAGGTCTGTTGCAGCTGCCGCTCCTGGTTCTGAAGCTGCTGCTGCAACTGCTGAATCTGCAATTGGTTAGCCAGTTGTTGCTTTATGAGTTGGCCCTGTTGGATGCTGAGTCCCTGCTGCGCTTGCTGGTTCGGCTGGGGATCGGCCAGACCCAACTGCTCTTGGGTCACCAACTGTCTTAGTTCCTGATTGATCAGTTCTTGTTGGAAAGCGAGCTGTTGGTTTTGTCTCTGCTGCTGGCTGATTTGCCTGTAAAACGAAACCGTTAATCCGATACGATACGAATTCTCTATGTTACTCACTGCAGGGTGTTCTGGATGCCGCTTAGAATCTGTTGAGTGTTGGGGTTAGGTTGTCCCAGAGCGAAGTTGCCTGCCGCGAAGTTCTGCCGAATTTGTGCTTGCTGTAACTGAGCTACGGTCTGCTGAGCGATCTGAGCCAATTGTTGAGCTTGCTGTTGCGCGATAGGGTTCTGTTGCTGCTGGGATTGCTGGATAGCTTGATTGGCTACCTGACTGAGCTGTAACGCGAGCTGGATCTCTTGAGCGATGATCTGGGAAGCCGCGAGGTTCGAACCCGACTGCTGAGCCGTTTGCCTAGCTAGCTGTTGGAGTTCTTGAGCGGTGCGCGTCTGCAGAGCTAAGTTTTGAACCTGTCCTCCGCGGTTAACGCTCTGTTGCAATTGCTGTTGCACCTGTTGCGCCAACTGCTCGAGCTGACTCGCTTGGCCGATCTGCTGCTGAGCCTGAGCTCCCAAGAACGGACCGCCGATGTTCGATTGTTGCTGCAGGCTCGCGATAGTCTGGGCCACTTGCTGTTGCAACTGTTCGATTTGTTCGATTTGCTGGGCTTGCTCGGCTTGCTGCGGACCACCTTGGAACGCGAACGGGTTCGGTTGTTGCTGTTGTGCTTCTTGCGCTTGTCGAATGGTTTGCTGAGCCAACTGTTGCAATTGCTGGGCGATCTCTAGCCGTTGAACGTTCTGAGCTGTTTGCTGAGCCGGGGACTGACTCCACGGGTTCTGTTCCGCATTAAGTTGTCCGACGGTTTGCTGGATGAGTTGCTGCAGTTGTTGCGCTTGCTGGATTTGTCGCCACGCATTCGGATTCCCAGCTGCTGCGGTGCCTTGCAATTGCTGAACGTTCTGCTGTACCAACTGTTGTAGTTGCTGAGCGCGTTGAATCTGCTGAGCGTTCTGAATAGCCTGCGGTTTCTGAGATTCCGGGTTGGCACCGTTCAACTGCTGCTGCAGCTGTGCGAGAGTCTGTCGTTGCTGTTGTTGCAGCTGACGCGCCTCTTGAATCTGTCCTTCCGTATTGATACCGCGAGCGATTCCAACGGTCTGTTGAAGACGCAATTGCTGTTCGGCCTGTTGAGCTAGCTGTTGCAACTGCTGAGCTTGCTGGATTTGCTCGATGGCATTCAACACGAGCTTATTTTGGGGTCCGTTCTCGAGAGCCTGCTGGACCTGCTGTTGCTGGATTCTTTCATTGATGCTTTGCAATTTCTGGACTCCTTCGCCTTGTTCGAGGTTGTTGATCTGTTCCAAAGCGTCGAGGATCTGTTGGGTCTGTTGCTGAACCTGTTGTACACTTTCGAGCTGTTGCTGCTGTTGTCCTACAGCTCCTCCAATCGATCGCTGCGAGTTTTGAGCGTTCCTCAACACTTCCGCAACCACCTGGTTGACTTGACCGTTCAAAGCTGCCTGGTTGACTTCGTTCACCAACTGAGCGAACGTACCCTGGTCTATCACTCCCTGGTACTCCCTGAAGATGTTGACGAGTGTCTGGAATTGAGCGTTGGCGGAAGCTTCGTCTGAAGGCGCGACTTCTTCAACTGCTGCCCATTGTACTTGGACGTCTTTGACGATCTTCTGCTGGCCATCGACGTGGACGACCCTGGTCGATCCGGAATTGGACTTGGCAACAACGCGAACGCCGTTAGGTGAAGCACGGGTGATGACAACCCTTCCGGAAGGATTGCTGACGACTATGGTGGGTCCGGATCCGATCCTGACGTCGATTTGACCGTGGAACAAGGGCACTGCTGCAGCTAAGGCCACCAGGGCTAGGAAGATCGCAGACTTCATCTCGAATGTCGAAGTGGTCGGTCGATTGTGATTGTCGGTAGGCTCGGGGGGTCCTTTTATATACCGACGAAGTATATGCAACAGCCGATTTTTGTTGCATGTAATGCCGATTAATTTTTTATCTGCTCGACGCGCGAAAATATATTTTTTTAATTGGGACTGCACTATTAATAAGTTATCGCGGTGACCGCATGGGTCGTTGGTCGCCGCGGTGTTATCGCCAGCGCAGGGATAATTAAAGACCGTTTACCTATCGTCGGAGACGTTTCATTTGGCACGTATATGAAGATTTCTTTGCCTATAGAGGGAGCGTTTCCTTTTGAGCCCCCAAAATCGCTACGTTGTTTGCCTGATCGGGGGAATTTTCTTCGAATCTATGAACCTGGCACGTTTTTATATGAAGCTCTACAAAAAGTGATTGCTTTGAACTTTTCTTTATATAGCAATATAGCAAATGAAGTGGTATTTTTCTAAAATTCCGCAAATTAGTATATTATGCAACAAGTGCGGTAAACGGCATTTGAGTCACGAGTTTATTTGTCAAAACGTCAAAATTCAAAGGTTGGGAAATATCTCCGAAAACATCCGATTGCTTTCAAATCCGTGCTGTAAAATCCCGGGAAACGAAACTGACGTGGTAAAGTGACGCTTCCCGCACGCTAGATCGATGAGTAATTTGGTATTTTACAGACGGGAGTGGAAAAACTTAATTAACACATTATAGGTGTATACAAATTCTCAGATCGGATCGACATTATTTTGATAGGTTTTATGACAACTGCTTAGGAAATCGACTGTTTTTAAATATTGACAAGTTCAGTAAATTAAAAAATGTATTTGTTTATTGGACACGAGCGGGGTGCGGCGGAGCGGTACAATCCCGGAAATGTCTGAAGTGGCCCGGATTCGTGGGAACTGAAACGGACGCGGTAAAGTGAAGGTTCCCGCACGGATCGGTGTGTAATTAGGTATTTTACAGAAGGGAGTAGAACAAATCTATTTCCTATTTTTAAAGTATGGACATCTGTTCGAAAATAGTATATTATGCAACAAGTGCGGTAAGCGGCATTTGACTCACGAGTTTATTTGACACGAGCGAAGCGCAGAGGAGCGATTGTGACTTAAAAAGTTTACCGCACGAGTTGCATACTTGAATACTTTTTCTACTCCCGTCTGTAAAATACCTAATTACACACCGATCTAGCATGCGGGAAGCGTCACTTCGTTTTTTTTTACCACAATCGGATGTTTTCGGAGATATTTACAACGCTTTGAATTTTAAAGTTTGTCAATTCTGACGGTCATGTCGGTAAATGTATTCGTGTTATTTTGCGAAAATGTACCCAAAAACTAACGGTCGTAGAAAAAGTATAGTATGCAACACGTTTGGTAAACTTTTTAAGTCACAAATAAACTCGTGAGTCAAATACCGTTTACCACACTTGTTGCATAATATACTGTTTTTTAAACTAAATACTAGTACTAACCAATAGTACTAATACGAATTGCGGAACAAATAATAACGGAAATTTAATTAATATAAAGAAGTAATAAGAGAAATAATATCTTCCTTAGCATACAAAGCAGCAGTATTGAAAATATATAACAAATTATCTTAATCTGACTGATATAATGAAAGGTAATGTTGCAATTTGTGAGTCGTTTGATTCTAATAAATAGCTGCTGGAGTAAATTGATCGAATCGAATGTAATAATACTGGATGTGAATATTCGCTGTTCGAGAGAGTTTAAGAATTTCCAGTAATAAATTCCGACGTAATAAGACAGTAAATAAATCGCGCAAGTTGGGGGAGCATTTTATTCTTAATAAATATCATTGTTAGTTGTGATTTGCTAAAAATGTCGATAATATTTGATGAAATATTAACAATGTATCATGTATCTCCTTCTGCCATGAAAGTTGTTGAAGAAAATTATTAATCCAGTTTTTCACCCAACCGACACACATAGGCGAATTTGATCAAAATGCTGGCCAATATTATTTATCTTAAAAAAATATCTAAAAATGAACAATATGTATTATTGAAGAAATCATAAAACAGTTCTAATTTTAACCTTGAATCCATGATAATGTATATGTAATTACAAAAACAATATTACAAAAAGATAATCGTAAATATTTTAGAGAAAAGGGGTAAAAACGAAAATGAGATATTGATATTTCAGTACTTTGAGTATTAAGAATTTCGCAAGTATAATCTTATTATTTAAGGCATTAAACAAGCAGAACTTTTTATGACAAGTCTTTTTATAGACTATTGAAATTTGTACCGTTGCGTCTATGGAAATCTAGTACAAAAATATATCTCATAATTCCTGGTCTATTATATAAAAAAATCTGATTAGATACCAAATAACTTTCTGTGTCACAAAATGACACAGGGCAAACACAGGTTTTAGACTGTCATGTACGCTCAAGTACAGAAACCCTTAATTATCTCCAAAACTGCCAATATGTTTCGGGACTTTTACGCGTCAAAAGCGGTGTTGCGAAGCTTAATAATTAAAACAAAAAATTACGAGACCTTACTAAATTGGACATGCGCAATTCATGCAACAATAATGTCAAAAATGATGACGTGTCAGGTAAAAGCTGTAAATCTGGCAACATCGCGATTAGCATTTTTTAAGTTTGCATGTTCAAAAACCCTACAATAGTAAATTTTACCACAGACAGCACTTCTTGAAAAATAGATACCCATTAAGATCGCAAATTATCGCATAAATAAGAAAATATGTCTTTTTAAGGACATATTAAATAAGAGTTCTATGCTAATTTGAAGATGAGGAAAAGCGGGGAAATGTACTTTTTGTCCAAAGAAAACGAAACATTTATGTATTTTAAGAAGTGATGCCATTGTAACAATAAAACAATTAATAGATGATAATAATTGCGTAGATAATAATAATTATACGCTTGTACTTGTACCAAGGAAACTGAAACAACCCCAAAAAGCTCTTATTTCAATCAACGGGTCAATTTTTTGTTCAAGTTTTGATTTTGTTTTCGATTCTTTTTTTTTTCTCTCAATTTCAAGGCAATTGGTGTTAAGAATCTAGCGAATTCCTTTGCATGAATCCGTTTTATTCATTCTGTTTTTAAGGTTGGCATCTTTTGGATCCTACAAATTTCTGTGTTCGCGGTAGGACTAAAATACTAATTTCTTCCATACTGCAACTGCTTTCTCCACACTTTACCATCTTCAGACATAATCTTGAAAAACTTGATACTTGATATAATTGGAAATAATTTTAGAAAAAAAAATGTTTAAATTAAATTTCTTCAGCATGCTCTATCTCGCTTTATCTATAATTTAATAATAATAATTTATTATACTATACTTCTACCTACCAGTCTAACAAATTCATATCTTAATGAACAAACCCAAATGTAAGGTGAAAATAAAAAGCAAGAACCGTTTCCACTTAATTTATGTTATTATTTTTACCATCCAGGATGTCTTATCAGCAAACAAAGCACGCAAGAGCAAAATTACCTCCCGTCCTGATGGCATACCAAGTTTTACTATGAGAGACCCAAGCATTGTCTGCTTCTTTATGTCACATTTTTAACGTGATACTTGAAACGGGTTGGAAAATTGTCAAATTGTCGGTAGTTGACAACTACCGACCTACTTCGATCTTGGGCAATTTTTCCAAAATATTCGAGATTATATTAAACAAATTTATTTTTCCTAAAATTAGAAATAAACTATCTACTCAAAAAAATGGTTTTTATGCGAAAAGGTCATGCATCACCAAGCTATGCTCCCTGTCTTATGTCTGTGACTCCCTGAACAAGCAAGGTCAAGTGGACGTTATATACACTGACTTCCACAAAGCGATTGACCAGATAGATCATGACTAACTGATTGAAAAAGCATCTCAAAAATTTGGTTTCTCCGATTCTCCGAATACAGTGTTGAGGTCCTATCTGGCGAACCGTCGACAGTTCGTAGAGATTGAGGGCTTTAGTTCAGTTCCTTTTGTTCCAACTTCTGGTTTGCCTCAAGGTTCTAATCTTGGACCACTTTTGTTCAATATATCTATAGGCGATATCATATCTTTGGTCAAATGCGACAAGCTTGTCTATGTGGATGACCTAAAACTCAATGAATGCATTGAAAGCACGGACTACATCAATATTATCAGTCAGTGGTGTACTAAAAATAAATTGAATCTTAACATCAGCAAGTGTAATGTATAATGTGTGTAACACTCCTATATATGGCACTATCCTGACTAGACTTGCAACTGTGAAGGATCTGGGGATTTTATTTGACCAAACGTTCTCTTTTGTACCTCACATTACTAAAATGGTTTCCAGTGCAATGCAAATTTTAGGATTCGTAATAAGAAATTGTAGCTCAGCTTACTATGGCTCACTGGTATGGTAACCAACTGCCCCACTCAGTCCATTGAGAGTGCAGAGAAGATTACTAAATTATCTAATCTTCAGCGAGGATGCTTCCTATCCTGAGAGGGGAGTTGATCATGATCTTCTGCTGAGAAGGTTCGCTGTACTGCCTCTGAGCTTGCCCAGAGACTTGCAATCTGTTTCATTTCTCTATGAGTTAGTTCTTCTGGAACAATTACGTTTTTGTGTGCCGCGGCTGGAATCGACTTTCTTACCGCAGTTACCCAGGTCCAATATCCATTTTTAAATCCCTATTTACAATATGTGTGTTACCTTCATCAAACTATCATCGCATACTTCGGCAACTTCGATTGGAGTCGGTTTATCCGTACCGATAAGTCTTATCTTTTTCTTTCTCCTTCTTCGTGTTTTCGTGAGTTCGTGTTTGTTTTTAAAGAAAAAAATATATGACAGGATAGTGAAAAATAGTTTTTTTTTTTGAATAATGAAACTTCAATTAGACTTATTTTAAATATGTTAACGACTTTCTTCAACGTTTTCCCTCATCGATTAAGATAATCTTTCAGCAGAAACTCTCCCTGACAAAGAAATGTCTAATGCGCATTGGTATGTTTAGTCCGAAGATGCAATTGCTAATTTCTGGCTACTACTTCTGCTTCTTTAGATCAGATTGCCACTGATGTTTGGCATTGACTAAGGCAAGACATCGCACCTAAGCCGTACATACATAGTGACCATCATGATCTGAATCATTATAGTAGCTGGTCTTGCATCCCAGATAAATAAAATAAATAAATAAAATCAAACACAAAAGTTACTTTTAAATAACGAAAAATTCCTTTCACCTGTGCAACATCCAGATTCGTGGTGGCTCTTTCAATTTTTCCTGTTACCACACTGACTGCATAGGCAATATCAAGTCGGATTCAATTCCGCATTTTTCAAAAAACAAAGTAAAACATGTGTGATGATCAAATGAATCATTTAATGTCGTTCGACTTATTTAACAGGTTTAATTTTAGAATTCGAACTTTGCAACTCTATCCAAGATGGATTGATTTGGTTAATTTCATGACGTCATTCGTTTATTATCATATAGCTGTTAGATAATAAGTAACTCCACTACGCTAAATGTCATTCACTAACTGCACTTTGACGATCTGTCAGTGGCCATATTGGTTGTTGAATTCTGGCAGAATATTGGTTAAAAATGATATATTAAATCTCGCACGTGGGCCTGTTGAATGACCGTCTCAGAATTAGACAGGGCCTCTATATCTCTAGTAACTATATGGGTCTAACCAAACTGAAGTTTTCCGCTGCGCAACGACAGCTAAAGCTAAAATTATTTGAGTCTTTTGCAAACATAATTTGTTATTACGCAAGCTGAGTTCTGGTTTTTCCGACAACGTCCTGGAAAATCTACTCATCCTGGATTAATTTAATATAGTTATATTTTATCTCCCAGAAAATTTATAAACATTGGCAACGCCGCTATTCCACATTACTTTGAAATTCAACCCTATTTTATTGTAAATGAATTTGACGAAATATCTTTAATTTAGGAATTTATAACCAATGAAATGATGATATCAATGTTTGTGTCCGATGGCTTGAAGTTTTTGGTAATAGTACAAACAAGATTGTTTTCGAAAAATCGTCACTGAGCGGGACAAGTTCATCGCAAGAAGCGCGAATCAGCATCTAAAAGAAATCGCGTCGCTTTTCCTTGTCCTAGAGGGACGCATTGTTTTTCTATCGTGCTCCGGCGGACCACTATGGGACTTTCGCAAAATCGATGTAATTATATTGTGTACACACCCTATATAGACCGTCTTTTCCTTATCGCCGAATTTCAAAGTCACGACAAACTTTGATAAATATAAAAAATTGTGCAAGTAATAACGATTTCAAATTATATTATTCCAAGTATCTCGCGCACCCTGTATGAGAGACGAAACCTGAAACTCTCTCTCCCGACGCAATATTCGAGACAGTTTAAACCAAATTATTTTTTACCCATAATTGACACACCCTGTACACAATTGAAAAAATCCGCAAACGGAAGTTATAGCCCTGGATCTTCCACGATTCCTGGTCCGAGAATTTTTCCAAAATAGTAATTGGTTTTCCTGGGCTCATCTCTCTCGAAGTTGATCACTTTGTATGATGTAGTCAGTATATATATAAAACTTATGGAGGGTATCAAGAAACTTGACCTTATTTACATACTATATTACCAGTTACAGACTTATAATAGAGATGTCGAGTAGTTTTGGTTAGTTTCTTTACATTCTATTCGCCATAGGTACGTACTTAAACAATTTAAAGTAATTGAAAACACCTAATTGCGCCATAACACAACGAAATTGCTATTTGCAGTGGAAAATTGAGGTTAACTAATAATTATCCCAAAAAATAAAAAAATACATTTGTTCGTTAGACAAATTTATAATTTTTTTATTAACATATCAATTTTTATAAAAACATTTTTGTAAATATTGTTTCTAGAATACCATTGATTAATTTTGATTAAATAATGCTTTCACAGTTTTCTGACTTTTGAAAAATTATCAAACACGATTTAACCCTAATAAAAGCATAAAAACGCGGCCGTTATTGTGGCGATTAACAGAAATAGTATTCATTTTTTTTAAAATGACTTATGAAGTAAGAAAAAGCATACAAAGCGGAAAAAAAAGAATAATCGGGTGTCTATAAACTCATTAAAAATACTAAAACTCTATTTATTGTCATTTAACCATTAACCATTATCATCAAGTCTAACAAATCTCAAATTTTTTAAGACAGTTCATCAAAATCACATTTTTAGGTATACCAAACCTTCTTAATAATACCTTCACCATGAATTAAGGTTTTGCGAACTGTAGCTAACATACAGAACCAACCATATCATTTAATTTTTTTTTCAAGTTCAATACAATAACTAACAAAACTAGTTCTATTTATTTACTTTTTCCTGATGAGATAGCTGTCAGATGAACACCGGAACGAGCAATAAGATTTTCGTTGAACCCATAAATTTTAGCAGCAAATTGGTGAAACATACATATTTAGAGTTTTCGTGTATCACGCAGAATGCGCGCGATATCTGAAAAAATCGAGCTGGAAATCGCCATTACTGCCACAAATTTTCATGTTTACCATGACTTTGAAGTTTGGTCGAGTGCTTATTTGGGAGGCATTTTTTTTAAACAGCCAATGGGGAAACTTAAAAAACCTACTGAAACTTGAGCAACAACAATACTCAAGTTTTGGTAATATTTTTAATACAGTTAAATTTAAACCTCTCTAAAAACCACAAAAGATTTTTTTGTTTTCTAACAACAGTTTTCAAGGGAAGCATGACATATTCAGTTTTCCATTATCATAAAAATATATTAGCCCCATGTTCCATTGTCGTGCCCATTTGCATTGCATTTTTGCTAACATTTAATGGGCAAAATGATGCAAGCGTACCCGGTTCTAACGAGATGTTTTTCTTGGTTCTTATCGTTCAGAAAACGTCTGATGTATTATTGCATCAGCCGTAAATCGCGCCAAACTCTCGCCGTAGCGTGGATAACGTTTACCACAAAACAAAACCAACCCTACCCGAACGAAACTTTCAAGTTGAAATAACAGCCTCGATTCATTTAATTTTGGCGATTTGTTCTGCATGTCATGCCGCTTAAATAATAAATTGACACACTTATATCTGATTCAAATCTCGCGCATCTCGCAACAAAATTTACGCGTTTCGTTTTTCCTTAGCATAGCAGATCGTTAAAACGAAACAGCGCGCCTCCGAAGATATTTCTGTTCGACAGCACGTCACAAACAACGTAAAATAAACATTAAATTGCGTTATAAAACCGTTTATTAACGGCATTAAGTGCTGGGAAACGATTATGTGCGGAAAATTAACTGCCTACGCGACGTCTCAACTTGAGAGCGTTTTCTGGTCGATTTTTAATCGATATCGTTTCGATTTATTTTCAGAATACGACGCTACGAAGTCCTCGGCTTCTAGTTTGGACTGTCTGAACTTGATCGTCCAAAGCATCAACTCGAAAAAACGTACGATTAACAAATCCTGATTCCTACCTTTTTTTGTCAAGTTGTTAAGTTCATAATCTATTTATTATTAATTAAAACGATTGAATTGATTCGTGGTTTTTACTTAGCGCCCGTCCTTAGAGGAATTTTTGAATCATGAAAAGCAACTAAAAAAGTTGGTTCTCCATTATAAGGTATTCGGCATATAAAACGTATTATCATCGCAAGGCGCCGTGGCTTAGTTGGTTAAAGCGCCTGTCTAGTAAACAGGAGATCGCGAGTTCGAATCTCGCCGGGGCCTGCGGTATTGACTTTTTTTATAAAAATTTTTTCAAAAATTATGCCACAGTGAATACTTCCTTCACAACAGTACTTAACTTTTAACTGCCATTCAATTTTTTTGACAAAAAAAATGAAAAAAAAACAAAAAGCTACCTTAAACTGAAGGTCGGTAAAGTAGGAACCAACTTTTGACAACTTACTGAAAACATTGTCTTTCAAACCGCTTTGGCAATTAGAAATACGATTTCAGTATTTTGCAGGGCCTTCCTACGAGTAAATTGCAAGGCGAGAAATGACAAACAATTAGCAAATCACAATTTTTATTTACAACCACAATAAAATAAATTTTGCAGGTATAAAATGGACAAAAAATCAGTGCAGTTTCCCCAGCTCCATCTTTTTCTGTATAATTTTAATAGAATGATATAAAAAGGTATCAACTAGACCCGCCACCGTGTAAACTCCGCCGATTATTGCGCACACATTGGTGAGAAAATGTCCAAAGGAACGCTCCCGCTCGGTGTACTTTACCATCAGGGGCGAGAGCTCGTACTGGAAGAAAATCCCGGGCATTCCCGATTCGCCGCTCAATATGGACACGACTTTTTGATGTTTAGTCACCGAAAACTGATTGCTCTGTATAATTGAACCATCCCTTCTGACATAAGATGTCGGAACAATTTTTATGTGATACTGAAACATCGTGGCGCCTAAAATTTAGAAAGTTTGAAGCTTTTTATCTAAACTACTACTTTATTGTACAATTGTACCTAAGGTATGGTATGTGCACTTTTTTTGCGAATGATTTTACCTTTAAGGAAGGTATGACAGAAGACTAGGGACAATACAAAAGAAAAGGAAAAATCACACTCATACATTTATATGCAGAAATATCAAATTAACAGGTCCAAAATTCTAGAAACTCTTAGTAAGAATTATTAATATCTTCAAATTCTGAAACTGATTGTGAAGTTAATTCGATTATTTTATTTCTTTTCTACATCGGGTTAGTTTTGGTTAGGAAATATGGGTTTTTTTCTAATATTCCAAAATAATAAATATGGATTTGACATATTGAATGTCTGGGGTCTTGAAGATCAAAACTGTTTATTGCTGCATTTCCTGTATTTTGTCCATGATAAATAGTATGTTTGAACCCTATACCTACCTTCATCCGCCAAACCCACGAAATCCTTTAGTGGGTTGTGAGTGTCACTGTCTAAACTCATGCCAAAGGTAAGTCTTTTGATCCGATGAGTCATGTTAAATTCGCTGGAGGAGAAAGGTTGGACGTCGTGTACATGGACATGATTAATACCGAAACTTTTGCCCGGCGCTATGTGAAAACTCCCGCTCACCCTGTTAACGACGAGGTCGCCAAAAATTTGACAGCCCTGAGTGAAAGCGGACTTGAGTTTCTCATTAAATTTTTCGTTTTTGCACTGCTCGATATTTTCCACATTGTCCAACGCCCAACGTTTTTCTCTAAAACATAATGGCCGTTTCACGTCTGGCAAAATGCGTTAAGTTCAAAAAATACCGGTAGGCTTCTCTGACGTCCTCACAGGTATTGCAACACCTCTGTGCAGCGCCATAACAACTCCCACACTCAGTTTTATTAGCTACCATTTGTGTATCGTTTTTCGCCTTTATCGTGATGTCTTCTTTCTTTGCCTCTTCAATTTGATTGCCGTTTAAATCTAATTTTCTCTTAAAAATACTGTGTTGTATTTGCAAGTGTTGCTCGCCAGACGAGTCCATGGCGTCGAGAGCTAGAAAATCGCATGACACTCTCGCCACGGTTATGTCCAATTGAATTTCAATAGTTGGACTACGAGAAGTGTCTACGAACAGTTCTTCAGTGACGTTCGGGGTCATATAATCGTGGAATTCGATCCAGAACAAAATGCTCATTATTACCATGCTTATGACCGTAATAGCACTCCCGCCTAATGTCTGAATACGCACGTCTTCCAACGTTTTCGGATAGGCGTCGAACCGGCGGAGTTTCTTTAAATAATCCAACATTATAACCGGGCTACGTTCGATACGTTTTTGTTAAGTTGTTTAACGGTTCATTTGCTTCTGCGCCTGGTTATTTATGATAAGTGCACAACATTTCAGCGTTATTGGTAATTATTTGGAGATTCCTTCCACATCAACATGCAAACATAACCTAGAATTAAGTTATCACAGAATACTAAGGGTGCAAGTTACCATGGACAACTGACTTTCAGGCCATATTGATATTAGATAATATAGTAGAATTAATTCGCCTCAAGCGGCTATGCTTGTAATAATCCTCCGCGCATTCTTCTAAATTTCACCATCATTTTTTCTTACAACAGCGATCTCCATTTGGTCAGAACTTTTCCCAATAATTGTGTCTATTTTGAGAACATACTGCCGTAAAAATGCTACATCTAAACAGACAACCGTCGGCGTCTACATATGTCGGTTGTTGAAAGTCACTAATTCTTATCGCTTGAAAAACAAGATTTCAAATGACCGCGGATGCGCATATTAAGTAGCAAACTCGAAATTTATTTCATCTTCGCTTCAAAAATTTCTGTAAATTTATGTCCAACAAATATACGCTAGAAATTAACAGGCAACATCGGGTAAGGATAATGCAGGAAGAATAGGATTTTTTGATTTTCGCAATGAGTACAAAGACATAAGTTAAAGGAAGTTTAAAACATTTTTTTCCATCACTAAATCTTAATTGTTGTCATGTCATTGAATATCCAGAAATAACCCGAGTAGTGGGGATTAAAGACACAATAAATAAATAAAAATATTTTATTTAATACATTTAACAAAAATGGTACACAAAATTTCATACGTCTTCAGGATCCTCTTCCTCAAAATCTTTTGTTTTTACATCCAAGTCCTCCCCAAATTGTATAGCATTGTCTATGGTGATAAGGACGTCGCCTATATTTTCGTGGTTTTTTAAATTCAAAGGAATAAACCTCACCAATGAATAATCTTCAACTATCCGGCCAATGGTTTCTGTTAACCGTTTGTATTTTTCATTAAATGCAGACATCCCGGACAATTCAATGTCCCCTAGTAATGCAAAAAAATGTCATGTTTAAATTTCACGCAGTCAATAGATAAATTTTATGTATGTGACTCACCTAAAATAGCATGGCTATCTGGCTCTAAAAACCGTTCCAACCTTTTGCGAGCTGTTTTACCTAACAAGTCCATTTTTGAAAGGATGTTCACATGAGGAAGCTCCAAATTGACCATAACGCTTAGTGCAGCCATGGTTCCTGATAAAAACTTTGCCCCATCTGTCATAAACTGCACATCAACCAAAAACACGGAGCAAACGTTAAAATTCCAATCCTGCAGCTGTTTGACAAGCTTTTTCATGGCTGACAAGTGAGTATATAACTCAATTTGGCCCGGACAATCAAACAGAATATAATCTTCTTCCTGATCACCAATTTTTTCATGCAACCAATCGGAATTCTCCAACAAGTACTCAATACAAAATATCAAACCCCCTAAAAATATTGAGATCAAAATGAGAAACTAAGGAGAGGTTTAGGTCTACCATTTGGCCCAAAGTGCAATTCCTCATCTTCCATTGTGTCTTGCACTTGGATAAGTTCTCTTATGTCCACTATAGGCTGATAATCGAAATGTTCAGCAGCTGGATCCAAATTAACTACTTCTATGTTACGCTGCGAGTCCGCACCGTATTGTGCCAAAGCACTACAGTAGGTAGACTATAAATGGTTTCAATCAGTATATTCTCATTGATATTCTACCAAATTACCTTTCCGCTTCCCGCGGGACCAACAACTAACTGAGCGTAACGCATTTTTTTTATTTATGGTGTAAGAAACATTTCAAAACATATAGAACTTAGGAGAAATGGATTCTAACCTCCATTGCTTATAGCAATTTATCATCCAAAAAAAACAACTTTTTCTTTTCTATGGTTCTTCTCTTCTTCTTTCTTTTCTTCCATGGCCACGAAATCTACCCTAGTGCTAGAGTTTCTATAAAGCAATTTTCCAATATATATGTGGGAACGTCCCAAATTGGAGACTTCCGCCACTGAGGATTCGTACTTCCTGTCATGTAAGTTTAAACTTGGACTTGCAATATGGTGGGTAGGAAAAGTGAATCTGTTATTGTGGAATAAACTGTCAACGTTAAGAAGAAGAAGTCTGGTTTGACACGTCACTTTAAGGTTAATTACTGATCGTTGGGAGTGTAATGTTTATTTTTTCTAAATTGACCAACAAAACGTAAATCATGTTCAAAAAACTCAAAGATAAAATCACGGAAGAGGTCAAAAGCTCGCCGCAACGTTTCCAACAGCTTACGCAATCTGTAACAGATGCGTTGCAACAAAACAGCCAGCAGCCCGACGACAATTTTTTCTCGATCGGGGACGACGGTTCGTAGTTTGTTATCGACTCCCTCTAAATTCGACTCACGGATATATTTTAGACCCGGCATCGCCGGTGGCAAGCCCTGATAAAAACGATCGGGGGTTTTCTAGCGTCAATCTCGTATCACCTTCGGCAGAGGGTACAATGAGACGAAATTCGGTATCGTCCGTAGCCAGCGACGTTTCCTTTTTACCGAGATACGAATCGTCCAACATGTACCATTTGCAGTCCGATCTCGACATATCGGCCAGCGAGTTGGAGGACAACGCTTCCACAAGTTCCTCTCAGCTCGGCCATTTAACTAAACAGCAAATTTATTCAGCGTTTCAGAAATCCCAGATGCGGTACCACAAATACAGGGGCCGTTTCACGGATTTGGCTAGACATTACAAGGAGTTGGAGCGGGAAAATGGCAAAATGAAGGTAGAATATTGGATATGGTTTCATAACCCTTTGATTATCTAATTTTCTGGTTTGGCTTGTATACGAATAAAAAATATATGGCCCAAGACGTTAATTAAAATTTTTGTTGTCCATTGTAGCTCTCCCATCAAGCAAATGTTGTTTTCTTTGCCTCTATGGCAAGCAGGTCGATCCTAATCCTCTCCCTACAGAATCTGCAATAATGGGTTCTAAATCTTCCTTATAGGTCCGTTTTATGTTGTACTAGTTAGGTTGTATCCATCCAAAAGTCAAGTTAAATTCCTAGTACATGAAGTACATTGCTTAGTTACTGAAAAAGAATATTTTCTTTATGAATTAGGAAATGAGGGAGTGTACATAGATTACTTTTCTAATTTTATATGTAAATTTACAGTTATCTGTTTTTTGCCTGAAATTTACAAAATCAGTGATGGGACCTGGTGACCCAAAAAAATGAAAAGAGAAAAACGATTTTCTGTAATTACTGGGTTTACCCAATAATTTTTTTTTATTTAGAAATAAGCGGTTGCCTACTCTTCGAGTTTCATTTTTCAGTCGATATTGGTCGAGACGCAAGACAAAGCGATTAGACGCGTCGAGGAGCTGAAGGAACAGTGCTCCCTGGAGCAAAGGGCCAAAGCTCACCTGGAGGGGGCGCTGCGCGACGAACTCGACGAGAAACAAATCAAAATAAATACGCTCCAGACGAAAATCGACTTGCTCCAAATGAGAGACAGTGCGGAGCCGATCGGCTCCAACGTGGAGCAGTTAGAAACGTTGACCCGGTACCTGAACGAGGCGCGTGGCGAGATCGAAGCTCTAAACGCAAAAATCCAAGAGTACAAGGCAGGCGTGATCGTGTTCCAGAGCAAGGAGCTTGAGTACAAGCAGAAAATCGCTAGCCTGGAGCGCGACGCGACCGATTCTGCACAACGCGTGAAGGAGAACAACCTCAAACTTGCCGAAAACAAGATGGAGCTGCACAACGAGCTGCTGAGCAAGGATGCGGAAATTGCGCAGTTAAAACGCGACCTGGAGGCGCTTAAAGCAAACGTGGACGCGTACGAGAGCGACGCCTCCATGGGTACGTCAACAAAGCTCGAGAACTTGCAGAGCCAAAACAATAAACTGATTGAAAAAGTCGAGAGCTTAACCTCGAAGTGTAACGGACTCGAAAACGAACTGCTCAAGGTGGAGAAGTATAAGATGGAGGTCGCGGACCTTACCACGAGGTTAACTGAATCACGAACGCTCGTCGGAGGTCTAAAGGAAGGCCTGACTCGCTGTCATGACAACATAAAACAGTTGGCGGCTGAGAAACAACGTCTGACCGACGCCATTGTCGAGGAGAAGGCGCAGTACGAGCTCCAAGTGGACGCGCTCAGGGAGAGCGCGCGTAAGGGCCTGTTCACGCTCGAAAAGCAAATTTCCGATAAGCTACGAGCCAGCTACGAGCAGCGCGAGCGCCAGCTAAGGGTGGAGCTCGCGCGGCTGGCGGGCGACGGTAGGGACGTCCACGAGCTCCGCCTGGAGCTAACCGATAAGGCAAGTCTCGTCAAAGACTTGACGGAAGAGGTGCATCGCTTGCAGCGCGACCTCGAAGCAAAAGAGGAGCGCTATAGACGGCTAGAGACCGATCACCTGGAGTTGATCGAGGAGTGCGCGGCTCACAGGACGTCGGTCGCCCGTCTGGAGCAGCGCGTCGCTAGTCTCGAACAGGAGGACAACAAAACGTACCAAGAAAATGTCGCCGGTCTACAAAATCTCGTTCGAACGCTGCAAGAACAGGTGGACGCGTCGCAGAGGAATTACCATGAGAAGGAGAAGGAGAACGTGGAATTGGCCCGTAAAATTTTTGAGCTGGAGGAAGTGGGAAGGAACGTCGAGGCGAAACTTAATGTCCTGGAACGTAAGGACGAAGCACTCGCGCTAGAGAGCACCGAGTGCGACCTCCTGGAGCTCAAGGTGGAGAAATTGGAGCGCGAACGCGTCGCCTTGCTGGACAGTTTCGAGGCGGAGCGAGAAACGTTCAACCGAATGATGCGGGAAAACCGCGATCTGAAAGTCAACGAAGAGAAGGTGGATGACCTAGACAAAAGGTGCCAGACGCTCACCGCGAAGGTGCTCAAGCTCAAGAGCTTCCTGCGAGAGCGGGAGGAACGTGTGGTTGCGCTCAACGAAGAAAAATTAATGCTTGAACGGGAGATGACGAAACTAAAGGAAGACCTGCGCATCTTGGAGGAGCGGGACGAAGCCGTGGTGATGGACAAAACCGAGTGCGACCTCCTCCTGCTCAAAGTGCGGCAGCTGGAAGAGGAAAAGGCCGAATTTACGAAGTCGTTCGCGGTCGAAAGTCGGCCGGGAGATCAGCGATCCCGCCCCTTGACCCAACCGGGAGACCTGGACGTCGCGAAAGAGAACCTGGAGCTGAAAAAAACCAACTGCGAGCTTTTGGAGAAGGTCCGCGTGTTTGAAGAGCACGACCAAGCAGTCGACCTCGACCGTACAGAGACTGGTCTGTTAAAGCTAAAGCTTCAAGCGGCGGAGAACGAGCGCAAAGAGCTACTGGATAAGTTCGAGCTGGAGCGCGCCATGTTTGACAAGTTGTTGAGTGAGCACGCGGAGCTGGAGCTGTACAAGGAGAAGATTGAAGGGTTGGAGGGCAGCAACCGAGGTTTCGCGGAGAAAGTGGCACGTCTAAAACGATACCTTGACGACAGGGAGGAGAGAGTCGTGGAGTTGCAAAAGTCAAAGTTGGAGCTGGAACGCGAGGTCCACAAACTCGAGGAAAGCTTGAGAGTGGTGGAAGCTAGGATGGAAACGTTGGAGCTCGACAAATCAGAGTGCGGTTTGTTGCAGCTCAAACTGCAGGCGGCGGAAGAGGAGAAAAAGACTCTCGTGGAATCCTTCGAGGCAGAAAGGACGACGTTCGAGGACGCGTTTAGTAGGCAGGAAAACAGGGAGGAGCAGTTGGAGCATCGAATTGCGGACCTGGAGCTGGAAAAGGATCAGCTGCGAGAACGATTAGAGAAATTAGTCGAAGAAAACGCGAGGTTGGAGGGAAGGCTGAGTAAGCTGAATGAGAATGTGAAGAAATTGAGCGAGGAGAAAGTTCAGATAGAATCTCAGGCAAAAGAAGACATCAGGGCTAAGGAGAAAAAGATAGAGGGACTAACTGACTCCATGTCGAAATTGGTAGAGGAAAGGGAAGTCGCACTTGTTGAACTGAATATAGAATTGGCTAGGAGAGAAGAAAATAATGGTAAATTGAAAGAGGAAAGAGACAAGCTGCGAGAACGATTAGATAAGGCTGATGAAGAAAACGCTATGTTGAAGGAAAGATTGAGCAAGCTGGATGAAACTGTGAGAAAATTAAATCAGGACAGGGATCAAATAGAATCTCAGGCAAAGGGAGATATCGAAGGACAAAGAAAAGTTTACGAAGAGAAGATCACTAGTCTAACTGAGGCTATGTCAAAAGTTATAGAAGAAAAGGAAGCTAGAAAGATGGAACTCAAGAAACTGAATGAAGATATGGCCCGGATGAATGAAGAAAATCTTAAACTGAGTCAGGAAATCGCGGATAAAGAAGCGCGAGTTCAGGAATTATCTACAAGCACCAATGAGCTGGGTGCCAGTTTGGCGAGACAAAGGGAGGAGTTTGAGGAGTTGCTTAGTCGGAGCAAACACTTTGAGGGGGTAATGGAGCAGTTACAGTTGGAGAGAGCCGAGTGCCTCGAAAAGCATTCGACTCTGTCGTCGAAATTGATAGAGATCGAAGCCGAATTGGAAAAGAAGAATTCCCAGATCGAGGAGATGAAGAAAAGTCTCGTGAGCGTCGAAGCGGTGTGCAAAGACGAGGAGCAAAAGTTCAAGGAGGAATTGCAGAAGTCGGCAGAATTAGAGAAGGTCTTGAAGAAGAAAATCGTCGACTTAAAAGGGCAATTGAAAGAATCGAAAGACGCGGGAGACCAACGAGAAACCCTGACGCGGGAAAAGATGCAGCTAGGCGCTGAAATGAACACTCTGCTGGAGAAGGTCCAAGAACTCACCCAAGAAAACGACCGGTTGCAGTTTTTGACACCCAAAGCCAAAGAGTGTGACTATTTGAAAATGCAAAATGACGCGCTACAAAAGAAAAGTGACAAACTACAGCAAGAGGTATCTGAGCTCAAGGTGCGCGTGAATCAGCTGCTTTCAGACAATAAGAACTTGAGCGATGAGCAGGAGAGGTCGCTTAACGAGTTGGGCGAATTCAAAGCCCGTTTGGAATTTATGACAATGGAAAACGACCAGAAAACGCGACTAGAAGGCGAGAAAGGCGACTTGGAGCAGATCCAACGTGATTTTTATGAGATAAAGGGCAAGTGCGACGCCCTTTTCGAAGAAAACCGTAACCTAAAAGAGGAGTACCGGAAACTAGAGGAGCAGTGTAATAATTTCGGCAAAATCAAGACGGAAATGGAACGCCAGTACAGCGAGATGTTGCACGAGAAACAATTGCTCAAGGACGAGCTCCAGGAGTTGAAAATTTTGCCCGTTAACTCTTCAAATGCCAAACTTGATAACTTAGCAATAGTCAAACAGCACGAGGGTTTGCTGAACGGGCCTGCGGATTTATCACGCGAAATCGAAATTCTCCGCGACAAACTCACTCAGTACAAGTCGCTCGATATCACCAACAAGAGTTCAATCGAGTTCTACGAGGGCGAGCTGCACAAGATGAAGGTGAAGAATGAGAAACTGAACAGGAAACTGGACGAGACTCTGGTTACATTGAACCACTGTAGCGAGCTTTCCAATTCGACGGAGATCGAGTATTTGAAGAACGTTTTGTATAATTACATGCTGGGCAAGGAGAGTTTGGTACTCGCCAGGGTCATCGCGGCGGTTTGCAAGTTTGACGCCGGTCAGACGGAAGCAGTCTTGCAGAAGGAACAGCAGAAACAGACCTTGGTAAGTTACGCACGTTTTTACTTTCGAATTAATAATATATGAACTTGTTAATTGTTTATTCGATGGTATTGACTAGAAAACCCGCATATTTTTTCAATTTTAATGCTGGGTTTAGACGTATTTCATGTCGATTTTTATTTGTTTTTTTTTTTTCAAGCTTGGACAGTTAGGACTGCTTTAGCAGTTGGAAGTTTAGCGTAGTTCAACGCATCGCATACTACATGAATTTAACGACAACTAACTTGGAAGTCAAGCAGAATGACGCACATTTAGCGAGCGAGGAAGTCTCGTCACAAAGTGTTCACATATATTTAGCACTGGTAGCTGCCAGTAGTTTTCATACAACTTGGTATATGCAAGCCTTTTGGCACCATCAACGGGAAAACAGAGTTTTGCCTAGTTGCCTATTAGACAATTTTTGTATATATGTTTTAATTTGTAGTCAGTATTTTTGTATTATTTATTCCATGTCAACAAAACGCGACCAGTAATAATTTTGTACATAATCTTTTTTGTTAATACCTTTTAACTTTTATGTATATCGTTGCGAATAAAATATATTTTCCACATACCTGTTTTATATTTTTATACAATTTTAATCCAATAATGCCGATAAAAAATCATATACAAAAAGTAACAGCACAAATATGTACAGTATATTTAATATCTAAAAAAAGGGACTAACTTAATATGTAGTCCAATCAGCCTATCGAAAACTAATGACAGTCCTAGAATCGCTTCAGAAATTCTTCAGAAACGATCCTTGCCCGTGCATTGACCGCCAGTTTCATTTCCGATACCTCTTTGTCAATTTCCTCCATAAAGTGAATAACGAAATCCACGAGCTTGTGCTTGTACATTTGCTCCGTGTGAAAATTCGTAATCAAGAAGCTTATGTCGTACCCTTCAATAGGTTTCCGTCGGAGTACGATGAAGTTTTCCGCTCGCATCATCATGAAACGCATGAATTTCTTGCATAGAATCTTCTCGATCTCGTCCGCCTGCTTTACCGCAATACTTATCCTCACGGAATTTACCGACGTTTCTATAAAGACCTTTTCCTTCTCGTTTCGCGATATTACCACGGGAGTTAGTAACAGCTCTTTCGACGACCTAACCTCCACTTCGGGCTTGTTATGTCTTTCCACCACTTGAGAGGAGAAATTCTCCAAACACATTGCTGCTGTCAAAGTGTGTCTTACTGCCGTAAGATACGGCTTTAGCGTTGCTGACATTTTAATTCAAAATTCTTCAGCATAAACGGCCATCAAAACTAAATTACCACACCTAAAGAAGCCTTGTTGACGTTTGAGTCATGATAAATGATAAATCTTCTTCTTTTTATTTTCACAAACATTTAAGCCAAACTGCATAATAATTCCCCCATCCCGACAACCGACGAGGTATTTTTTTCTTTTTTTCACAAATCAACACGAACAGAAAGTCTAAAATTAAGAACAATTCAACTCTGGTTGCAAGAAAAGGACTGTTACCGATAGAAAAAAGCGCCATCCCCCGTTTCAAAATGGACTAACCGGGCCCGTGGAGCCGACGTGTATGACAACAACAGAGGAATCGACTCAAACAATCGCTCTCGTGAACGATTTCACGCTGGACAGACGTAACTCGTAGTAGTACTACGCGTTTAAACAGAGAGTTGCGACATAAAAATATGTTTAAATTCGATTTTGAGAATTGTATGAATAAGATGGTAGGAAAATCTGTGGAAAATATATTTATTATTGTTTCGATTAAATGGTATGTGAGCTTTTAATGTATATGCAGATTATAACACACAGTTAAAAATAAGAATACAGAACAATGTATATTTGCAATGTAAAAAAAGGCAAACAATTATTATTGGCTGGTTGATTCGCATTAAAGCCAGTTATTTTGGTGAAAAACGTCTATGTGCTGTATGCTGAGATCTCCAAGAGTATTCAAACAGGGATCTTTTAATTTATGACATATGAATCCCACCATAAGCTAACCGCTTAAAATGATGCTTATTCTACTCGACGGGTGACGTCAATCGACACCGAAGAAGCTCCGCCCACTGTGCACCATCCTATCTATTGTCAACACTGAACTCCGACACCTTAAAGATATTTAATGTTTAAATATACTTTAGAACAAAACAACGGATAACAAAATAACGGCTTACCTCCACTTCGACCGCGGACTATCCTCTATACCGGCGTGAATGGCAAAAACAGGGGAGCCGGCAATACATACAACGTTCAGTAAACTCACAATAAACCGATAAATAAAACAACACAATCTGAAAAACTGGTTGTTTAATTTTAATTACGCTTTAGGTGGCGTAATTAAAAGTAAGGCAATTCGGCCAGCCTACATCAATTTTTTTGGTGGGAATCGAACGAATGGGCTAGTTCTACCGTGAATCGGTATTAGGACGCGGAAGATAAAAAAAGAGGCAGTTATCTTAAAATAAATTTATTCTCTATAAAAATTTGCGGCGATGACACTAAACTAAACGAGAGACCAACGGGAAGAAAAAAAAAACGTTCACAACCAGGGATGCCAGGCGGGGTCCATGCGGCACAAATTATCGGGACTGCTGGCTGCGGCCACCAACGGCGCCACCTTGCCGTCGACCCCGTCGAATTGCGCCAAACTGTTGAGCCGCCCCGATATCGAATTGACCGCGCGCCCCACCATGTTAATAATTTGTTCCGCGTCGGATTTGGGATCCGACGCTTTGTCTTGCGCAGACGCGCCGTCCTCAGACTTTTTTGCACGCGATAGCAACATCTCGTCCCGCAAAATCGGTTTCAAGATGTTGAGCACCTAAATCGAACAGCTATTACTTATAAACTTACGTTAAGCATAAACAACACACACACAAATTGTTAAAAATTATTAATTACACAGAGTGGGCCAAATTGAACATTTTTTAAAGGAAACTCGCCTCCATATCAGCGCACGTGACGTCATTAATTTTCATTTCTAATCGTCGTTACCTATTTGATTTAATATGCTCGTTAGCTCGATGTTAAAATCGGCGTTCAACGTGTCAGTCGTCACGGTTTTTGAGGTTATGTTCGTCCGAAATTCCTACAACGGACCCCACAAGCAAGTGGCCACGGGACGCCGCAGCTGACCCTAAAAAGCATCGAGGCTCCCCCCTCGTGACCCCACGCGCGGTGGGGGGAGAATTGTGATTTGAAGTTCTTCATGTATCTACTAAGACGAAAATTAATGTCGGTGTCTGGAGCTCAATTTTCATAAAACACTTTCATAAAACACTCATAAAACATTTCCAAAACAACTTTTTACGCAGAATTTATTGCTTTCAATAAAAAAAATATAAAACTAATAGTTTAGCAATTATTAACTAAAAAATTATTTTCATATAGGATATCTGTATATTTTTCCAAAAATATATTTTTACGTTAGATGTGGATCCTAGAGTACGAATTTTGTTTTGATTATTTGGCTTTACAATCAAAATCACAATTTGACAACTACCTGAAAGGTAAATTATTTTTAATGATCCAATCCATATAGCGATTTTTTTAAAACACCCCGTAACTGTAACGAAATTCGAACTCCAGATGCCTACATTACTTTTCGTATATCTCTTTCAGAAAGGGCCGTCTCCTTTTAAAAGTATCCGTTTCGGCCCACCCTGTACAGTATCGCTGTTTTGTTTTCGTTTTCGATATTAAGAAAAAAACTGAAAAGCAATGTTTTGAACATGCAAGGTTGTGTAAGTGGTGCTTTTTTTCTTTTCAAATGCCATTAGGAAGTCTCAATACCTTAAAATTAGGATAGACGAAGCACCTGGCCGTGGCTATCATGCACGCCGTCAGAGGTCCGCTTACCCCCACCACCGACAAGTATTCGATTATGTTCGGGGTGAGTCTAAACGGCACCGCCCTAGTCTGGTTAAGCTCGCCGGTGCCGTCGTCCACGTCAAACTTGAAGTACGACACGCTCATCAGGCCGGAGTCCTGATGCAGGTACATCATATCGGGATTGAGCCTCGTCAAATGGAACACGTATTCGGCGAAGCAGGCGAGCGAAAGTTGCAGCGTGAACATTTTCCGAAAGTGCCAGTAGTCTGTGGCGGACGGGAATGTCCGTACCGCCCACTGTTTGAATACCGTACGCGGCACCATCTTGTCTTGCACGCTCTTGAAAATGTCGCGATAGATTTGGTGGGTCGCTGTGACGCCCCTGCTCTGCACCGCAGCAAGACGCTCGTAGTAATACTGGATAGGGTCGTCGTGGTTGATACCTGAAATGAATTACGTGCTAAATTGGAAGGAATAAGTTCCGATTTACGAATGTTTGTGTGAGGTTAAGTGAGGTTGCTTATTCCTTCCTGCAGTCCCTACGTTTCAGTCTACAAAAATAATTAAGGAACATTTTGACCTGAAAATAGTTAAAAATAGTTTTAATAAATTAAACCATTTAGCAACAGGCCTTATCAACTATGAAAAAAAAATTGAAAAACAAGTTTGAATGCGCCATTTTTACGGCAAAATATGCCCAGATCTTGTTAAATTAAATTTAGAAAAAAAAAATGGCGCAAAGCGGGTAAAATATAGAGCCATGTGCGAAATATCAATGCTATCTACGGCGCATTAATTTTTACCATCGTAGAGCAGCTATATTATCTAATAGCACAATTAAATTAGAACAATTAACGTTCAGATTTTCACAGTTATATATTAATTTATGACGGCCGTTTCGACATCACCCTGCCTTTATCAAATACAAAATAGTAGTAATAAATTTTTGAATTACCAGTGTAGGGTTATAAACTTCAATTTAACAACGGACGCACATTTAAATCCAATTGGTCATACATATTATTAACCTCCATAGCTTTTTTGCTTTTTAATTTTTTATGTAAAGTATCAAAATTATTGTCAAACGCCCTTTTATGTTCGTTAATGCGTTGCTTTAATAAATTTAGTGACATGATCCACATTTCAACTTGTAGACTTCGGATTTTTGAGTTTTTCGTAATTTAGTTTTATTGTTTATTAAAAAATGTCCTATGGTATTTTAATTTTTAAAAAACAATCTTACGACCAAATTTGGATAGATGTTTCGAAATTTTCTTACTAGGTTCTCCTACGTATTTTATTTTTTTTTATAAATTTTGGGTTCGGTGTTTAATATAGGATAGCTAGAGTTCAGAATTATTTGAAACTGCTTTTTATTAATAATCTTATCTATCAAACAAGGCTTGTAACCATTGTTAAAAGCTATTGGTTTAATAATATTTAATTCTTTTTCAAAATTTTGGTATATTAAGCAGTCTGTGGATTAAAGCATAAAAGGCAGCCATTTTGTGTGTGCCAGGTTGATTTGAGTTGAGCATTATTGTGCCCGTGTGTGAGGGTTTATGGTAAATGGCGAAATCTAATTTGTTCTGTAGTTTAGTTATAGCTTAAGTCCAGAAAGTTTATCTAGTTCCAGCTCTATGGTAAAGTTTATTCAGTGAAACAAGCAAAAACATCATCTACGTATCTATACCACCAGAGAAATCCTTTACTCAGAGAATGTTTATGTATGGCATTTTCTAAATTGCCCCGGAAAATTTCTGCAAGTAGTGGACAAAGTTTTTATTTGTTTTATTTTGTGTAATATATTCGAGAGAATCGATAGCAATGATTGTCTTTCCTTTATCTGCTCCTACTATTATATTATTTTGGGAAGCCTTATTTGTAATTGATTTTACAATAGACATATGTGAAAGATCCTGGAATTTACTGCTAGTCGTTAGTTGAGATTTTATTAAATTAGCTAATACGTGTTTGTTTACGATAATGTCGTTATGACCATTAAATGTGGATCACAAAATTTATATCGAACAATCAGGTAGAAAATTTAAGAAAAGTATGAAAAGTATAAGTTTGGTTTCCAACTTTGCCGTTCATTTAAATTCGGAAATGCACAAGTTTGATGATAATATTGATATTTTACATAATCAATCAAAAAGCAAAAAACTTAATTTATTGGAAGCTATGGAGATTAACAAAATGAGATATTATAACTTATAACCCTACACTCGTAATTAAAAATCTATTACTACCTGTATATGTATAGGTGTCGGAATATTGTCATAGTTTGCATTTGATAAAGGCAGAGTGATGCCGAAACATAAACTAATAAATAACTGTGAAAATCTGAACAACTTTCTAATTCTAATTTAATTGTGTTAAATGCATTTTCATCAAATAAAAACCAGTTACCTAATAACTATATGGATTAAACATTATTTTCAACACCTAACTTGAAAACTAATACGGGATATTAACGTTAGAAAATTGAAGGGAGTTAACGGTAGGGGAATAATAAGTCTTCGATAACGAGAAACATTGTAACTTATTAAAAGTTAGGATTAAGCCTCCGATCTTTGCGATTTAATTCGGCGATCTCAATCGATACAACTATACCTTGCTTTCCCAACTTAGCGCATCCCTTCTTAAACACGTCCAGGTACGATATGGACGCGGGATTGTCCTCGACGAGGCGGATCTGCTGCGAAACCGCCATCACCCTCGGCACGGTGAAGTGCAGAAATCTTCTCGCCGTTTCCTGTACCGAAATCGTCGGTTCATTTGAACTAATTGGGAAAAAATGGCGCGCTCACCTTCTGTTTGCCGAGGAACATGTTGAGCATGCGCAGCATCTGCAGTACGCGCTCCTCGCGTCTCGCGTCCGCCACGCCCAAATCGTTAACCACTAAGTAGGCGTACACCTTGCCGTTGTGGCCTCGGATATACAGTCGTCTCGCGACAGCGTTGTGTTTCTGCACCAGGTCCACCCTCGGCATGAACCGGGCTATCTTGACGAAGTAGTGGTTGTGTTTGGGCAACAAGAATTCACCGGGCAGCTCCACCTCCGCCGTTTTCAGGATGAAATTCGACAGGAACCGGCACTTTTCTTCGATAAGGAACGACCTACGGAACCGTGATGATTGAATACTAGCTCCGCCCCGTCAGACCTTTCGCAACGGTCTTACTGTAGCAACATCTTCGAGCGATTGTCCAATATCTTGATCCATTTCTTCAGCTTGAATATCAGCGTGTGCAGGCGCATCGAGTTCGACTGTGAAAAGTCAAAGTCCTTCTTGAACTCCTGCTCCATCTCGATAAAGACGGGATCCTGGTACGTATCCTCGGCGCGTCGCGCCAAACTCTCCGACGCGGCCGAATTGAACGTGACGTTCTCTGAGCTGGACACGCCCTTCTCGATGCCGATGCCGAACGTAGATATCAGTTTCGTGACGAACTTTAATATGTGCGGAGTGATTTTCGCTTCGTTCACCGACTCCCTGTTCTCGAACGCGATCGCGTAACACTTGGTCAGTCCTTGGCGCAGCTGACGTAGCACCTGAGGGAATGCGTATGTGTGAACTACCTCGATAGGCTGCACGGACGATATCTCTAGCACGAGAAACGCAACGAGTTCGCGTTTGGACCGTTTTAGGCATAAATTTACAAAGCTCCAAACATGATGATGCGGAAAGAACATTTTTTCAATATCATTTACTGACGAAAACATTTTTTTTGCCAGAAAGATCCAGTGCGGCCGACAAGCATTTCATACAAAAACTTATTCACTTATAAAGCATCCTTCTTAAACCTGATATAGCAAATAATAAATACAAGGTCGTTCGCGCAAGTTTTTCAAAAAGTTTTACTTGTGGGATGCTATTTTATACTATACAGTTTGTCCCAAAAGTCTCAAAAGTGTCAACGTTTTATTTTGTATATGATAGCATCATAATTATAAAAAACTTCTCATCCTAGATAGGGTGGCCAAAAATTTATTCTAATCTAACAACAACTTCAAGTGGCTATAACTTCATGAATTGTTTCATTGCATCTAGTTAGTATTTAGTAGTTTCAGTCAAGCTCTGAAGAAGACAACAGGATGATTGGCGAAACGTTAGCAAGTTCGATGAAAAAAAATTGTACAAGGGCCGTTCAATAAGTCCTGCCACCAATATGTGAATCAGTTATCCGAGACGGTGTTTATGTCCCATATTTAGCTCCGCCTCCCTTAAACAATATAAAAGCAGGTACAGAAGTTTTATCAAAAATATCAGTAGTCTGCGGATTTTTTTTTTTGAAAAATTGGGATACATTTTTGGCCACCCTACATAAGATCTGAAGTTTTTTATAATTAGAATATAAAATACGCTCTATTATTACACTCTACTTTAAATTTCGCTGACATAATTTAAATACTCCGTATTTGTAAAATAAACTAAAACTCAAATTATTTTAAAAAATCTTAAGAATCTTATAGAATCCAAAAATTCTATAATATTAAAGGGGTTCCATTAAAATAAAATACAAGTTTGATTTGTTTAACACTTGGGAACCTGCATAATATGAAAGTAATTTTAAAAAGTAACCACACCAAATTATCGCAGAAGTGAAACTTTTTGAAAACAATTTTGGTCATGATAATCCTTGGCTGCTAAGCAATGTCATTTCTACGAGACTCTGTTGCAACTGAGCTACTTTGCTGTATTTTTTTTTCGGACTCTCATGATGTAAAAACTCACCTCCTCGTACCAATTCTCCTTGAACCACTCCATCTGGTTCGCTATACCTTCCAACCCGGTCAGCACGCTCGTGTGTATATCCCTTTGCATCCACATGATCTTCGAGCAGCGCATCATCGCCGACGTCGCCTTGGCTATGATCGTCGGCACCTCGCCAGAGGGCGCTGCACTCGTCGATGCCGCGCCTTCCTGTCCCGGCCCCTCGCATCCGTTCTGAGAGTCCTGAGTCGCTTGCTGCTGCTGTATGGTGTTGGTTTTGCGCGCAGTCGCCGTCCTCAGGGTCAGGTACAGGATCCTGATCGGGAAATAGACAGCCTGAGGGAACAACCTGCCCACCTGACACAGTAGGTTCAGTATGACGTTGCCCTCGTAGTGGACGAACCAGTTGAGCAGCTGCGGCGTCCACGGCAGCCACAGGAAGGGAGGGACGCCGGCGGCGTACTGGTCGAGCGCCTCCATCAGGCTGTTGTTCTCGTCGTCGTAGTTGAGCAACCACAAGACCTTGGCCAGGTACTTGCGCGCCTTGGGCTCGTTCTGATGGCGGCACGCGTGCAAGAAACAGGCCATCGCGTTCACGCCGAAACTTATCTGTCGGAAATGGGGCCAATTAGGGTGTGAGGCTGTCGCGACCCACCAAGTGCGAACCTGTCGCGGATCCTTGATGAACACCTGTTCGAGGTAGTCGCCGTACAGAGCCCACGCTTTGATCGAGTAGTCGTGCATTTGGACTGCTGCCGAGAACGCTTTGTTAGCCTCGTCCGATTTGCCGCTCAGGTGGTACATCATGCCTTTGAGCGCGTAAAACTCGGCGGTCATTTCTTTGCCAAAGTACTGCATTTTGGTGTGGTTAATCACTTCGAGGCCTACAATAACGCGAAAAGCATTTAAGGTCGAAATGGATAGCAAAGATCATCTTCCAGCATAAATCCTCATTTCGCGCAAAATGCAAAACTAAACGCGAAAAAACAACTGTTAATAGTATCAATTGCATGAACTAATCCTTTGTACGAGGGTAGTTCAATAAGTCCTTAGAAAAACAAGGGTAGTATGGAAAATAAATTTTTGCTGTTAATATTTTAAAGAAACTTCCACAGTAATACTGTACACCAGCGGTCGCCAAACTGCCTATGGCGAGCTACCGGCAGCTCGCGAAGGCAATTCTGATAGCTCTCACAACGATTTTAATTTTAAAACTGAAGAAAAGAGAAGCTCCAAAATTCCACGAAAAAATCTAATTGCCATAATATTAAACATAAACAATTGCACAAAAAAATAATTGTCATAATATCAATAATCAAGGAATATGTTTTTACATAAGTTAAAGATAAAAATGTGTGTTCGTTATGTAATACTTCGGTCTCCGCTGCTAAACAGGGAAATATTAAAAAAATTAGTAGTCGGCAAATATAAGGCTGCAACTGAAGCATCGTACCGCGTGTCCCAGATAATTGTACAAAAAAAGAAACCTTATGAAAACGGGAAAATGATAAGACAGGCGTTTTTACAAACGAAACAGTTTCAGCTATAAAATCTATGCAACTTTCTGCTAATACAATGATGAGACGTGTAGAAGTAATGAGCAATGATATTTTTTACAGTTAAGAACTGACTTTAGATAACTGTGTTTATTTTTCACTTCAACCGGATGAATCAACAGATGTGGTTGACACTGCCCAGATGGTCGCGTTCGTCAGGATGGTTTTTAGTGATTTTACGATTAAAGATCTTTTAAAGTTTACTCCACTGAAAGGACGCACTACGGGACAGAAGTTGTCTCCTCATTTAAAAAATATTATTCCTTTCGTGAAAATGCCAATATCAAAAATGGTTGTTAGCCTGACAACCAATGACGCTCCAACGATGGTGGGTTGTGATAAGGGTCTGGGGGCGTTATGTCGTAAAGATGAAAGTTTTCCACAATTTTTCTGTTACCACTGAATTATCCATCAGCAAGTATTATGTGGAAATTTCCTGAAACCAAACAACGTTATGAAACTCGTGGTAAAAATTGTGAACAAGATTAGAGCTCATGCGTTACAAAGAGGATTATTCAAAACCTTGGCCGATGAAGTTGAGTATCAATACGGGGACTTACTCCTTCACTCTGAAGACCGATGATTAAGTAGAGAACGAGCAACGCGATGAACCGACTCCGGAACTAGAAAATTCAATCTGGCTTAGAGATTTTGGTTTTCTCGTGGACATTACAGAGAAATTAAGCGAACTCAATTTACAGCTTCAGGAGAGAGACAAAGAAATAAATGAAATGATTTCTGATATAGAAGCATTTAACACAACCTAATTAACAACGATCATAAGCATTTTCCTATTCTTTCAGAAAAGATATCTCAAAATCCATTAGAAGCCTGTGACAGCATATATCATGTATAAATAGTTCTACCCTGAAGGATAACTTCAAAAATCGTTTTATGGAAATTGATATCCAACAGTTTGCAACTTGTGTTATGCAGAACTTTGGCGAAGACATCGCTCCAAGGGAAATGGAAGTAATTGAGTTTCAAAATCATTTAGCCTTAAAATCGTTAGTCTCAACTACCAAATGTATCTGGCCTATTGTAAGTAAACACAAATATTCAGTTCTATACCGTGTTGCCTTGAAAGTAAAAGCATTATTCCGATCAACCTATTTGTGTGAATCTTCTTTTTCCAATATGAAGAACAAATATCGCGACTTACAGATAAACATTTGGATAATTGTATTCGAATGGCTGTATCAAATTATACTGCAAACATTAAAAAAATTATCGATGAGTCTGACTGTCAGCCTTCTCATTGAACTAGCTTTTTTAATTCTCAATGTTTATGTTCATGATAGTGCGTTACTTTTTTGTTGTTATTATTAACTATTTTTAAATCTTACGTGACATGCCGTTGTGGCTGGATAAAAGTTTGTGTTTATTTTTCAAACACCTTCGTTTGATAGGCAGGAATGTAGCTATGAACAAGTATGTTCTAGTAATATCAGTTTATTATTAGTACTCATGTATTATGTTAAAGTTAAATAGTAAAATAAATACATATAATAAATTAACTGAGGATTATTTAATTTACGTTGGGTTACGTGGCTTCCGTGTGGGTAGCTCCAGAAGTTTTGTTAATAGTAATTTTTGCCGTGTGAGCATTTAAGCTGTTAGCCGTATCGATCACAGTTTACTGTTGTGGTCGATTGAAAAAAACAATTTTAGTTTGTAATTTGTTTCGTGTAATTTTGTGTGTTAAATCAACGCTCAGGTGGACGGACTTCTGTGTTTGCAAGTGTTTACAATTGTGTGGTAATCCACGATATGATTTTAAATAATCAAAGTGCGCGAAATAGTTGGCGCCCCAGACTTATCGCAGGGTACAGTGGCTTCAATTTTGCATGAAAAGTTGGGTGTGAAAAAAATGTCGACAAGATGGGTGCCGCGTGACTCTCATGCCGGTTTGACGCTTTCGTCGATATTGTGATAAGTTTCTGCGTCGATATATCTGTTCTCTCTCCATTCATTACTCGTAAAAGGAAACAACGATAACAGAAAACTGTTATGCGTCATTTTTCCAACGACTGAGCAAAGAAATAGAGGAAAAATTACCTCATCTGAAAAAGAAAAATATCCTGTTTCATCAATACAATGCACGGATTTATTCTTGCGCAGATGCCACGGCCAAAATTATGGAATTAAAGTTGTAAATAATACAACATCCACTATATTCACCGCATTTGCCTATTTCTGGTTTCCACAGTGGTTTGATGGACAAAGGTTTAGGTCTAAAACCTTTGTCAACCAAACAATTTTTTCAAGTCTGGAAACCAGAAATAGGCAAATCCGGTGAATACTGGAAATACAAGATTGCTTTCGAAAAATCGTCACTGGGCGGGGCAAGTTCGCAGCGCGTAGCTCGAAGCAGCTGGTAAATATTAAAATTTACAGAAATAATAGCGTAGTCGAATGATATTTGTTCAAATATTTAGCGCCCTGTATAATTGACGGAATCTGAAACTCTCTCACGGTACGGTTTAAGATACTGTTCAAATAAAATTATCCCATCTTTAACGGTTTTTCATTTATCGAGAATAATTTACCCACAAAAACGGAAATTTTTAGAACATTTTAGATTTTTTGTCCATAAACGACACACCCTGTACATGATACAAACATTGTTCGAAGTAGGGGTTATAGCCCTGGATTTTCCACGCGTCCTGGTTCAAGAATTTTTTGAAAATAGTAAACGGTTTTCGAGAAAATAAGTTTTTTCTGAAACCATGCAGTGCGCCGTAATAATCAATGACGTCATCGCGTCTTGATAGCCCCCGAAATAACGATTCTAATATGGAGTTTTTCAAATATCTCGAGCATCGTATGTGATAAATAAAAACCGCAAAAACTTAATTAGCCATCTTGTTTACAATTTTCCATTTGCGGCTAATAAGTTACTCTGTAAAAGAACAATTTTCTAGGTCTTTTAGATTTTTGCCTATAATTTGAAAACCCTGTATATAATTGAAAAAATGCCCGAAATAAATGTCATTGCACTGGATCTTCTGCGTCTGCCGGTTAAAGAATTTTGCCAATCGGATGAACGATCATGAAGGAAAACATAATTTTCTGGAAGTTAAAATTACCAAAAAAAAATTTCAAACATTTTAAAAAAATACTTGGTAACATTTGATTGCCCCGATTTCTAACGTTTAAATGTGGACACGGACTTTTACTTCTCTGCTAAATTTGAAGTTGATATCTGCAAGTTTAGGACAAATAACACATTTCTCATTTGGCACGGAATATCGTGAACACCCTGTACATTAGGTGAAAAACTTAAATACAAAAGTTTTTGCTGTCTATGCGGGCTACATCGCCATATAAAAGAAAGTGAGATCTGAGTCATTGTCTTTCAGTTATAACCAATTTTCAGTTTTTTTGAATTTGCGGCGTACCCTGTATATTTGTGAAAAATGGTCAAGAATAAAAGTTTATAGAGCCGTATCTTCTGCTACTTCTGGTTCAAGAATTTTTTTTCTTCTCGTAAACAGTTTTTGAAAGATGATGTTTTTCGTGGACGCTTGTATCCGCGATTTTTTTATTTTTTTAGAATACTTCCCGACCCCCCAGTCCAATCTTTTAGACGATTTAAAAAATATTTTCCCACCTTTTTGCGATTATTATTATTATTACCTTCGGCCAATTCGTTTTTGTTGTTCATCGACGCCATCTGCAGGTAACACTTGACCTGTTGGCGCACCTTTTGGAAGCAGTCGACCACCGGCACGCTCGAGATGCTGTAAATCTTGTTCAGCGAGTCGAGACAGACGCCGGTCAGTTTGTGCTTACGCGCGATCTTCCCGAAGTGGATAATCGACTGCGCGGAAGCGTGCATGCCTAGCTTCGCGTTCGATGACGACGTCTTCTCGTAATGCTGCACGATGACCTGGTAATGGTGCTGACGCCACGTAAAAATTTCGCTCCAGTGTACCAGCTCATCGGCAATTACGGGCAGGCGGTTACGCCACGTTTTCACGATTGCTTTCATGTCGTGCAAAGAGTTCTGGTGAACTGTAACGAAGAAAATGAAGAGGGGACGTTTGAACTACCCGTTTCGACGCTCGTCGTACCTTGCATCAGACCCTTGTGGATCTGGTACGCCTCCTGCAGCTCCATAATCTGCTGCGCGGCCTGCAGGTACTGTAGATGGATGTGGCTTACGACGTGGGGCAGCCGTCGCCACTCGTTTAGGCAGAAAGTGCTCGCGGTTTCGACGTACCTGCAAAAATGTATGTTTGACTAGCCAAGTACAACAGCAGTGACCGACGTACCTCTCGACATATTTCAGCGGTTTGCCCTCTTCCGGCTGACAAATCAATAAGTACCCGCCGTACATGGTCACCTTCCACGCGTTCTCCCTAGGCGACGTGAACTCGATCTTGGACAGCGCCTCCTTCATGTAGTCCCAATTGGGGATGCGCCATGCGCTCTCCAGCAGCAAGTCGAAGTCGCAGTACTTCTTCGCGTACTCTACCAAAAGGTCCCACTGTTGCAGTTCCTTGCAGCACCGGATGTAACGCTGGTTCCATAGTTTCACTTCCTGATTGTAGGCGGCCGGTATGGGCCCGGAATCGGCGTCGGTTTTGTATTTGGCTATCGCGGCGTCGTACGCGCTCTGCGCTTGCTCGAAGAACCCGTGCTGCTCGTATGCAATTGCGACGCCGGTTTCCTTGTAGTGGGCGTTTTTCTGCCAGATGCCCGCCCACAGATCTTCCTCGCATAAAGTCTGATAGAGTTCGGCCAGGGAACCGAGAAGCTCCGAGCGACCCTGATCGGACTCGAGCTCGTAGGTCGGGTTGTTCGTTTTGTTCGCCATATCGCACGCGGTTTGTTCCATAGTGAGCGCCATACGGTGCCACAGGTTGTGAGTCTTCGCGAGGTACTTCATTGTGGGCGCGGACATCGGAACCGGCGGGTTGCACCTGCAATTAGACGCGAATTGTCCAATCTGCGTGAGGGTAATTTGAACTACCGCGCCTATAAGCCTCCAAAATAAAAAGTGAGTCAAGTCGAATGTTCTATTAGAAGTTCTGAAGAACTAAACAGTTTTTTTTTATCAAATTTGGAATTTGAAATATTTAGCCACGTGCAATGTTGCCGGCGGGTTGCACCTGCAATTAGACGAGAATTGTCTGATCTGGTTGAGGGCAATTTGAACTACCGCGCCGATAAGCCTCCAAAACAAAGGGGGAGGTAAGTTGAAGTCCCGAAGAACTAAATATTTGTTTTATCAAATTTGGTATTTCAAATGTTTTTACAAGTGCAACGTTGCCAATTCCAATCAAAACAGACCACCACATGGAAATTCAAGATTCAATTCAACTCACGTATATTACGTGCATTTTCTGATTTAATTTTGTTAAGATTGTCGAGGGTACAGCTGCGTGGAATTTTATGCAAGGCGACGAGATTTATTTTGGTCTTCGATTCTTAGGTAACCATTATTGCCAATCTCGTTGCTGTGATTATTGTAGTTGTGACCCCTTTTTAAATACATGCACTTATCTTTTTGCTTCTAAGTTGTGGGCAGAAACATCTCTTTGCTCTGGTGCGGTTTTCGATGAATTATCTTAGCTGTTTTCATCTATTACATGCCGTAATCACTTTTTACTGTCCGTCCAATTTTTACATTGCAAGTACGGGGATTATTTGTCTATATCACGTCACCGTGGTGTAATTAATGCCCTGTAAAAGCACCAATTGTTTTTGACCTTTGAAATTTCATCTTTTACTCTTATTACCTTGGTTATTTTTTTTTCTTCTTCCCTCTTGCTTGAATTGATAATACCTTCGGATATCTTTGATCAGATTCAAATATTGGGTTAATGATAGTTTCCTTTAATTTTATTAAATCAGTTTTCTATTGATAATTTTTGCATTGGGCCAAACATAAAATTGAGGATAGCACTGTAAATCTTGTTAGCTTTTAATATTGCAATTTGTAAGCACGAATAGGTGCACAGTTTTTTTATATTGTTAATCCAAAGTCTCCTGACACAATATAATCAGTCATCGCCTAGTCCAGTGACAAGGTCCACCAGATCAACAGCCCCAGCTACCAAGAGTATTTAGGGCAACGTCCCGTGGGAAACAAGTAAACAACGCTTTGCTTGGAAGGGTTGAGCAATTGCGGGTGGTTTTATCAAAAATTTGTTATTAAATCTTGTTAAATTAATTTTCTTGCTTTTTCTCTAGTCCCTAATTTGCCTTCGTTAGCCACCGCGGTAAAAAAACAAGAACAAGGATTTGACCTGTTTTCCAATTTCCACTATTCCACTAACAAAATTAAAATCCCTAGTCGGGAAAATCCGAAGCACGCCCTTCCCGCATTCAACTGAGCCCAAAGGTAAGAATTTTAGCGCCCAACTTTGGTCGTTTCTCATATTTGAATGAATAAAAATTGTTCTTTAAAAATCCACATAAAAAAGATTTTTCTCATAAATTATTTACTTAAATCAAATGATATCGGCAAATAGTTTAAATAAAGCACTTAGAAATAACACAAAAAATGATCCTGATATTTTAAACTTGTTCTACATTTAGGTTGGGTCCCACAAACTGACACGGAGAACCTGCAGTTGATTTAATGAATTATAGCGCTGAAAACTATGTTACATCGGCAAATAGTTTTAAGTAAATCATGACAACATAACCCAAAAAATGGAAAATTCAATTGGTCGTTCAATCAAATAAATTACCAAAGTAATGTTGACCCAAGTTACTCAAAATTTCGAGGCAAATCCGAAATCGTGCTAAATATTTCAAAAGGCACGGCACATAATTTTTTTGAAAAAAATTAATTCTCTAAAACTTGTTATAGGATACTCAGCAGTGAACATTTGAACTACTCCGGGTTACCTGAACAGCGCCTCGACGAAGGTGTTTAACGCGCTAGGCTGTCCGTCTTTCTGGATGATGTGACAGCCGGACGTGATGAAAGTAACCATCGGTTTTCTAAGCGCAGCCCTCTCATCTTCGTCGAAGATGGTCCAAAACTTCGGGAACAGACTGAGCCAAACCTGTTCCGCTAAACTGGTGTCCATGTGACACAACTGCGCGGTGGCGAGCAGGAACTGATCGGTGGTGATGTTGCGCGATACCTCGATGAACTCGTAGTGCTTGTTGATCATTTTAGTGATGGTCTCGGCCCGGGCCATCGGCTTCTGTTCCGGCGTCGTCTGCGGCAGTTTAAGATCCATGTCGAGCACTTCGTCCTTGACTTCGACCGATTCATACAGTTTCGGGTTGAGCGGTTGCGTTTTGCGCAGCTCCTCCCTCTTTTCCTCGGTATTGACGACCGACGTGATGCTGGGCAGGATGCTACTCTCGTGCGACATCTTGATACTGACGTTGGCGGTCGCGGTGACGAGCAATAGCTCGATACACTGCTTGATCCAGTAGTGCTGACCGATAGCTTCCCAATTTTGCGAGCATACGATGTAGAGGAGCCTGTCGTGGAGGCGTTTGCGCATCGACTCGTCGAACACCTTGTAGAATTTCGCGCGGATGTGAGGCTGGGGACACCGGAGTCCCGCCAAGAAGGCCGGCTCCAATTTCGACGTCAACTCGGACGTTTTCAATTGCTTATCGGTGTAGACGTAATTGACCAGCTCCAGGAACTGCGCCTGGAGCTCGTTATCGTCCGGGAACCGTTTCTCCACGTATTGCATCAGTTTCACAAGCAGGATCGACTTTTCGCGCGAACTAGGCGCCTGATTAAGAGTCACCTGCGAAAAATCGAACGTTTGAACTACCGACCCATTCGTCGGCCACTTTAGTAACACTCACCGGGTTCTTGCACTTCATCCACTCCTCGAGCATCTTGGTGACGGCCTTTATCACTTTGATGTCCGACGTCTTCTCCATCAAACCGACGAGGATGCTACCGATGAAGGTCTTCCGCATCTCCACCCCCATCACGACGATCCTAGTCTTCACGAGGTCGAGGCTGAGGATGAGCAGTTCGCTGGTGAGGGCGGCGAAGTTGGCCGCCGTGGTCTGAAGGTGTTCCTTCTGAAGGCGGTGCAGTACCCGCATAAAAGGCGTGATGATGTGATCGACATAAGAGGGATTGTTCGCACACGCCGCTTTTAGTATCATGACGGTACCAAAGAGGGCGGGAGCTTTGCATTCGTCGTACGACTCGAGACCGGCGAGGATGATACCGTTCACTTTGCCGTAGAACTGATCCAGATCGGCGAACTTGTTGACGCGTTCGAGCGGAAACGCGGCGAACAGCTTGAGCAGAAGCCCGTGCATCAGTTTGACGATTTTGTTGTTGGTCGAAGTAACGCAAGCGCCCAAACCGGTCTGAAGCTGCTTGAAATTGAGCAGGATCTGATCCTTTTTTAGTACTGTCAGCAGGAATGTGAGCAGCTCGAGGGCGGTACAGATGTTCGCGACGTTCGCGTTCGGCGTCTCGACGAGTTGCAGGATTTTATCTAGGAAGCCGAGCTTGAGGTCGACCGGTTCGGGCCACAGTTCCGGTTTGAGCGCGTTCTTCAACAGGATAACGCATCGGCGCGAAAGCGTCTCGCCCGGACTACTCGCGCCCGGATTTGCCGGATTCTGTGGCGCCATCTCATTAACCTAAAAGCAGATGAGCGCAACATTGTAACTACCGTCTGAAAATCGGCTGAATTTTTAAATTTTTCATAATAATAATAGTTTATTTCCAAATAGCACATTCAAGAGAACATTAAATAAGTAGAGATATTAATCGTCAATAAACATGGGAGAATATTAGCAAATGAATATTTCTTTGTCCGCTGATAGATAAAATCAAAAAATAAAAACATAAACATTTTAAATTTTAAGTGTGTCGTGAATAACAGACTTTCAAAAATCAGAACAAACTAACCAAAAACTTATTGAGTAGTAATAATAGAATAACTATTTTTTAAATCTACTTGTTGGTGCATGTAAGGTCTCGGCGGCTTTTTTATCTTCTTTTTATATTCATTGTAGGGTCTAAAATTTTGAATCACTTCAAGTATCAAGGCAATAATGTTTGTTACTAAATAAGAAAAGCATTTTTTCTCGCCTTATTACTCGCAGTTTTTGCTTTTAGGGTGGTCTCGAATAATCGTGCTTGAATAAATGTAAGCAGTTCCTGCGATTGCAATAATAAATGTAAATAAAATAATTGTCTAACATCTAAGATCTTTACCATTTGATAGAGTTCTTTTGTAAGATAAATCAGCATTTTATTATATATAAATTTAAGACTCTACTTTTGGGTTATTTAAATTTTCCTGTAGTAGTTATTAGTCAAACCACCCCACCCCAAGAGACCGTATGTGAGATGTGATTCAACCAATATACTATACAACACTTTTAGGTGTTTTATATCATAAAATTCACTGGCATTCTTGAATATTGGGAGAAGAGATCTCATTTTTTTAATAAGTTTATCAGTGTTATATTTCCAAGTCAAGTCCATGTACATACTAAGGTATTTAACATAATCGGGGGAAACTATATCGAAAAACTTATTCAGTTTACTCTCGATTCGAAGTTTTGTGAAATTTGGCAAGGTACGCGAATCACAGGAAAATGGGAGGAAAACAGTATAGAATCTGCAAAACTTAAAATATTCCCATTTGTTAATATTGTTAATGTACGAAACAAAGAGAAATGGGTCCTGTGGAACTCCATATTCAACCTTTCTTTCACAACTAAGCACACCCACCTGGATGTCATATTGCTTTCGGTCACTGAGATAAATTGACATTAATTTTAAGGCTACTCCCCTTAACCCCATACCCCAAAACATCAATCAACTTGCTTTCTTAATATCTAAACAAATACAAAGTGATTTCAGATTTCTGTCTAATGACAGACAGAACATGATAGACTTGTTGTCGTGTAGTAATGGCATCTTGGGTGGATTTACAGTTCTGGAACTCAAGTTGATAGTGGTGTACGATTTTAAATTTTTCGAGATAGCTAACAATTCCGTTTTATAAATATTTTTTCAAAAATGATTGCGAAGTTTGAGAGCAAGGAGATTTTCCCATAATTTGAAGGGTTTGTTTTGTTACCAACATTATACAGTGGTCGAACTATAACCTTGGGAATATCCCTTTATTAATACAGTTATTTAGAATATGAGTTAAACTTTTTGAGTGTTTCCGCCCATACGCCGTGAAGTCCAGGAGAATTTTTGGATTAGAGATTTAGCACTATGCGTCCGATTTCGCTGTCATCAATGTCATGGAGGTATATAGGGTTCGGCAGATATTCTTTTGCAAAGGTTTTCCTATTTCATCCTTGCGTTGTATTTGCTTGATCGAGAATTCCTTCTTTTTACCATTAATCTCTTGTACAGTTTTTCATAAACCAGAATTATTATTCCTATCGCTCCTAAATGCATAAAAAAACATTTTTTTGCTTTATTAATGAGTTTAGGCAGTTTGTTTTTATATGCTGTATAACGGGTTTTAAAATCATGATCATTAGGTTTTTCTAAAGCTTCATGGTACAATTTATTTCTAATATAAATCAATTTTAAAAGTCTGTTTGTGGTCCATTTTTTTCTAGCAATATCACAGGAAAAAAACATTGATTCATACATTATAATATTGTCTGTTAAGTCGGAAATAAACAGGTGGGTAGAATTTTCGGGATCTTGCTTGATATATATGTTTGTCCACATTTCTTTAGTTAGCTTTTGTGCATTGTAGTTCCACATTTCTTACTGCTTTACTTGTTCAATGTTGCAATAGAACAGGATAGTGATCTGTTACTTCTTGCTGTAAAACACATACCTGAAACCTGCTCTTTTGTTTTAACAAATAAAGGATCCATACATCACTTGGAACTTTCGCTCACACGAGTGTAATGATTTATTGCAACATGAAAGTTATGAATTTGAAGTGACGGCGAAGTATAAACACGCAGGATATGAAACAACTTACCTCCATCGGCACTCATCACAAGCTCTACGCATTTAATAGTGAAGAATAGTGAAGTTTATTTTTGTTGCAAACTATGACTTATTCAGTTGACCGTGAATATTAAAAATTACTTTGTTTAAATGTTTCTGTGAGGACAATAACATCAAAGCCTAGTTTGGTTTCGATAAAAGTACATTCATTTCATTTATTGTGAAATATTTTAAAATTTTGTTTATTATTTTTACTATTTATAGTCTTCAGAATTGTTTGATATAAATGTGATTTGAGTGGGAGAACAATTCTTCACATACGGGTCCATACTAAGAAAAGGATGCAGACTATTTTTCTTGGATTTATTTACTATATGTGTATATTAATTTGTTAAAAGGAACATATTTACTTTTAAGGGAGGTTTTACTTTTGACTTGTAGATACGGATCTGGTTTTAACTAGAATTCGGCAGTTTTTCTAATAATTTGTTCTTTTGTTGTTTGATGTTATTTTTTTTTGCTCGATTGATCTGTGAACTCCACCTGTTTTTTCAGATCGATATTTTCCTTTTTTGAAGAGATCTTATTTCTTGGGTTAGTTCTTCTACGTGCAGTAAAATTCTTACCTCACTTGCTTCTATCGCATTACGCAATTCTCTCTTCGCATAAATAATTAATGTTTACGTTTCTTGTCCTTGCGTTCTGACTCAAAAAACGATACTTCCACGACCCAGACTGTCTTTATCAGATTAAAAAGACGTTATTATAAACGTTTTTATTCCCACTTTCTATGTTAGAGAAAATACGCATACCTCAATTGGTGGTACACTACGAGAAATTCAATTTTCTTTGTATATAATTGCTACAAATTTCTGAATTACTATCGAACCATGTTTACATGACGTTTATAGCATAAAACTGGCACACCCTCAAATCGCGTTCAATGACTTTTGAAATACTATTTGGGAGTTTATCGATAACGAAACCAATCGAACGTCAAGAAAACTTCCCTCCCACCATTGAAGAGCAATAGAAAAACGAAGAATTTATCTAAAATCGTGGGACACCCTGTATAGAGTGTGTGTCTTACTTGACAGGCGAGTCGGAGCAGAAAGTTCAGCACGTTATCGGTGTGTCTCTTGTCGATGTGGTCGCCGGACGCGGTCTCTGCCTTGATCGCCACTTGCGACGAGCCGGAAGTGCCCGGCTGAACGCCCGCCATCTTTTTTCTAATAGCCTCGACGTTTTCGTCCCCGCTCGATTTCTTAACTGCGCCGCTTTCAGCACCAGACTGAGGGGAAAAACGTTCTTTTTATACATACTATTACTTGGTCGGCTAACATTTGAACTACTTCGCAAAAACCGCGTTCCCACCATTCGGAGTTCCCGCTATGGTGAAGCAATTTACAGCTCCACTTAACTTATTAACTTCCAACAACCAAATATTGCGCCAGTCTAACTTGTAGCTCCGAAACCGAGGAACCAAGTGTATTTGAACTACTGCGAACTAACGCGTTTTACCTCTGCGTTCGCCGTCTCGTCCTTGATACCATACAGCTCCCACTTAATGATAACCTCCGCCAGTTCGACGGCGAGCTTTCGATGCTCTAGCGTCGCCGTCGGGCTAAAGCCCAACCGTTGTATCGAACTGACCATGTGCTGAACTAAATCGTGGCGCACGGGATAGTAGACCTACAAAAATCGGGGGTTATAGCCGGACCGCTACACTCCCCGGGAATACTCACCTTGTAATGTTTGACTACTAGCTGCAAGATGTGAAAAAGCTGCTGCATCGAATGCCCTTCATCCATCAGGATCTTCTTGGTCCAATGGGTGAGCATCACGTAGCCCTTTTCCACTCTGAACGGCATGGAGGGCGTCAAAATTTCCAACGCTTGTCGCACCACGTTTCGAGCCTCCACCGCGTGCGCCCTCAACAAACCGTGAAATACCTGCAGGACTATCTTCGAGTGGATCGCGAACTTGTCGATGACGTGCGACAGCAGCAAGTGGCCGTGGTACCTGGTCGCCGGGTCGATGCAATGCTCGACCAGCAGGCTGGGCCATGCGAACGTCATCAGCCGTCTAACCTTGAACCCCTGCGTTTTTTTGTTGGTGTCCTGGTCGTGGATGTGAGGACTGGCCTGCTCGACGAGCAAGCAGGAGAACTGCAGGAGCGATATGCGCACGCAGTCGGCGATGGAACTCTCCGGATTAATCAGGGTGTTGATGAACACCGAGACGACGTTCTCACTGTTGTCTTGGTACGGCATGGGAGGCCCGCCGATCAGTTTGTTGGTCTCGCCGCGCTGGAAGCTCACCGCGAAGCAAGGGATGAGGATCAGCTGGAGCACCTTGGCTTTGAGCTCCTGCGACATGTCATTCTTCGAAAACAGCTCGACGAAACGGAAGAAGGCGGAGCGTTTCCATTCGACGGTGTAGTTTTGGGCGACCGTGTGTTCCAAAAAGTCTCGCAAGAACTGAAACGATCCACAGGTCCAGTACGGTCTCGCGCAAAAGTTATATATATGACACGAAAAATATTATTCAGTTATAGGATTATAAAAGCAAGACGTTAAAAGCATCCAAGTGAGATGCAAATATTTTGCTATGTTGCCAAACGTCCCCCCAGTTCCAATAATATAAGTCTCCTCCTACTGTAGTCAATTCTTCGAATCAGTCAGGGATATGTTTTTAGTATAATTTAATTCTCACGAGGAGTTGCGTCGTTCTTGGTACAGATTTCGCGCGTTTGGAATTACATTTTTTTAAACCTTTGACATATTTCTCTACAACGCTTCAAAAAATATACCTATTTATTGTTCTTTGTTTTCATATACGTTTTCGTTTGGACCAAAATAAAAACGTTGATTTTAATTTGAAAAAAAAATCATAACATATTTAACAAAATCATAGCTGTCCGCGCGACATAAAAAATAAAAAAGAAGTTCTAAAAATAAAACTAAAACTAAAAAATAACCATTTTCAGATGAGTAATATCTATTATAAAATTCTTGTCGCATTTTGGCAAGTGGTTCAGCAGTAACATTTTTGATAGCATTTGTAATTTTATTACGAAATTCCTCTAAATAATTTGCACGATCATATGTAAATAATGCTTGTGACGTAACCTCAAAGAAAAAAAATCATTTGGTGCTAGATGCCATTTGATTGTTTGATTGTTCCCTGTCCACTTATTATGAAATTGGGAAACGTGGCGTTCAGAAAATTCTTGATGGTACCAAATTTTATGGTTTTATGAACAGAGGTGTTAAAGTCTGAACAGCTGAAATTATTTGATGACGCAATGGGATGCGTTTCTCTGCTGGTAGAATTTCCTGCGTGGTCTGTAATTTGTAACACACAAATCTCTCTTTAAGTTCCCGGAAAGTTTAAATTTGTTAAAGCACAATATTCGAACTCTCGACGTTCCCTTTGGTTATTTAAGGGATTTAAATTTGTTTTATGTACAGGAATTAGCCTATTAGCCTAATTAGCCACCTATGGAGGTGGAAAGAGGGACCCAAACAGGTTCTTATTTAATCTCAAGTACATTTCTTGTGACTCTCTAACATTCGAAGAGTCTCGGTGTAACTCTGACACGTATATAAGGCTGTCCAAAATCATTTCTGATCTCACCTGAAATTCGGGAATGAATCTGTCGGTGGTGGCCCTCAGCAGCTGAAAGAGCAAATCGATGTCTGTCGGGTGGTGCCCAAAATAGTGCAGCAGGATCTTGACCAGCAACTTCGGCTCTTTCCAGTGCGTGTACTCCAGCTGATCGATGTTCTTGTGCCGCTCCTGATACGAGTCGTCGGTCCAGATTTTGCGCAGGGCCGCGATCAACTCCTGCTGGGTGGACAACCACTGCTCGTCGAACTTGATCAACAACGAGACGATCCTGATGCTCTGGTACTGCGACTCGTTGCGCTCCGCCGGCGTCATGTGGACGTCAGAGTAGTTCGAAGATACCATCGCGATCAACCGGTCGACCAGGTGGTTTTGGATGTAGTCCCTGAACGGTTTGCCCTCCTTGTGCTTGATCAGGTACTCCAGGTACCTGCTGTACTGCTTGTCTTTAATGTATGCGTCGTTCAGGAACAAGGCCAACGTTTCGGCCGGGTACCGAAGTAAAAACTTCATCAGGATGCCGCGAAATGGACTGGCCGCCTCGATCATCATCGCCCGTTCCGCTTGGAGGATCTGCTGCGTCAGCTGGGAAATAAATTTGCTCGACGCCGCCGGCGTCTGATGAAATATACTGATTATCGTCACGATCTTCTGCTCCTCTTCGGTCTTTTTCGGCAAACACGTACCACCGTTGCCGAGCACCGCGTCTGAAAGAAACGCGCCAGTTCATTAAACAGACGCCGCGCAGCAAGTATCCGCGCTTACCCGCACCCGTCGTGTGGGCGCCGGTCAAAGTCGTCAGATGTTGCTTGAGGATCTCGAGCAGCTGTTCGCAGAGGAGCATGTTAAACACGTGCGGAAACAGCTGCGTCAGGTACGACAAAACCTTCAAACCGTTCAGGGTTATGCTATTTATATTTTTCACGTTCCCCAGGGTCGTCAGTAGCGGCCGTATGGTCGTGTGCACGAGTTCCTGAAATTTAACCCGAGGTCACGCCCGGTCCTCCCACCCCAAAGAGTTGGCACCACCAACCTTGCCGACGCGGTACCCGGCTATGAACTTCTTAATGCATTCGAACGCGGTCTCCTGCAGCTCCGGTATCGGCTTCTCGAGGGCATTGTACAACACCTTGAATATTTTGTCGCGAACCTTCTCTAAGTAGTAGCAAGCGGCCAACACGCGCAGCGCGCTTTGCCGGAGCGGCGTAAAGTTCGTGATCGACTTGTAGCAGGAGAACGTATTCAGTTTCGCGTCTTCCGTGTTGCACAGCGACAACAGGTCCTCGATGAAGAGGTTGTGCTCCTTTATGTCTGTGTTGATCGTAAAGAGTCGCGGCGTGAGCGACGTGCAGAACATGTTGCCGTCGAGGAGGCCCATTTGAGCGATCGCGGGCTGATGTTTCAGCACGTGCTTTTTCGGCGGCACCATGTCTTGGAGCACCTCCTGGAACGGCTCCATAACTGCGGTCACCGTTTTGTTTTGTTCTTTGGCCAGTAGGTGGAGCGACGCCATCGACTACGGACAATCGCAAACCTATTAGGACGCTAAGTTCGAGCGTTCCGGCAGCCTATTAATGACGCTTGACGATATTTTTGAACAAATCATCTACTGCGTCGTGAAAAACGTCGCTTTAAAACCGAAGGAAAGATTTGGTTGAATTGAACCAAGGACTTGCGAGCGCACCGTGAAGAGTGTATGTAAGTATCGCCAATGCCCACCTGTTCCCTGACCATGGTATGCGGGCTGGTAACTTGGTGGACAAGTTCGCGGGTGACCGTGTTCAATGCCTTCTGCTGTAATCCGACGGTTTCGTCGTCGCTACCGTCCGGCGGCGGAGTGACCAACACCACCAACATCTTCTGAAGGTTCTCCTTGGCCATATCTAACGACCCGCTCGACACTTCGCCAGTTAAGTCGGTCATGACAAATAGCAACGCCTTAAGGAACGTGAACATGTGCTTGTAGACCCACTTGAGGGCGCACTGCTCGAACATGAACTTAATGGCCAAGCAACCGCCCAGTTTGGCGTACCACGCGCGCTCGTAGCATAACGAGCACATCTTCTCCGACAGGTACTCGATAAGAGGCAGACGGCAAGCGATCTCTTTACTACCGAGCAGTGTGCTGGCCGTGTCGACGATCAGCATCAGACCCAAGTGACCGGGTTTGCACAGTTCCCGTTCCTCGTGACCCATTATGACAGCTAGGGCATCCACCAGTACGAGCGGATCTAAATCTATTTGCTTGTTGGGTCTGGGCGAGTAGGCGAACGCGCCAGACTGCTGAGCGACCGCCACCATCGTGTAGTGACGCACGAGGGAGACGAAGGCGGGCACGGCGTGCTGTCGGAGCTCCTTGATGGCCGCGCCGATAAACATACCCGTCAGCGCCATCTGGTGAGTCTCGCGTGATACTTTGTACACCGATTTGTAGTGGCAACCCTTCGCGTTCGGTATGGACGAGGGATCCTGGAACTTCGGGTGCAGGAACAACGTGATCAGCGAGTTCTTACTGTCTTTGAGATCGCGGGACGCTGCCAGGTAACAATTGATCACTTCCCACGCCTGTTTCCGATAGAACGGGTCCGTGTTGCTCTGTTTCAACGCGTTGAACGCGGTCTCTATCACCTGGGGGTAGGAAGGATATGTTTACGAACAAAGGATACGTTTGAACTACCGCGAAGTGTCCTATGACTAATGTCTTATAATTTGATGAGTGCATCTGTACACCACCCAGATGCCGAATTGACGGTTTGTTCGCTCAAATCCGGATTTTTTCCTAGTCTTATCTGACTCAACAGGGATGAGGGTTGAGATGCACTCATGAAATTATACCTTGGTGACTGGAAACTCGATAGACTGCTCGTAACTGTCGAACTTGGCCCAGATGGCGGGCGGATCGTGCTCCGACGCGATGTAATCCAAACGCTGAGGCTCGATCATCATCTTCCTGTTGCCGCCGCCGAACTTCCCGAGAACCTTGAATGCGACCTGCGCCACCTGGTCGTTGTTGCGCAACGTCCGCCAGAGGGCTTGCATCAGTTCCGCCCTGACGGGCTGCATATGGTCGTAGAGGAAATCGTGCTGGAGGTTGTCGACGCACAACTCGAGAGTGCGCAGGCCTTGGCTGATGAGCACATGAGAGCCGTTCAATGCAGACACCAAAGGGTCCATCAGCATCGGCAGGTACGGCAGTAGAGAGCTGAGACGCACGGGCACGGTGAGACACAGCTCGACGAACAGGTCTTTCATATGCTGCTTGTGCAGACCGCTCTGGAGTCGGTTAAGACCCTCGAGCAAATTCGGTAACAGCGGCAGGAATTCCTGGTAGAGAAGATCGTGGCTGCCTCCGCCTATCGAACGGAAGAGGGCGCGCAGCAGTAGGAAATAGTTGTAGGGCTCGACGGCGCTCATCGCCAGCTCCATGGATCTAGGGTGAAAGGGGGGGGTAAAGTTTGAAAGCTACATGGTTTCGCCCCGTCTTACTTGTTGACGATGCAGTGCAGATGCGGTTTGAGCATGTTCTCGTTCTCCTGCGGGAACAGGGACACGCTGCCGAACACTAATTTGAAAAGTCTCAGGTACAAGTTGCTTCTTTCAACGTTGGAACCCATCTCCTCCATGCGCTCGAGAAGGTACTCGACGAGGACGGTGGCGAAAATGGAGCTCGTCGCGGGATTCGAGAGCAGAGTGTTCGGTATTGTCTGCAAGGTAGGGTTCTTGTAAACCCTCTCGACCAGGTACTCGATAGTCGTAGAGAATATCTCGTGGAACGTCTGCGAGTTCATCATCGAGAAAACGCCGCTACAGTGCTCGAGCACCTCCTTCTCTTCTTTGGTGCGCACGTTTTGATTCAGTCTTTGATTCGAAGGCGTCGCCTGGTGCGCGTTGCCGTTGAGGGTGTAAATGTCGAGCGCTTTCAGCGCCCACTTGACAAATCTGACGAACACGAGCGTCTCGTGGGGCTGAAAATGTTTGGTCTGATCCAGGGATTGACCGGCGACCGTCTTGCAAGCCGAACATCCCCACGTGATCGTCTTCACGCCGCAGACGAGCGTCTTCACCAGGCTGCGATAGTCCGCGACGTTGTAGTTGTTGTTCTGTGGGAAACCGAACCTCGATTTGGGTTCCTTGTCGGCCGACGCAGTCTGCCCGGCGTTAAGCACGTTTTCCAGCTGCTCCGGACTCTCGACCTTCGGTTCCACCCCGCCGCCGGTGAGCTCCTGTTTTTTTTGCTCGCCGCGGCTGACGAGTACCGGCAGCTGGATCTTGACGAACGTCTTGAACTTCAACACGAACACCTCGAGCATGCGCATCAGGAGTTCCCTGCCTTCGTTGCTGCCATATTGGAAATATTTTATTCCAGTTACGGGGATAGCGGGGCATTCTCACCTATTTTCCGCTTCCGACCTGACCCGTATGCAGTCCACCAAATTTAACAGCACTTTGCAGGACATCGTCTGTATGGTGGTCGCCAGACTGTCGTCGTGGACGTTCTTGCTGAACAGGTGAACGGCGCGGGTGAGGTCGGACAGGGGGAGCTGATGTCTGATGTGGTGAACCAAATCGGCGAGGGTAGAGTAAGCGAGAGGACGTAAGGATTCGTGGGTGGTCCAGCCGCGGCCCAGCAATACATCTTGGTCGAAAAGGCGTTCCATGTGAGGAACGAATTCTAAAATAGAAATGGCATAACGGTGACGCGTTTACATTGCGGTAGTCGTACTCACTGTTGCGCAGCTCCGTGGCGAGGATATGCCTGGCGGCGATCAGCAGCTCCCTGCGCAGGTGCGCTACCTCCTGCGGGCACAACGTCAGCAATCCCAACATGCCTTGGACCATCATTTCAGAATGATTTTGTACCTGGCGGGAAAAGCGAACGATAAGTCGGTACTATCTGAGTTAAACCAAAGACCCGCTCACCACTTCCTGATATATTTTGATGATGTACGCCAAGAACGACAAGGTCTTGATTTGAGCGCCCATAAAATCGACGAATATCACCTTGTTAAAGGTCTCCATTTGTCTCTGCTCCAACGTCGGCCGGAGCGTTATCGTGTTCATAATTAGGGGAATGAAATCGCTGACATCCTGGTGGACATTCTGTTTGTGCAGCTGGTACATTAATACTACTATGATGGGTAGCTCTTGCAGCACTTTGAGCGACAGCACGGCTTTCGGAATTAAATAGTACTGAAAACGGACGCGACGGTGAGAGGATGGGCGCTAGCAGCGACGATACGCTACTTACGGTCACCAAAGCCCCGTCCTTGTTGCTGTTTTCGGTTAAGATCTTGGTGATGGTGAAGGTTTCCTCAAGGAGGGCGTCGATGTCGAGCTCGGAGAGGTCACGAATTTTGAATTGGGGTTTGGCTTCGAAAATTTTCGCCATGTGATTCGGGAGGTTCGAGTAAATGGACTTGACGAACTGCAGGAACCGTTGTATCTCGACACTGAACTGCGGCTTGTACTGTTTGTGCAGTTCGATTATGATTTTCAGGCAGATCAGTACGTTCTCCTCGTTGTCGATTTCCAGCAATTTAAACATAAGAAGAAGGATCGGACGAAAGTAAGGCCGTAGGTGATCGTTTGTCGGCAGGCGGTAGAGCATCTCGAGTATTAGTTTTCTGATCTGTGCGAGCAATCATAAACGTTTGTCTTTTTTGTTGCAAACTGGACTCCCACCATTGAGATATCGGGAATATTGGGTTTATGTGGCGGAAAAGATTTAAATTTTCGGTTTTCGATTATATTTTTTTATTGGTTTGTTTAAAATTTTAAAAACAAACCTGTAAACATATTTTTCTTAAACTATCATTCCCACCGTCTAGGAGATCCCAATGGTGACAGCGGAATTTAAAATACCTATGTGTAAAAAATTTGAATCGGCAATTAATTAACAACCTCGTAGTTTTTTTGTTGTTAAGAATTATTGCTTCAATCAAAACTCGTTGGTATGAGTGGATGAGAAGCAATAAACCTATTATGTATTGTCTATATTTAATATAGACATAACGAAGAAACACTATTACCTGCTGCAAATTGTATTCGGCGATGAAATGGGGTCTGCCTTCTTCGAGAACTTTCAAAAATATCTTGACCGAGTGGTCCAAGAACGTCGGATAGTGGGCGGAGCTGAGAATCATCTAGAAAAAGGGTGAAGGTAGAGGATGGGGGACAGGGGCGATTAAGCGCCGAATCCTAGGCGACCCACCTCGAAATTTTTACTTATCTCCTGAATGGCCTTGAGTTTCAGCACGTTCTTGCAATTCGGATCGCCCAGCGTCCTTATGTAACTCATAAACTGATTCATCTGAGTCGTGTGGGGGTCGACGGCGACCCCCATGAGGGATGATGACGGTTGCGCTTGCATATGGCCGATGGTGTGACGCTGGGTTACTGAAAATAATTTAATAATAATTGGATAGGTACACCCTCTCTCTCACACGCACGACCACTCTTCTAACTATCCCCCCCACCCCACCCTGTCATTTATATATTATTCGGTAGGTTAGTGTTCCACGCGCGCTCGAGGTTTTCAAACCAATCGAGGAGCGCGAAAGATACAATATGGACGACAGGACAATAGATTTTATTTTTGCCGGTTCACTGGAAAGTTTGCCCCCTGTCAGTTCGAAGATAGTGAGAATTTTTACAAGCTCCACGTTCACTGGTAAGTTTTGAGTATTAAAACTTGAAGAACGCTAGTAAAGTACCTTTCTAGTACTAGTCTGAAGTTTCCGTAACACCAAAATAATTTTAAAAATATTTTATACAATCGGATAAAAATAAAATAACATTAAGAACTAATTGCATAGAAATAAATTAACAAGAAGTTATTGTGTGGTAGGGTCATTTCTTTTGAAGTAAGTAGAATATCTTTATACTTCTCAGAACCAATAATCAGAACCAAGCAAATATTTATTAACTAAAAATAATTTAAGCATGCAAGAAGAGAGCAGTGGTTACTTAACTTTTATTGACAAAAACTGAATAGACAATAGACAAAAAAAACGTCGTCTTTTTACTTAGTCTAGCATAAAATCTAGAAAATAAGGATTTACACAATAAACATATCAAAAATGGACTTTTTCGAAATTGGTTGATTGGTAACACTAATAAAAGGCAAGACAATTAGAATTATTATTTTTCCATTTGATTTCATATTAATTTAAAAGAAATACAAAAAAATATAAAATACGAAAATAAAAGAAATACGAATAAAGTCTTTTGTTCCACAAGTGAGCAATTATTGTTGACAAGATAAATCTTTTTAATGATAACCACAAAAAATATTTAAAAAATCATTTTTCAGATACCACAATGGAACGAAACACCCTAATGGCCAAATGTTATCCCAAGATCAAAGACTATTGTCGGGAAAAACACGGTCTTGAATTTCAGGTACGATATAGTTTCCAACGACAAAAAAAAACAAAAAATACACACACCACGTGAGTATCAATTTTTATTTTGCGCGTTTGTTTATTAAGAGGTTTCGAGCAGCGTCGAGAACTTTGCAAAACCCATTAAACTGAATTAAATTCTATTATCGGGAAAATAGGGAGAAAATATTGCCCTTGAACCCGGCTTGGGTCGCGGCACAGAGCGGTACAAATATTCGACCCACATTTTGGCTGCGCTCGATCGATATTGCGTCAGATACACCAAGACGATGTATTCAAAATGCATATAAACGAAAAAATTGACACTGCTTAAAAAAAGAAAAGAAAACGTAAATAAATAAATAAAATTGAAGAAAAGGAATAAATGTTTCAAAAAAAATTATCTTAGCAACAAAACACTAAAGAAAAAGAGAAACTAACATAATGAGGAAAATAACTCGAAAAGATAACTTTGAGAATAAAAAGTTAAAAAAAAAACGGCAATCAAATTGTGGCAAAAAGCATTATTTTTATTTTATTTTATTAAAATGAGAAACGTGGCATTGTTCAAAAAACACTTTAAATTTGTATTCCAACTAAATAAAAATAAAAAATGGACTTTCATTTGCGTATTTTTTTCTAAGGTGGTGGACATGAGGTGGGGGGTGCGTGACGAAGCCACCGACGACCACATGACCACCGAACTGTGCATGAAAGAAATACAGAACTGCCAACGTCTGTCAATGGGACCCAACTTTGTCGTACGAGCCGCGCTCCATCTCCTACCAACCGCCTCTGTAGCGAGGTCATACTTTCAGGTATTCCTGGGACAAAAATACGGGTACCGGCCGATCCCCACCTACGTGCTATCGTCAGAACTGCAAATGATCAGGGACGAGCTGGCAGCCACCGGCCATGATGCCGCCCTTATAGACACTTGGTACCGTAAGGACAGCAACGCGGTACCACCGATATCTGTGCTGCAGCCTATTTCGTCGATCCTGATCAATTTCAACAACAAGGTACGAAGCGTAGCGCCATCTGGTCGAAAGGCATTTAATTTTGCATAGTCCTTAACGAATTTTAATTATTGATCGACTAATGCCAATAAGGAAAGGAATGAACTGTGATGTTGATATGGCAACATTGGATTAATAAAAAAGTCTAGTGGCAATACATATTAAATATGTATTTTTAATTACTAATATAAAGAAATATACTTTAAATGGATGGTGCCAAAGGGCTCAGTGTTGGGTTATGTGCTCTATCCTAAATAAAACCCAAATGCCCGCGTCTTTTTTATATCTAAATTTAAGCAATCAATTTAAACAAACAGTCGCATTTTAAATCCCCTTGTTCCAGAGAATACCGAAACTACAGGCCGAAGACCAGGCCAAGTGGTGGGACACTCTTGGCAAGTTTCAGAAACTGTTCAGGAAGGCCGCTGCCTCGCTGAACCAGCAGGGCAAAATGGACAATGACGCGACCCATAACTACTTCATGTCAGTAACGGAACGCGAGGTCATCAACGGCGTACTGAACGTGAAAAACACGAAGAACCACTGCCTCGCGTACATCAGATACATCAACAACATCAACCTGCAGAACCTGAAGAAGGCTTCGTTGTTCGTCGATATCATTAACCGTAGCTTGGATACGGAGTCAGCCAAGTTGCTAGGCAATCTCAGAGACGAGAGGCTGCCCAACAAAATCGAGACCAGCAACATTCAGAAGTAAGAAACGTAGCGTACAGTTTAGTACAAATGTGAAAGGTTTATTTTAAAGCATTATTTTTGATTAATCATGATGGTGAGCAGGTACACGGTCGAGTGGATCGGGAGGGAAGGTCTGGACCCGGAGACCCACGAGGAGTACCTAAAACACTTCATCACGCACTTCTACAAGAACATCGTAAAGCTGGTAGACAGGGCGATGCGCAAAGAAGATTCAAGCGCGCAAGGTCAGATAGTCACTGAGATATTGCAACATTTACACGCCTGCAACAATTCAGTCAGGGTGAGATCTTTATTAGAACCTACCAAAAACAAACCACAAAAAACTGGACAAGCATTTAATGACCTCTCTCGCCAGTTTCCTCTTTTCTGTCCACGCTCCCATTCTCTCACCCTTCTACCACAGCTCAACTATCGTTATCATCTGCTCTCTCATCTATCTCTTGACTCTCTTTCCACACTTTCTCGTCATAGCTTCGCCTCCTTTTTCTCGTCTTTCCTGTTTCCGTTTACTCTTCATACCGTTTCTTATATGCATTCTTCTTTTGCGTCCCTCTGCCTCGTCCTCGGCATCTCCTCTTTCTTCTGACATCGCTTTTCCAGCAATCATACCAAACTAGCACTACACAGCGAGAAAAATAGTGTTGGGAGCTAAACTCTTGTTCAGTTTCACTTAAACGCGCCTTGATCCAAGCCAATACCAGTCAAAGCGAACCACAGCTTAACCTAAACAAGACCAAACTCGGAAAAATTCTTCGCATAGGTATTCTACGGCAGAGAAGAAAGCCTCGAACACATCCACCGGTATATGCTGGACGATTCGGACAAGCTCCTGGTCCTCTACGGGGAAGGAGGTTGCGGCAAGACTTCGTTGCTGGCAAAAGCGGCCGGCATGTCGACAAGCAACGAGTGGTTCGTAGGCGCCAAACCGATCAGCATCATCAGGTTTTTAGGCACCACGCCCGATTCGTCTGCGTTGACCCCGACCCTCATATCCATATGTCAGCAGATTTCGTACAATTTTATGCTGCCGTTCGACGGCATACCGGACGATCTCGTACCGCTGACCGCCCATTTCAAACAGCTTCTGATGCTCTCCACCAAAGAACAGCCTCTGCTCCTGTTCCTCGACTCAGTCGATCAACTAACAGCCACTGCTGATGCTAACAAGGTAAGCGGAGAGACTGAGTGGGTGGGGATTTTTGAAGCTTTGAACGGATGTTTTGTCTTTGTCACTCTTGGGTGACAGAAAAATGGGTCACGCATGAAACTGGTTCAGAAGAAAGAGAATAAGAGAGGAGTGCGAGATACAACGAGAAAAAGTACGGGGAAGAGAGAGGTGATGCAAAAACGTTAGACCACCTCAAATGTTCCACAGGTGTCCTGGTTGCCAACGCGTCTCCCGAAACACTGCAAGATAGTCGTGTCGTGTGCCTGCGAGGAGTCCAACCCAGAAGTGTCCAAAGAGTACCACATCCTACGCCGGATGATCGACGTGCCAGAGAACTTCGTTGAAGTACGAGCTCTCGGCGAAGAGCTCGCCATGCAAGTGATCAAGTAAGAGCGACAATACCGTACACCTCCCCCACTTCAATCTTCGTCACGCAGGATGTGGATGAAAACTGCGTGCCGCGACCTGACCAACTACCAGTGGCGGCTCGTGTCGAATGCAATCGACAAGTGCAGTTTGCCGATTTTCGTCAAGCTCGTGTTCGCAGAGATCTGCAGATGGCGCAGCTACACCAAGTCTCAGGATACCCATCTGGCGTCCACCGTCATGGATTCCATCATGATGCTGTTCGAACGGATCGAGAAACAACACGGGCGCATACTGGTATTCCACGCTCTAGCATACATTACGGCGGCAAAGAGCGGTCTGTCGGAGAGCGAGCTCGAAGATTTGATATCGCTCGATGACAAGGTACTCGATGATGTCTACCAATATCATTTGCCGCCGGTGAGGAGGATTCCGCCGCTGCTGTGGACGAGGATCAGGAACGACCTGCCGAACTATTTGTCGGAACGAGAGGCGGACGGAGTGAGCGTGATGAACTGGTACCACCGGCAGTTCAGGGATACGGCAAGGGAAAGGTACTTCAAAAACATGAACATGGCGACGTACTTTCACTCGATGATCGCTGATTATTTCCTTGGTATATGGGGAGGCGGTAAGCCAAAACCATTCAAATATACCGAGATCCAACGGCACCGGTTTAATTTGACGGACAAGGAGGGCATAGCGGACAGAAAAGTACCGGTTCAGCCGCTGGTATTTTATTCGAAAGACGGCAAGGTGTCGCGCTATAACCTGAGGAAGGTAGGTGGTCCACGACTCAATGATGCGAAGTATTGCAAAGAGTTTTGCAGTTCGGAGAGCTACCGTTCCATCTGGTCAGGTCGAGAAGGTTCAGAGATCTCTACGAGAACGTGTTATTCAACTACGAGTGGCTCCATGCGAAACTGTCGAGCTGCCCCCTGCAAGCAGTTCTGGCAGATTACGAGGACGCCACGCTTAATATCGATGACAATGATTCGAAAAGGTGGGGGAATAGGGGGCATCTGAAGCCAAAATTAATTCAATCAAATAACCAAAAGTGTAACTGTTTAGAGCTTTTTTAATCATCAAAATTGGTGGATGCGCAGGGAACTAATGCTGGTGGCGGATGCGCTCAGACTAGGTGGCGCTATCCTCGGCCAATATCCGAACATGCTCGCCCCCCAGCTAGTGGGCAGGCTGCTGCCTGAGATGGGCCCAAACCCGAACGTCAAAATGCTCCTGAACGACTGCGACGCTAAAGGACCGACTCACTGCGCACTCCTGCCCCTCTACCACTGTCTACACACACCTGGGGGTCCGCTGAAGTATTCCTTAGAAGGGCACCAGTTCGCCGTGTTCTCCATCTGTCTCACCTCGGATTACCGATACATCGTCTCGGTGTCCAACAGGTTCATCACGTGGGACTTGTCGACTAGCGACCTTACCCGTGACGTCAACCCCAATATCGAAGGAATAATGCAACACCTGGTGTTAAGTCCGGACAATAAATGGGCCGCTGCGTACACCAACAACAACCAGACGGTGTTGCTGAACATGCTGTCCAGCGAGTACGTCGCGGTCGAAAACCCACTACGAGAGGGCGACGCGGTAGCGGGTATTTACCTGCTTAACTACAACCTATTCATCTACGGTAGGGAGAGGTGGGTCATGTTTGACATGAGAGGAAACCGTGCGGGAGAGTTCGATGGACCGATGGTTTTGGGCGAGTGGCCCATTTTGAGTGAGTTCTAAACGTAGACCAGGGGCGCGCATGGGAACAACGGTTTGTTCCAGGTATGGAATTCGACAACGAGTCGGTGTACAGAATGGTGTTTTGGACCGGCGACCTCGACGACGGCCGCATGAAATTTTACGAGCGCGACGCGTCGGGCGGGGAGTACGCGATGTTGGATTACCACAGGTACGATGTGCCAATTTATAAATCTTGACAAGGACATGTCAGGGTTGGGGCACGATAACCGTATTAAATCGTGTCTTTCCATAGCGATTCAACGAGCTTCCTAGTGCGTTTTAGTTTGCCTAATTTGCACTTATCATCAAATAATAATCATCTACAACTAAATAATTAAAAACAAAGGTTCTAATTGTCCGCCCCTCCTAAGCGCGATGGTCTTGACATCGAAAAAAAACGCGTTGTACGCATGCACCACGGAAAGCTTCTACTGCGTCTCGAAGTACGTAAAAAACGAAGAGAAAATGATGTGGGTTAAAATGTGGGACCTGCCCAGGACTACCAACGACAACGTCGAAACAATGTTGCAACTGAAACTCGATAAGACCGAAAAATATTTATACGGTGAGCGCGTTATTATGTAATATTAATTTTAGTTGTGCGACGGTTTATTCGTGGTTTATTCATCGTGAGAATAATGTACGTTGTACTTATAAACAAGAGACTTTTATTGTCTCCAATAATTATGGGTTTTTTACACCCTTATACATTACTGGTTGCTAATTTAGATTTTTCTAAGTATTTATTTTTATATCCTTATTAGTAAAATTTACATACGTCAGTTTAAATTCAAAATGTTTCCAGGCACCACTGGCAACGGATTCGTGATATGGGACTTGGGAGAAGAGGAAAAAATCAGCAACGAAGCAATCGTACTGCCGCTGCCCTACGGCACCCGAAACATAACCACAAAAATGCTGCAATCTAATTCGATAATGCTGAGCGGGCACAAAAACTATGCCATCGCTGGCGTAAGGTAAACCAACTGTAGATCGAAGCTTAAAATTAAGCTTAAAACACCCTCGACCAACCACCACCACCATTTTATTTATATACCGGCTGATTGATGGCCGGTGGTAAATGAAAAGTTTACGCAGTTTTAAAAGTTTTATTTAATTATATACATTCAAATATATACAAACAACTAACAACTAACCAATTGGAGTTTAGATAATATAGGAAGGTTCAAAAACTAAAAATTCCAATTCGACCATTGATCACCAGGTATATAATTGTTCAAGGATTGTTTTCAGAAAAAATTTGTATGTTTGGAGCATCGAGACCAAAAAACTGGTCAAAATACTGGATGCTCACTTCGGACGGATCATCCAACTCGAGCCGCTCACGATAGGAAACTGGAACAGCATAGTGACGTCATCTATCGACCGAACCGTCAAGGTGTGGAACATCAACAACATTTTTGAACAGGTGCACGTGATCGACAGACACGAGTTACAGGTCGACTCCATAAGGTGCGCAATATGGCTTAAATGGCAAACTTTTCTCCTCCAAATTTAAGGGTACAATCTGGAGTCATCTTGCCAAATAACCCACTTACGTCACCATTTCTTGCTTTTTACAAAACTTCTGGATTCCTCCTGCGTCGGTTTTTGCTGAATCGAAATTGCTGAGAAGTTTGTAAAAAACATTACAGTAGCCTGTGGAACTTTCTTTGAAAAGTCACCATTTCTTCTTTGTTTCTTTCTGGGGCTTCTGATTTCAGAACTGGACCACTTATTGCAATTTTTTCGGATCTTCCAACTTGAAAACGTCGTAAAAGAGCTTCATCTACACCTGAACGTACAAGATTTCTATTTTTTTTAATCCTGTGCGATTTATAGTCACTTGTTGTTTCTGCCAATTTCTTTTGTCTAGCAATTTCCGCCTCACCGATGCCACTCTCAATACTTCTGATAATCTCTACCTTTTCTTTTACAGTTATGTACGTACGTCGATCCGCCATTTTAACCAAAAACTCAAAAAATCGTGCTAGCGGACAGCGCACGTTTCCGAGAAAACCTCGCAAATTCTTACTGAAAAATCCCCGATTTTTCTCGTACTTTATAATCAGAACAATAATGTACTTTATAACCGTAGTAGAATATGTACGTGATAAACGGAGTTTACTGTATATGCGTGAGAATGTTCTTGTTCTTTTTAAACATCTGTCAATAAAAATGAAACATAGGCTTGGTATACATCATTTGAAAGAAAAAAAAAGCCATTTCTTTTTACGAAACGAGATAACAGATCATTTTAGCCTCTCGGACAACTTGAGCCTCGCGGTTACGGTCACGCGGAACTGCGTGGGCGTGTGGGACCTGACCGTCGGCAAACTGGTAGCCAAATTAGCCGACAGCCCCTTGGGGGCGATAGTAACGCACGCGATCATCACACCGGACGGCAAGTAAGTGGGAGATCCATGAGGCGTTCGAAAACCGCTCCCGGTATAACCGCCTCATTCTAGATATATAATATCAGCTGAGACCGGCAACGTGCTGATATGGCTACGGCTTACCCAGAGGGTCATATTCAAGGAGGAGCAGCCCGGCGTTAAGCAACTGTCCTTGATGGAAGGGGGCGGAAAAATCTTGTCGATTTCAAAACCCAGCAACCCTCCCGGTACAGATTTCGTTCGTACTGTTGCGACGGCGTGCGTCAGAGAAGTTCCGGGAGGGGATACAGTCTACACGTTCGAGTACCCCGTCAGGAGTATCACCGGCGTTCCGTTCAGACCGGCTGTGGTGACGTGCGACAACCAGCACCTGGTCGTCTCGGGTGCCGACAAAACCAATAGGGACTGCGTCCTCGTTTACAATGCCCAAACCGGTAATCTCGTTAACAGGTACGGGATGAAATCGTACTTGTGCATTTCGAATAGGCGATCTAATAAAAATGTAACTCCCTCTGTTTATTTGCAAAGCAGACGATTTCCAGGTGAATTAAATAATTCGCACAACCCGTATGTACAGGGTGGGCCGTTTGTTATGAGATGATTCCTTATACAACCCGTAAAAAATATCAAAAAAGAGTGGTGGGAAATTATATTACAATTTTTTTTCTTTTAAATTATTATCACACCGTTTCACGCCGTATTTCAGTCACTTTGTTGGTCTAACCGATAACTTTCGATTTTTTTTTCACAACCGGCACACGCTGTACATTTTTTGAAAAAATCACCGAGAGCTGAAATTTGTTGGTCCACGTTTTGCGCATCTCCCAGCTCTTAAGTTTACTCGTATTCTACCCGTAGGATTCCGTTGAAAATGTGCGGCATCAAAGACGTCGCCGGTATCGTGGCGATGCCCCACAAGGGGCACCTTATAGCAGTGCTCGCCGCCGACAAAGCGTGCGTGATCGACATAAGAACGAAAAAATTCATGCGTTCGGTACCAAAGTGGGGCGGCAGCGTAACTAAAGACGGCAAGTACGGTCTCTACGCGCCTTCGAGGGGCGGTCTTGAGCTCATTGAACTTAAAAAAGGCCAAACCGTACGCACTTTCATCCCCAAAGTGGCCGAAGGGGTGTTTACGATCATATGCCAGTTCAACAAGACCGACGAGTACGTTCTCTACTATCACAGCGGCAAGAAAACATTGAGGGTATTCAGGTACGGATTTTTTTATACGTCAGGGGCCCACGCATGACTCGGTTCTCGTTTTAGGACAGCAGACGCTGAGATGGTGGCCAATTTTCGGGTTCAGGCTGAGCTGACGGCGGTAGAAAGCACCCCAGATGGAAACGCGCTCGTTTTGGGCACTGTTGACGGTTGCGTGTCGGTACTGGCTATTTTGGATCCGGCTAAGAGCGATGCCAACGACTACCTGGCCGCGATGCCGTCGCGAGACGAAGGGGTATAGTTTGTTTTAATATAACCTCAAAGCGCAATTCGAATTTTAAACCGTACTGCCGCCCTAAGCCACTACACTCTGTTAAATAAATTAAAAACCAGTTTCGTGCTGAACTAGAAGCCCTTTAACGGTCGTTGTACGAAAATTAGGGGATCCATTTGAATATGCCTTACAGGCCGCGGCGTAACGCGACTATTATGCAGCGTAATAAAGCATAAGTAAAATAACGTGCAAATTGGTACTTACTTAGATTTTTAAACCATTATCTTCGCAAATAAACGGCAAAAACCCCTCAAATTCACATATTCATAGTTGTTTTTAAAAACCGTGAATGCTACATTCACTGTGACTACAAACTTCAACCCCGTGTTCCTTTTGGTTGGTTGAGATACCACAGAGCAATTTCTCGTACGCATAACGCGTCAATCCTGTATATGAGTAATCCAAATCTTAAATTACTGTCAGTTTGGTTTCGAAGTTTTTCGCAGTTCGTCCGTAATTTAAATAAAATTCAACGTCGATTGAACATAAAAGTATAAAAAGAATCGTAAAACCACAAAATCAGCTTCCTTTTGGTTATTCTCTGCTGGTATAACCATAGATATAACTATGGCGTATCTTGGGACCGCGTAAATTTTTGATGTTCAATTTGTATGTTAGGTCAATGGTTCTAATTAATTTTTCAGTGGAAGAAAAAAGTGGAAAAAATGCGGGCGCAGACAAGATTCAGAGCCGTGGGAACTATTGTAAAATTGTCGACGATGTTCGCCACTGAGAAAGCCTCGCCCATGGTGAAAAACGACACAGAGTTCGCAGTTTCGCAAGAAAATTAAGGTTAAAAATAAAACGAGCAACACAGTTAAATATATTTATTTTGTACACACAATACAAGATTCGAAATTACGTTTTCAGATTTTGAAGATCGCGTTTACAAAATTATTTCGCGGGGTTTTCTTCGCTCAACAAGATTTTTCCATCGCATTTATCTACAATATTTACACGCCTAACGAGACTCTTTGCTATTTGAATGTATAGATTAAAAAGTTTTGTAGTTAATACATTTATAAGAATAAATGTTCTATTCCCCCGAAATCCTTTTGTTACTTGGATAATGTTAATAAATATAGACAGATATTTTACTAATCTCATTTTTTTGCCTTAAGGCTATGTACCTAAGATTCAACCACTCAGTCTTTTCTACTCATTCTGAAACCGACAAATATCGCCTATAAAAAAGCACACCGAGCTATTTATTTTTAACTCTAATATATTGTGGGGGTAAAGTTTCCAAAAATATAATGGGGTGTTATTTGATTGAAACATCGAATGAAACAGTCATCGTGGCTCACAGTTGTAAGCTTTTGGGAGTGACAGGTGACTTTTGAGTCGACAAATTTATTTTAAAAAAAGCACAGTTACTAAAATATTTAGCGCAAATCCACGTATTATATAGCTTACAGTTAATGGATATTTTCATTGGTAACATCGATTTTACACTTAATTATTATACCTGAGGCGGTCCATACAATCTCGCTTATCTAATAAGATCTTGATTTTGCGCAAATTAGAAACGCGAGATTACCGCGATTTTTTCCTTAAATTGTTGTTATTGGAACTACTGGCCGAGTTTTTCTTCATCAGTATCTGAGTCGCCCCTTTCACCATCAACAAAAACCAATACACCTGCGGGATCATCAGAATGCCGATGCTCACTAGGCAGTTCCTTGGTAATTTTTTCACAGCCTAAACGGACATACAATTGCAACATACATACAGGGTGGTCCTAATTATAATGGAGAACAGCGTAATCGACAGATAAAAATAAATCAAAAAAGTTCACATAAACATGTAATAAAATGTTTTATTTCGTAGAAGGAGGGTGTTAAAATATTGGGAAAAAAAACGTCTTCTAGATTTTGTTATGTAAATAAAAGCGAAATTATATTGGGCAAATTATCTTTATTTAATTTGCAAAACTCGCATATGCAAAAAATTTTTTTTGCGAAAAAACTGAGGAGAGCATTTTTGTTACGAGAAACCATTGGCATATCATTATTTTTAAATTTAAATTAATTAAAATTGTCTCTCGAACGCCACTGGTCAAACAAAGACAAGTTTATCTATTTATATGGATTCCTCCTGCGTGGGTTATTGTTGTCTCAAAAGTTCTTAAGAAATATAACGTCACAACCAAAAATCTCTCAATATCTTCGATCTGTCAAAGACAAAATTCCATTTGAGATGCCAGGGGGTTTACAGCATTCCATGCATATGCGGCAAAGAATACATTGGACAGACGAACGAAAAATATCAACTAGGCTCAAAGAACATGAAGCGGCCTTAATACTAAGACAAATAACCTCATCAAAAGTTGCCGAACACAATCATGAAGCCGGACATAAGCTCCGCCCCCTCAAAGAATATATAGTATAATTGGCAAATCGTCATCAAGAAGTTTCGTAAATAGTAGGTTTTATCTATACTATAAATTTGTTCTTAAGTGGCAATAATATCTACCAAGTCCCAAAGCAAAATCTAGGAAAGTTTTTTAACAAAAAAAATTTTTTTGCAATCCTTTAAACCAAACTCAAAACCCTTTCAAGTACGATTATTCAAACTTAAAATGCATATAGTACAAAGTTTTTTTTTCAAGATCATTCGAGGGTTCACATCTTTCACAATGGAGGCAACAAAATTCAAATTGGTACATATAAAAATTAAAAGAGACTCACCGTCAAAAAATCCGCCTGTATCGACTTGGCGTACAGACTGATGACGTAAGGGAACATGGCCACCCGAAAAACGAAAAACGTCGCGAGCATGACCAGTCCGTTGGCGACATACCAACGAGATTCTTTCAGTCCGATTTTCGATATGATGCCCCGCAACGAGACGAACGGGGTGCTCGCCTCCATCAGGTAAATGTAACCGAAAAAACAGTCCCCGAGGCCGCCTCTCAGATACTAAACAAAAGCACGGCGCCATAGGAAAATATTTACAATACAGAATAAAAAATCCTGCATCAAAATGATAATAAATTACTAAAACAGTGTTGTAAATGAGCGGAACAGTTTTTCAGACGATATTGTGACTGCACCTACCCTGAAGAGCTTGATAATTTCTGTAGATAGATAGTGAATGCTGTGTCAATATGTCACTTCTGTAAATAGTGTATATACGCACATTAAGGTGCAGTTTTACCGGCTTTGCCGCCTACTGCCTAAGAGTATAATAATAAGCCTACTTACCGTAATGACGAGAAACCCGAAAGCGCCGATAAAGATGTGATGCGCGACAATCATAAAGTTGTTTGCGATGTAGGCAGTCAGGCGGCAAGTTTTCAATATGAGTTTGTTACTGACGCCGGTCATGTCGGGTTGGGTAACCTACAAACACATAACCTGAAAAACCGTTTGAAGACACGCAAAAATATGTGGCTACTTTCGAACTCCACACTTTGTACATTGACCAGATATCGTAAGCGAAGTATGCTGCGCCGAACCAAGCGTACGCTTCCGAGATGTAGTGGGAAGTTTGGAGCATGTCGCGTGAACACGAGTATGTCGTGGAAGTTAGGCCGGTGAGGCAACAAAACAAAGCCTGAACAGCTGACACGCACCTAAAACGACGACTCTGTCAACGTTAATAGTGAAGCGACAAGCGGCTACCTACTTGTTACTTATATCGTAGACGCAACTGTTGGACAGTTTACAGGCGCGCATCATCTTCCTGCCGCTGTGCGTGTGAATGAGAGCGTTGTTTATCACCAAATACAACGAGGTGAAGAACAGCAGACCGCTCGAGAACAGCCAGAAACCTCTCTGAATAGAAACATGCTCCTCCCATTCGAGATCGCGCAGCGTGAAATATGAGACTGCCAACGAGCTAAGTATAAGGAATACGAGAGGGTAGATGATGGCCGCTTTTTTCGCCTGCAAAAGTTACAAGAGCGTAGAGCGCGGAATACGGGAATCAGTCTCTTACCTTCATGCTATAATAAAAACTAACGTAACATCATTGTTTAAACAAGGAGCCTAAATTGCGACAATTAGTTTTATCTAACAATAAACAATCGTAAAGGGATCCCGGGCATTTCATGAAACGTCGAATATGGCCATTTTTAAAGGACGCTGGGGTCCTGCAGTGTTAGGCAAAATTAAATTAAATTAAAATTCTCGATAGCGAAAAACATTAAAAACCCACTGCGGCGCCTAAATTAAGAAGTTACGTAATCAATCAAGCAATAATTGTCTCGTCACTGTTCATAATTGCGATGCACTTAAGATTGCATAAAGTTTATCACCTAATTAGATTAGAAGGTTTTGCGACATAATCGCCCCCGTTACGATCTGGGCGAATTGAAAAACGAACGTGATACCGCGCGGGGAGATCTTCGTTTTTTTCATTACATTTAAATGCACATCGTGGGATAAAAACAATTCATTCCAAGACGTACCTCATTTCTGAAATAGTTGTTGGTTACCAGTCGGGCTTTTTTATGCATCGCTATTTTGCACTGAATCGTGGTGGTGGAATTCAAATCGTTGCTCAAAAAAGGTGAACATGTTGTATTTCTTGCGACATCGCTGCTTCGCCACCCGTTTTCGATTTACTTTTCTACTGGCAGTTAGGTTAGACGTTCGGCCAGGGCGCAGTGGTTGCTGCATTTAGAGATAGGTGGCACCAGTAATTATTTTGGCAGTTTTCTTCTTTATCGAGTGTGCGGGATTGACGCATTCAATGGATAGATGTCGCAGTATTGGATAATATAGAGAAGGCGTTACATGTTTCTCTACTCCATTGTAGCCAAGTTGTGTGGTCTCTGCCGTGTACGTATTTTAAAATATTAATATTTATACGTATATCACTCTGCCTGCAATAATGGCACATATCAAACTTCTTTTAATTCTCATTGGGACAGTTCAGACATGTTTTCGAAGGAGAAAAAGATACTCCTGACACATTTTTCTATAAAACATCTATGAAACTGACTACAGAAGCAGAAGCATGAGGCAAAGAAAAATGCGTGAATTTTACATCTTTTGGAAATGTGAATTTAGACCGTGCTCATCGAGATATTATACAATTCCAAAGAAAAAGGTTGGTTAATAACTAAAAAGTAATGCCGTTAAAAAATATCACTGTTGCTATTCTAACAGCCTGAAAGGTACCAAAGACTCAAATGTCACGGTTTTTAGTTACTTTTAAAATAGTACTTTTCGTTTACTTTCCAAAAACCAAGTCAGTTGGTTGTTGCTTATAGCTTAGCTTTTTAATATTTCAAAGAAACATCCACAGGCCACTGTAATGCTTTTTACAAAACTTCTGGATTCCTCCTGCGTCGGTTTTTGCTTAGTCGAAATTGCTTCGTCAGTTTCAATCAAGCTCTGATGAAGCGAACAGGATGATTGGCGAAACGTCAGCAATTTCGACTAAGCAAAAACCGACGCAGGAGGAATCCAGAAGTTTTGTAACAGGCAGCTTAGCTTTTCTTTACGTGCCATGATAATTCTTGTTTTTTATAATTTTAACAACAGTAGCTGTCTAACAAAAACTATAGGACTACTTATCTGATAGTTGTATATTTCATTTTAGAAATAATACCTACTTCGAAATGCATCGAAAACTAAAGGTCGGTTGTTTCTTGGTTATAGCTTTTCGATGTTTTTTGTAGTTTTTGTTTACGTGCATCATCATTAACGGCGCAAAATTTAAAAACATTCAAAAAAGAACCTCAAAAAATATTTTTTGTTTTATAATATAAATTAATATAAATTGTACTGAAGTGGCTTTTACTTGATGAAAATCCATTTAAAATAGTTAAACAAGAACAAACGTTGTTCAGATTTTCACGTAAATATATTTAAAAGACAGCTGTTTCGGCAACACCGTGCCTTTATCAAATGCATTGCATTGCATGGTAGAAGAATTGATTGCATGCAATAATTTCAGTTTGTTGGAATAAGACTTGTCGTAATCTTAAGGCTCTGTCATTTTCTCTTAGCCTTGTTTTCCTACTGTTTGTCCAATAGTATTACAGTGGCCTGTGGAAATTTCTTTTAAAAATTCATTCATAATATAGCGGCAGCTAATACTCAGGGGGCTGTGACATTTTCGTAACACATTCTAAACAACGAACTTCGCACACTTAACTAGTCTTTTTCCTGAAAACTTACTGGGATCGGGATATATACTCACGAAATTCTGCCGAAAAATTGTCACATTCAAATTAAAAAATGTCGAATTGATAAACTGTCTTCAGTGTGGTTGATTGTTGAACGTCGCAAAGTCTTATTGATTCGTTTGAAATGGCATATCTAATCGGTTAAAAACGATATTTGAAATAACCGCGCATGCGCACACTGAATAAACCTAAATATTACCGTATTACCAACCTAGGCAGGATCTAGTAACATTCGAGTTCAAAATATTATTCCAATTTATTTGACACTAATATGTAGCTCTGATTTTTGGCGACACGATAATCTTTAACAAATATTTTATCTATTTTCTAAACTATTTTAGAGAAAATACTATGAATCGTGTCAATTCGCAGGAAGACAGGTTTGCAAACAATGGTTAATTCTGCTTAATACGGGGGAAAGTACCTTATCAATAAAAAAACACGGTTTCACCTGACGAGTATTTATAAACTTGTTTACGAAGATCGTCGCTATATAAAAGCCGACCCAGGATGAATTTAGAGCAACTCACAATTTCGATTCTTTTGTGCCCCAAACGTTAAAATCTGTGATCACAATGAACGCCAAAATGGCCAACAGTTTTGCAATCGCTGTATTTTTGTTTGTTCTAATCGCCAGCTCACAATCAATGCCGATGGAAGAAACAGCCATCCAAGGTATCTAGTAGGTTCCTATTATTGTACAATTTGTCTTTATATGTGGTTTTGTTAAAGTGTTTTTTTCAGTGTGATATACTTTGTGTGTTTGTACGCATCTGTTTTTAAAGTTGGTATTTTAGCGTTGTAATGTATTTTTTTTTACTTGTTGACATTATCCGATACTTTTGTTAAAAGTCAATGGAAATAAACATTATTATTATTATTAATTAATTAATTGAAATGCGTGTTTTAGGTGGTGTTTCTCTTAGGATTACTTGCACCGTGAGTTCGAGTAGTAACTATTGTGAGAAGCAGTGCAAAGCGAACGGCAAAAAAGGAGGCTACTGCAACTTCTACGGCTATTGTACGTGCATAATTTTTTAATTCTCAAATGGACTAGCACGTTATTTTATAACTGTAGTTTATAATTTTGTTTTTTTTTTATTAGGACGCGCGCCTTTATATAGCTTGTGGTTAAGTTGTTTGCGCTGTGTATACCCACTTTTTTTTTTAATAAATAACGGTTCACTAAAACGAAAAGACGATGTTTGTTTTACGGTGTCGAAATCCTAAAAATTCTTCGGAAACGAAGAGAAACTCATCTGCAAAGGGAGGGGCTCGGGTAGACAGGTACCGCACCATTCGTATTGCGTACGTTCAAAATGAAGTTATCGGGATTTTTTTGGATCTGCGTGTTCGCCATGCCGTTAATTTTTTCGCAAGTCTGCGTTGCTGGCTCGGCACCTACAGACGATACACCAACGCAAGGTATGTTGGCAATGTGAAAATACTTGGGCAGAAATTTTATACCTGTATGTGCGGTAATGATCGATGATAGTTTGGTGAATGCGCTCGCAATTACGAGGTTAGCGCCAAAATTTCCCGACGTGACATAGATGACTTTGTCTTCTTTTAGATATATATCTTAGCAGGTTGCGAAAAAAAATTGAAGTCTTGCGTCAAATAGTTTTTGATTGACAGCATTTTAAACAAGACGTGTCCGCAAAAATGTCGCAAATAACGCAAATTGAGTATAGAGCAGTAATAAAGTTTTCAACAAAAGAAGGGTTAGCACCTAAAATTATTAAATAAAGGCTGGTTGGTGTGTACGGCCAAAGTTCTCCTTCGTATTCTGTAGTGAAAGCATGGGCAAAACGTTTTCGTCAGGAGTCCCTTGAAGATGATTCAAGAACTGGTCGACCAGTGGAGGTCACAACGGAAGATATTGTTGCGATTGTGGAAGAGGTGGTGTTGAGTGATCGACATTTAAATTACTAAGCTTTCTGATGCAAGTGTTCGTCGAATACTGCATGATCATTTAGGTATGCATAAGGTTAGTGCTAAAAACCTTTCGGCTATTCAAAAACAACGCCGTGTCGAGTGTGCGCGGTCGTTTTTGGAACTCTGTGGGTCGGAACCGAAGCCTGTGATAGAAAGTATTGTGACGGGGGATGAAACTATGGTTCTCTATTATGACCCTCTATCGAAAAAAGAATCAATGGAGTGGCGTCGTAAGGGTGAAGCACCTCCAATAAAATTCAGAGTCTGCCAGTGATGGCCACGATCTTTTGGGATTGTGAAGGAATTCTTTGAATTGATATTAAAGAAACTAATACCACTGTCAATGGTAAATATTACGCAACATTATTACATATATTGCGTACATGTAAGACGTCGAGGAAAACTGACCAGAGGCGTGCGTCATATTCAGGACGGGAAATTTTGGCGCTGCCCTCGTAAAACTATTATCAGCACATTTAAATTTTTGAGAAATTCAAACTGGTTTTGATTTCAGTGGAAACCGGAGAGCCGACATCTTCGAGATTCATTTGCATCGACTTTGCTTGCAATTTGTATTGCGTCACTTTCGATAGCGGAAAAGGCCGCGGAAAGTGCAAACGCGGAAAATGCGTGTGTCGCAAACATTAAATTTTTTCGTTTTTTGTAAATAAATACTTTGTTTTTCGTTAAGTATTTTTGTCTGGATCCATATTAGCTTTTGGTTTATGAATTAATTCAAAGAGATAAGCTAGGAGGACGTGATCATAAATTCGACAAAAAATTATTATTTAGAAACTAATATAAACGTGCCCGCGACATATTCAATATGTGGAACAATTATATAAATTAGTCTTTTATCTTGATTGACATTTTTTGTACATATTATTTGTTATATTCGCAGAATATATGGATGCTTAGGATCAGTTTAATAAGTGAGGTTACCTTTTGTATTTAACTAATGGGGGACTAACGATACGTTTAAGTTTTGGTCTATAGCTACTAGAGATATAGAGGCCCGACCTGCCTATGCTGATATAGTGGCCCCACTACCTTAAAAATTAATGAGCTGCAGGCCGCATCGATATTTTCGTAGAGAAAATAACAATTTTCAACTACTGCTTTGCTTTTTTTCTCTATACAGCGATTCCCACACACTCGTTTTCTAATAATATTAAACGAGATCTATGCATATAACGAGAAAATACTGCTCTAATAACGCGGCATCCAAACTTTCAGTCAGCGGCCATATTGGTTATTGATTGCCGCAAGGTCATTGGTTAAAAACCACATTTTTAAATCTCGCGCATGCGCATGTTGAATGGACTTTCTCATTTTTTTAATAGTTGCTTCATAAGTTCCTGTATTATGGGCATAGGCAGAGCCTTTACATCTCTAGTAGCTATATGGAATCAACTACGAAAAAAATGTTGAGACGGTCCATCCAACATTGGTTAAAATCTCGTTTTTAACCAATGACCTTTAACCGACAATCAACAGGGCCGCTGACATATCAACAAATTTGGATGCGACATTTTAATTAATTTAATTAGTTAAGTGTAATCGCAGTTTAGAAAGAAAATCGCGCAAAGTGTTGGTTAGTGGATGTTCGGAAGATCATTTCCATTTCTACGAACAAACCATGGCCACAGGAGGCGCATCAAATCCCAGCGCAGTAGGGCCACTATATTATTTTATAGTTATATGAGTTATGGTTAACTTAGGGATAACCTACAGTAGACAAACCAGTCCGTAGATCAATTCAGTAACATGACAGAGTAATAACATGCCTGAAAATTCGCCGGCAATTAGTAATTCATTTCAGTAGCACAGTATGTGGCAGTTTGTAGGTAATGCCCAAATAAAAATGAATTGCGGCTTCTTGATGCTCGGGATGATGTTTTTATATTTGTGCGTCAAATCGATGGCCGTTGTCGTAAATACGCCAAAGCCAAAAAGTAAATATATAGTACAGGTATTAGTGTATAATATAGTATAATTTATATAATAATAAATAAAAATAAAATAATAATGTAGTATAATTTTTTGTAAATCCAGTTTAAAGACTTCCGAAATTAAATACCGGTATTTTCCAGTGGACGTATGCGACGGTCCCATTGGTACAGGAGACCATCTTTGCAGTGTAACGTGCCATACGGCTATGGGTTTTTGCGTAAACAATAGATGTCATTGTGTGTTTTAAATGCTGACGAAACTATATTAAACTTGTTCTAATCGATTACAGTTTTGCTTTTTATTACAACTTATTATAACTACAATAAATATGATTTTGAGCGTCCCGTCATATCTTAAGGATGACGGCGGCGTAATGTTGGTTGCCAGCACGCGAGGCGCGGAAATAATTACAAAATACCAGACACAAAAATCGGCCATTGTTTACAAACATTTCCCGTCAAATTTAACTCGTTGGGAGATTGAACCCCTGGCCGCTTTTAAACTCGAGAGACCGCTTAATTGTACTCGATTCGGAAGAGAATTCGTTCCGTTTTTTTTTTCCCTAGCCGAATTAGAAAGTTACCGTTTTTTTCGCCGTCTTCGGGAAGTCAACATGGCGCTGTCAAAATTAACGTGAAGTAAATTCCGATCGGATTCGAACGTTAACCGTAACATGGGTCATTGCAAAACGAAGTGATGTTGCAAAATAGGACTCGCCTCGTTTCTCGAGAAGAACTTTTGCGCAAAAGGTGATGCTAGGAGACGCTTGTGACTCCAACGCGGGAGTCGCGAGGAACGAAAATGATCTAGTTTCGGTTTCAGATAGCACAGACATCGAGCGGAAACAAAAACGCAGTCACGATGGCGGATAGTCAGGGGCAAACGGTGGAGTACCAGTGGGCGTACTCGATTATGGACTCGAGCCGGGTGTCAACGTTCCTCATATCCATGCTGTTGATCGTTTATGGCTCGTTTCGAAGCCTGAACATGGAGCAGGAGGCACGAGATCGGGCGCATGGTTCTACGAACTGCTTACTCAACCCGCCGCAAACCACCCCACAGGAAAACAATGTACAGACGTTGGACACAATGCACGCACTGTGTTTGCCGTTGGGCGCCAGTATATCTTTGTTGGTTATGTTTTTCTTCTTTGATTCCATGCAAATGCTGTTCGCCATTTGCACCGCAAGTGAGTAGTAATGCAGAATGACGCGTTGGTACCTGCTGTTTTCGCATCAACAATTTTGACATTCTATACTCGGTTTCTTAGTGGGAGCGAGGTATAATTCATTATTGAACTGTAAAATTCAGTGGTTTTAGCCATTTGATAGGCATAATATTGTACCTATGATGACTGTCAAAGGTCACGAGAGTGGTAGGTAGTTAGTCATAGATATATAATCAACTGAGATAGTATTGATTTTATTTTATTGTATTGCAAATATCTTTGTACTGGACATAGTCGGGGTTTTACACCATACACAGAATAATATTTTTATGTATTCAAAGCAGGGGTAAATTTGAAATTTACCTCAATATGAGGAAGTATAGGGGAGTTTTTAACCTCAATTTCACGTCTTGTACTCGGTCTTCTTTTGCTTATTTTTTGTTTTGTACTTAGTATTGTAGCTTTCAAAAAAAAAAAACACAAATCCATCAGAAGTGGTTTACACTATCTCCAATAGTATATCAAATTTTTTCAATTTTTTATATTGTTACAAAGAGGTCGCCAAAGAGAAGCGCAGGAAGAAAAAAAACTGCAATAAATGAGGTGGCTGCCATCAGAAGAATAATACTGTCAGTTTACTTTTAAAAAAATACCTATCTTGGACAAAATAATGTATAAACTTTTCGTTTGACTTCACTTTTAAACTGAAATACGAAATTTTTAAAAAGTATTGTTGCAATTTATTTGAACTTAACAATATAACTTTTTAGTTGTTGCAAATTTACTTTTTTTTTATTCTTTCATATTATAGTATAGTGTAGTATAGAAGTATAGCGATTTTATTTTGTATATATTAACTGTGTTCCAACCGCAGTAATAAACCGATTTGGAACTGTAAATTCCCGTCAGTCAACTGATTTTTCCGTAAGGCAAAAAACATTCATCATATTAAAAAATTAGTGATAGGAATTTTGCAGTCCAAACCTGTTATATCAAAGCCAATGTTAGCTTAACTGATTGTAATTGGGCGATTTCAGTAATCGCCACCGTGGCGCTGGCGTTCCTTCTGTTGCCGATGTGTCAATATATAATCAGACCATGCTCGGATGGTAACAAAATATCTTTTGGAGTGTGCGGCCGGTTCACCACCGCAGAACTGCTCTCCTTCTCGTTATCCGTCTTCATTGTATGCATTTGGGTGTTAACAGGTAAGGAAATGGGAAACGAATGTGGGTCTTTTGTAAATTTTGCGTTTTAACTAGGCCACTGGCTGCTTATGGACGCGATGGGAATGGGATTGTGTGTGGCGTTTATCGCTTTCGTCCGCCTGCCCAGTTTGAAAGTGTCGACGTTACTTTTAACCGGCTTGCTTATATACGACGTGTTTTGGGTATTTTTCTCGTCGTACATTTTCAGTGCGAACGTCATGGTAAAGGTGGCGACCAGGCCGGCCGAAAACCCGGTCGGTTTGGTCGCGCGCAAACTACACATCGGGGGCGTCGCGAAGGAAGCGCCGAAACTGAGTTTACCCGGAAAACTGGTGTTTCCCAGTATTCACAACACCGGCCATTTCAGTATGCTCGGTTTGGGCGATATCGTGATGCCCGGCCTCCTGTTATGTTTTGTCTTGCGCTACGACGCCTACAAAAAGTCGCAGGGCCTGGCCCCGGCCGGTTCCAAACTAACTTACTTCCATTGCTCGCTGTTGGGTTATTTTTTGGGTCTGCTGACGGCGACGGTAAGTTCGGAGGTGTTCAAGGCCGCGCAACCGGCCCTACTCTACCTGGTACCATTCACGTTGTTGCCGCTGCTGACCATGGCTTACCTGAAAGGTGACCTCAGACGTATGTGGTCCGAACCGTTCAAGTCGCTGAGTGTCGCGAAGCACTTGCAAGATGTGTGATACGAGAACGTTTTCGTGACTCGTTTTAGGAAAAATTTGTTAAAAAGTGTTAAATAACTTTTTTGGGGTTAAACCCCCCTATGACGAGGTAAGTGACGTTTGTCGACCGAACAAATATTCTCTGGGTTCCAAACTGCGCGTCAATTGTTTTAATTTTTAAGACTGCTAAGAAGGCAAAATATCTTTGGTCTCGATTCGCCAAAGCATTTTTACTTATTTATTACGCCGGTTTTTTTTTTACGATGACATTTATTACGAATATTAAGACTGAAGCATCCACATGACAACAAGGCTCTCATGGGCAATCTCGAAACGCGGTAAGATATTTTGCCTTTGACTGACAAGTAGGAGGCCCCGGGACACAATACAGATTGGTTAGTTTTGCGGACGTTTTTGGAGACCTCCCAACAATTTTTTAGTGGTCTGTGGCCGTTTTGCGGCGGTTAACAAGTTTAACCGTGGGGTCTTTATTTTTTAGTTTAATTTTACTTAATTAACTTAATCTCATGACCCCGTCTCAAGTCATAAGAAAGTTGTCGACTTGCGTATCCACAGTTTGATATATAAAGTCCCCCAGTCCACGCGCCGATTGCGTTCTTTGTTCAGGTTTGCGGTCTCGGCCTCTGCACTTGGAGTTTGCTGTTGTACTTGATTTAAGTGTCATATCAGGAAAACCTATTTTCTTAATTATTAGCCGATTAAATGCCTTTCATCACGTTTTATTTTTCTGTGATAGTGGAAAAATGTTCTTGTCATTAAACGAACAAATAATAATTCACCCCAACCGGCCGATAATGAAAAATGTCTGATCTGTCAAAACGGAAACAATCAAATTATGAGAATTGGTATGCGGGCGGCAGCACTGACGATTGCATGACCCACTTGAGTCGCTAAATTGAAATCGAAGGAGGGGGGGGGGGGGTGGCGATAAATATTAGTATATATAAAAAAAAACTTAAACGTAATACATTTTTTAGATTTTTTTTTGTAGGTAGTTTTCTCGATAACGCGAACAGACAAGCAATCTGAAAGTTGGTTGTTTTTTTTTGGCGTTAGTGGTTAGATCAAAAGCACTACTCACAATCTGTAAGTGTTCACTTTTATTCGTTACGGAATTTTTGTTGAAAGTTACTAATTAATTTCGTCGATAGCTCATCTTTTATCCCCTCATTGCCCGAAGACAAAAACTGTTACACCATTCACAATCATCCTATTTATGAACTCCTCATGTTCTAAGTTAAGGTTCTTCGCTTCGATTAAAATAAAAAAAAGAACAACGTGACCCTAACTATAAGTTGTGTTATTGTTTTTATATATATGAAGATAATTTAAATAAAACATGTACAAAGTCATAGTGCATTTTATTTCTTAATACAAAATAACGGCAAATCTGCAACGGTAGTGCATCGTGAAACGATCGGTAATAAAAACAAATCACTAAATACTGGAATGAAATTGAAGCCTGTGTCTAACCTAACCCGTGATCGTCGAAGAAACCTTGCGGCGTTTCTTCCTCCTGCAAAAGGTCCTGAGCAGCTATAGCTTTTAGAACATTCTTTTTGCTAGTTTCCTGAATCTCGCCGCCGAGCATTAACTCATCGAGAATAAAGTAGGCCTTTTCGAAGTTAAATATGATGTCTAATTCGCAAACGCTGCCGAAATACTTATCCAACAATTCCACATATCTGTGGATCACTTCTAGAGTGAGGAGCTCATTGTCATCTTGCTCGATTGCACAGCAAAAGTATAGGCTAGCATACCTGCAATCAAACAGGCTTTCAGGTTAAAGAATGTTCGAATATTCTACGTCGTACCTTTTGTATACGATCTTCAAATCTCTCCATTCTAAAAAGCTGCACATTTTGGGTTTCCTCGCAAGTATCGTCGTTATTAGTTCGCGAGTTATTTTCTTTTTTAACTTATCCGGATGCGCAACGTACCATTTTTGTAGCCTTAGCTTGCCTTGACGACTAAAGAGCAGCATAAACTGCATCATGTTTTTATGGGAAATTACGACCAATTTACATTTGATGACATGTTAGAGCCTTAACATAACCCAAAACATTTTTCTCTTCGTCTAAAAGTATCGTGGCCCTTTGGTGAAACTGACCACAGAATGCTTTTTTTTTCTTTACGCTTAATTGGTCTCATCTCAATTCGGATATGCACCCATTTTCCGGCACCGCCCAGGAAAATTTGACCGATATCAATTTTTTCAGTAACACAACACCCAAGGCTCCCGGTGGGAATCGAACCCACAACTTCCGGCAAGTTCGTGTTGGCAGAATGTAAGTAAGAACATGAATGGCAGTAATCTTTTTTGCTAGAAAATCCGTTACAGTAATAACCAAAAAAATTAACGAAAAATGTACTTTTAATTTGAATATCAAACTGAATAATTGGGCCCATAGATAAAAAGAAGAAAAGCAGGGTTTTTTGGAGTTGTTTAAAGTGACACGTTACGCGCAAGCGTGGCTGGTCGTCCTTTCGACATTAGATTTGGGAAGGTGAGTGTTGGCAAGAAGTTTTCGGTATAATCTGAAAATTTCTTGATCATCATTAAGTGTAATGGAGCTTAGTATGGGAACGTGAATTAACGTGGCGAAATAGAATCCGGTTTGGTTAATATTTTTATTGCGATCTTTTAGGAATAATATACCATAAATATTGATTTTTTGCCATGACCAAGTTCATTTAAAAAAAGTACTTGTTTTGCTTTTGGGTGAAATTTAGGCGATTTTTGTGATTAATTCTTTACCTTAGGATAACTTAGGATTAGTTTTTGTCCATAAGTAAAACGCTGATATAACTAAAAAGTTATAACCTTGCTTTGTTGACATTGCTCCATAAAAAATGTTTGGTTTTAGATGGCCCCTCCGGCTGCACAGAAGAAGCCCGCAGAGGGCAAAAAGGATGCGAAAAAAGTGGGAAAGCCGCGAAATTACGATTTGGGCAATGGAGTTGTACGGTTCTCCAAGACGCGGATGTTTCACAAAAAAGCTTTGTACAAATTTATAGGGAAAAAAACGGCCGCCGCCAAAAAACCAGCCAAACCCCGCGTTATTGAGAAACCGATAGGCGGAGAGAAAAATGGGGGCAAACGTTACGTTTTGGTGGAAAAACGTAGGGCTGTGTATCCCACTCAAGATAGGTTAGTTTTTGAAACTTGTTGAACATTGTTGTCATGACATTTCCTAACTTTCATGATGAGTATACTTAGGACACCTTACGATTTTCCATGATATAATAATAAAACTGAATAATCCATATTTTCGAGCAAATGTAAATAATGGAAAGAATGGAGCACTAATACAGGGATCTTTTTAAATGTAGGATCAAGAAGAGACCCGCGAAACAACTTTTCAGAGACCACAAACGTAGTTTGAGGGACACACTTACCCCTGGAACTGTCTTAATCCTTTTGGCAGGTTCACATAAGGGCAAAAGGGTCGTTCTGCTCAAGCAGCTCAAGTCAGGGCTTTTGCTTGTTACGGGTAAGGGATATTTAGACTTTACGAGCATATTTTGTTCTCTGATATGATGAGTATACTTAGGACACCTTAAGATGGACCCTGATATAACACAAATACCACTGAAATTTAACAACACTAAGCTATATTTAAGCACGTTTGAAAGTTGCGTAACACTTTTTTGTTTTGTCCCTTAAAGGTCCCTTTGAAATCAACGCGTGCCCCTTGAGGCGCATCAGTCAACGTTACGTGATCGGTACTCAAACTAAGATTGACATTAGTGGCTTGAAGCTGCCCAAAAATATTAATGATGAGTACTTCAGGAGAATCCGGCAGAAGAGACCAAAAAAAGAGGAAGGGGACATTTTCAAGGAGAAAAAAGAAGTAAGTACTTATTTGCTTTTAAAATTAGACATTTATCCTTTATAGCACATGATGAGTATACTTAAGACACCTTACGATTTACCATGATATAAATCCAATGATAGTGGGACTGAATGTAATCTAACCTGATGTGAACCCCTTGGTTGTTTCCATTATAGTATGCCTCAAGGTTCTTTTTCCGTTTAGGCATATAAAGTAAGCGATCAGAGGAAAGCCGATCAGAAGGAGGTCGACAAACAAGTTTTTGCCGCCATTAGGAAACATACTGACAGCAAAATACTGTTGGCGTACCTGTCGGCGATGTGGGGTCTGAGGTCGAGTCAGTATCCGCATCGGATGAAATTCTAACAACGTGTAAGAGAGCCACAGTTTGTCGATTTGTTGTAAATTAATTCAATAAATTGTGGATTTATTTATTGTTTTTCCTGTTATGAAAAATAATTACCCGAAATGTTGCCATCCCAACTTTTAATCTCTGGTTAAGTGGAATATAAGATCTAAGTGAAGAACAAATTACTTCTAAGCTACGAACTTTCGGCCTGCCTTAACTGGGAAAATTGCTAATTTGTAATTGATCGTGTTACTTCAGAACTGTGAAACTATGGTTACGTGAAATAAACAACGTTTATAACAATATACAAGCTTTATTCATTTATAGATAATGGCACCATAATAACGTAACTAAGCAACACAATTATTTTATTACTCTACAAGTGGAATTTCTCTTTCGACACGTGTTAAAAAAAACAGACACCTTAAAACATCACTAAAGAATATCAGACTAGTTGGAATATTTCGTATTACATAATTATACCGCTCAGGATAATATTTCGACTGCATCACAACAAAAGAAAAAAAAACTACGACCCCTCCCTGCCCCCAGTTCGCGATCGACGCGACCCGTTCGATAAAATATCTTTGGTTGGCCTAAATTAAAAAAACAGTAAAACAAGAAAATAGCTCTTACGCAACTAAGTCTCCGACAAAACTCCTAAAAAATATTGCTTCGTTCAATATATTATATTACATTATTTGTTTCGGGCTAAATTTGTGTGTGGGTGCGTGTGTATAGTTCAAAAAAACAAAAACATGACGACAAATACGTCAGACGCGGCGCGGATTGTTTGAACTACTAGCGTCCGACCAGGTACCTGCTGCCGACTTCGTAACCGGCTACGGCACGCAACATGATTTAAATAATACTTAAACACAACTATAAATAAATATTAACTACATCTTTATATAATAATCTATATATAATATATCTCTAAGAACCCGGTCGTTCCACCTGTTTTTGCGGAGTAAACTAAAATTCAACAACAATTAAAACGCGTAAATACAGGGTGTTTGGAAACGTTGGTGCAAAAGGAAGCGAATGCTACAATATAAAAATTATTGATATGCAAACGCCCTTACATTCCGCACCAACTTTCTCGAGCACCTTGCGCACCAGGCACATTCAACAACGAAAGGAAACTAACCAACAAAGTGAAAGAGAACTCAAAGTGAAAGTCCAAAATTTCAACAGTCTATAGGGTTTTTTTTGCTATATAATATACATATGGCATTACGTGGTGAATTTCTCTTTGAACCATTTTAATATGGGCGACTTTTCGGGCACCAATCGCGCACCGTTGGTTTCTGCAAAAGGAAAACCACGTGAGGGGCGGGCGAGACTGTGGGAACGTGGTGGTATGTCCGACCTACTGCGCATTCGTTCGCGATGGCCGCGCATTGCCCGTCCTCTCCCGACGACTTTTCAGATAAGGGGGTACTTTTGTCTCCGATGAACTTTTATCCAAAAAAGTGATGACAGGAGGGTAGGAGTTACCGAAGTGTATAAAAATAAGCACGTTATTTGAGCGAGTTCATACTGTTGAGAGACTAACATGGGAACGCGTGAGAAGTTTGGAGAGCGATTATTAAAAAAGTTACGAAGCGAAATATAAAAGTAGGAAAAAAACAGATCAAGGACGGCAGGAGTAAACCGCAATTGGACATTTGAACTACCGCACGCACGGAGGCGAATTCCGGGGAAATTTCGGCCAAAAATTATGATTTTTTTTTAGAAATATGTCAGTTCAAATTTCAATTTAATTGTTAGTTATGCAGGCAATTTTATTTTAATACAGTTGCAGAAATTTTCATAAAAGGTTTTTCTTCAATTCCGCGCGTGTCCGATTTCAAACTGTATGGATACTTTTATTTAACGATTCCCAAGAAAGGTTGAATTAAAAAATGATGCGGTAATTTGCGGTCGTGAATATACAAATAAAATCGATATATTTTCTTCGTCGTTTTTTTTGTGTTTATTTGTGTTTTATAATGCATCAATAATTATTTCATTTTGTCTTATTAATGAAATAAAATCATTGACTTTAATGGTGTGTAATCATTTGAAGATTTTTTAAATTTTTCATTGCAGAGTGTGCCACAGAAAAAGCCGTGAACTGCTTAGACAACTGTCAAAGAAATAAAAAAAACCGCGTGACCATTTGGCGGCAAAACTAAAATCTTTAATGAAATCTGGGATTTTGTCAAGTTTTTTTTTTTATTTACGTGTGGTGAGTTTTGAGGTCTAATTGGAATTGTGATATAGATAAATTGTAGCCATTTAATACAATCATTGCAGTATCTTTTTTTAGTTGGAAACAAAGGTCTTCACGATTCGAGGGAAATAAAATTGAAAACGTGAAAAAGTCTATGAATATTCGTTATACACATTTTATCTTTTTTTAATTCAAAAAATTGGGGCCGGTTTATAGCCGAGATTCCGAAAAAACAAGGAGAAATCCCCACGCGTCCGGGAGAGTGGCGGAGCGCGGAGGCGGGAATGAGAGAGACCGCCGCGTACGAACCACTACTGTACGGTACAAAGTTGCTTACGTAGGTCGCCGTCGCATTCGTCAAGATCTTCGCGCCGCCCCGCCCTCTCGCCGCCTTCCGTCACCGCCGTCACCTTGGGCAAGTAGGGCCGGTAGTCGAGGCCGGACCGTTCGTAAAACAAGATGTAGGCGGAGCTAGTGTCGATCTTCGGGATCTTGGCGCTGTTATACGGGCAGCGGAACCCGTTGGCGACCTCGCCGCAACCTGCCGGTGGGGGTTGAAATGCTTCGCATTCCCGCGGTGGTGATGGGCGGGTGCCTGCCGATCGACGTCTCGTTGGTACCGGTGAGAAGACGCACCGCTCCTCCCCGCCTTGCTGTTCCGTCTCCTGCGTAGCGAGAGGAGCGGCTTGGTCTGACTCGGTCGAGCCCGTACTAGGTCTGCGCGCAGGCGGCTGCTGGGTGTTCTTTCGACGCGATAGCGGCGTGCAGCCCGAAGATCCGCCTCTCGAACTGTCCAGCGACAGATTCGAACGGGACAGTTCGGGATCGGGTACCACCTCCCGGCAGGAGCTGTCGTTGTAACAGTACCAGTTGCCGTTAGGATTGCACGCGTACGAGATGTAATGGCCGCCGTTGAGCATGCCCGAGTGGCTCTACGGGATAGGAGGGGCCTTTACGAACGTTCCCCTCGAAAATCTCACGATACTCACCACGACCGCGTAGAGTTGGTACTTCAGATCGAACGGGTCTTGCCCCGGCAACAGCTTGTGCTCGTGGTAGTCCTTCAGGTGCTCGTCAATGATGGGAGTCTTCAGTAGGCTGGTCGAGATCAGACGCGACCTAGTCTGCTTGGAGCACTTCTGAGGCCGCGGCGACGTCGATGTCCTGTCGTCGCCGGCCCCGTTGTTTCGTGCCGGCGCCGCGACGCTCTCGTCGCCCTCGAGCAGTTTGGTGCTCTCCTGGACGCTGTTGCGGCCGCTCGAGTTAGGCGTCTCGCACGTGTCCTCCGGTATCGCGTCGTCGGCTAGAACCGCGATCGGACATGTGAACTACCGCAGACTTTCGCCCGTTTTACGGTACACCAAAATTTGAAGGTTTACATCAATATAGTACCCGAAACATAGGCAGGCCCGGTTATGGTGTATATGTCTTCACCCTTAATTCGTCATTTCAAGAAAAGATTTATTTCTATTTAATTTAAAATAAAACAAAACTGAGACATTAGTCATTTAATAAAACTATATAATATATCAATACTTACTTAACTTACTAATGCTTACTAAAAAGAAAATACATTGAGTACAAATTTGCACTCTATGGGGCATTCGTAGATTATGAAAAAGAATTCGACACAGTGGAACATGGAGCGGTACTGACAGCCCTGCAGAATTGCAGGATTGATAGTAGTCTAATACAAGGTACCATGTAGCTACATAGTATCTCAACCAGAATGAACAAACAATATCAGTAAATATAGAAAGAGGTGTTAAATAAGGCGACACTCAGTTGCCGTTGCAGAGTTGCACATCGAGCCCGGCAAAGTTAGTTTGAAGATGAACATTGAAAAAATCATGTAGACCGAAGGAAATGTCATAAATGTGACGTGCTTTTGAGCAATAAAATGGTTTTTTTATGAAAAAGCCTAAGCTCTTCTTGAAATGACAGATTTTTGCTAAAAGATTATGACATATTATGTTACATGGCAAACAGTAGTCATGGAAGAAACTTCCGTATTCAGTTCCGCGAAACCGGCAGTCATCGCTTACCTTGCGTTTCGCCGGTTCGTCTCTTCTCCTCCAACAGCTGCTTGTGCCTGATGATGGTCTCCTGCGGCACGGAGGCGAGATACGCGGTCGGATCGAAATCCTTGAACGGGAAATTGACCACCTTCTGCGTCTTGACCCACTTGTCGTTGACGTAATCGAACCGCTTGAGGTGGACGATCTGAAACGAAGCGGGAAGAGTCTCAAATTAAAGTTTGTTAGGGACGTCGACGACGGCTTACCAGTATTGGCGGAAGCCGCCATATCTGCAGCTTCTTTGTGGCCGGCTGCAGGTTGTTGCAGCTGCTACAGTGGTACTTCGCCTCCAGGCGCTCCTCCGAAGTGAACGCCCTCAGGCAGTAGTCCAAATCGATCGGTTCGGTATGGAGTTTGCGGCAAATAGCGACCGACTCGTGCTCTGTCCACAACTGCAACGAAAATTTTCTTATCTTTATTCGGCCCACAGGACGTCATAAAGTCAATGCGCTAAATCGTATTTTAATATAGCGACGTAACAAACATTCGAGGGTATTTTGTACAGTAAAATGGGCCATACACGCGCCTTAACAATTGTACCATTGGATAAGTGGTAAATCTGGTTTTGACGTTATACTTCTTTAGAACTTTTGATATGTGATCAGATATATTTTCAAGGTAAGTGTATTTTTTGAGATGCCAGGAGTTAACAGCATTCCAGTTTCAGTCAAGCTCTGAAGAAGCCAACGCGATGATTGGCGAAACGTCAGCAAGTTCGACTCAGCAAAAACCGACCCAGGAGGAATCCAGAAGTTTTGTAAAAAGTATTACAGCAGCCTGTGGAAGTTTCTTTGAAAAATTGACCTACCTTTTCCCTGCTGCTCTGGTAGCGCAGATGGAGCGCCGTGGGGTCCCAGTCGATCGCGATGTACGTCGTCTGGGAAGTTCCGTTGTTCCTGCCGCACCGATCAAACAGCGGCTCGTCGCTGCATGGAAGCGGGCAGCCGCGACAGAAACGCGTCCAGTTACAGACGGCACAGATCTGACCGCCGGCCAGCACCGCCTTAAGTTGGAAGGGAAACTCGTAACCTAGGGAATCATCACTGAAACCGAAAGCACAGATGTTAAAGACTGTCTCTGTGACTCGTGAAACAGTTTTGTCTCGAAATTTCAACCATAAGGAAAACTCAGGTTGGTACCTGTTTCCTGTGCCTGTCGTGAGAGTTCTCACCCTTAAAAAACACGAAATACTCACTGCAAAATGTACCTATTTGCTTAATATTTTAAAACAGTTTGTAAAAACAAATCGAAATTTTAAGTCAACAGATAGTATATAAAATATATTACTAGGAATACAAACATTATCATGGATTTTTTAAAAACTCACCAATTTTGGCTGGTTTACGCCTCTACGATCTTTTTCAAGAGTTAACATGTCTATTAAAAATTACGAAAATATCTCAAGACGTTTTAATCTAACAACACATGTTATTCTGGCCCAGAATTTCTGGATACCATGTGTTAAAATTTAGCAAGCGTTTGGTGCATCTTTTTTTTATAATCTTCTTCTTTTTTTCTTCTTTACACAGTATCCACTATTGCAACTATGCTTATTTGGGATATATTAAAATTTTAGCCAATTTTACTATACGCAGAAAAATAGATTGCTTTTGTGATTTATTTCTATTTTTCATTTGGGATAAATTTATCATATTCGGGCTATACTTAAGTGCATCAATGCGTCATTGTGCGCCAGGAAGAACTCAACCTTTTTTCTGACGATAACTCATTGGGCAATACAAAGTGGATCTGCTTGCCTAAAATACTTCCCCGCTTTTCTCACAACATGAAGTTTTTGAAGAAACATCTCATGTTCAATAAGATCACCAACACCGTTAAATAAAATCGTTTCCTTCTGCCACAAATAACATTTGTTTGTTTGTTCGAATGAATTTGTTGACCCGCGTTTACGTTTTATTTTTTTCTCAGAGCGATTTTCGGAAGAATTGTCAATAATATTGAAAACGAATTTCTGAGGATTCCAAGTAGTTCAAATGTACCCAGGCAATCGAACGCGTAAGATGATCTATGATAGGTTGCAGTAAACGGTTAGTAGTTCATTTGTACCGGTACAGGAAATAAAATGTGTATATTTAAGCTCACCAGTCTTGGGCGTGGTTAGTCTGGTCGCTCTGGGGCAACGGGCTGAGCAGCCGCGTTACCTGACCCCAAACCATATCGTAGGCGTCGCGGCAGGTGGCGCGCGGCGAGCAACCGAGTAGCAACGGCATCCCGAACAGGCTCGGCTTACTCTTCTGCTGCGAAAGGAAGTAGGTCTCCTGCAGTACGCATTTGCGGTGCACCGCGACGAGGTAAGACGGAGGCTTGAAGGCACCTGCATAGACGAGGTGGTTACGTCATTCGCTGCATGATCAAGAGGTCCGAGGGGACGCGACTCGCCCGATAAAATCACACAAAACCAAAAATTTAAAAAATAATATATGCTTTACCTGACACGGTCGAAGAGTTGACGGAATGTACGGGGGGAACGGGGCGCTTCAACGGAATGTTTTTCGACTGTGCCTGCGCATCCGACTTGCTTTTCTGCAAACGAAGAGAGAACGTCGACCGTTCTTGAGCTCGTCGTTACCATTGGGATTTATTTATTTTTAACCTTTTTAACGTTACGGAACACGTGTCGGGCTGCTGTGCAATTTAACACACCCAAAATTCTATCCGCGCGGAGCGGCGTCTCAAAACCGAATTAGTTCAAACGCATCGACAAAAACAAAATTGAACTACTCTACTACGTTACTAACCAAAACTAACCCCTCCCTACATAAGTCGATGCAAAAAAGTAAACTTCTCAGGAGAAAGATAACACAATTAAATTCAATGCATTTAAAAAAAAAAATAGAGATATAAATAATTTGTGGCGGCCCCTCCGGACTTCAAACTATGTTCGGTCGTTTTCGTCAATATGGCCATGCCGTACAGGGTCAGCTAAATAGCACAAGACGCAACGCTAACGAAAAAAAAAAATAGATCAAAACGCGGACAAAATTCTACGAAAGTAGTTCTAACGTCCCTTGTATGTTTCAGACAAATTTCACACAAAAATCACTAATTTTTGGAGCAGGAGATGTAAAAAAATACGCCAAATAAAATCAAAACGGGCGCAAAATGTGGCTACGGTAGGGCAGCCGTGCATACCTTAAAGCATAGAATGTTGGGCATGCAAATGGCCGAACCACTCCTTACCTCTGGGCTTCGGGCCAGGGGACTGTCGCTCGCTCCAGCGTCCACGTCTAAAAAATGAAAAGAAAAAAACAAACAACAAAATCAGAACACAAAAAAAAGTATAGTATATGTATAGTATTACTTAATCTCTTGGAGGAGTTCAAATTACTTCAATCCCAAAACGCATTTCCGAAAGCATTAATCTCGGTAAACAGGTAATCATTATATAGGGAAAAGTTCTGTGAGACAGAATTTATGGTTCAAAAGCCCTAAGGCTCATCAATTGATATCTTTTGAGCAGCAATTTCAAAAATTACAGCGGATTAAAATGAAGAAGGAAAATACATTATTTTAAATTCAATTTGTGTCAGCACTAACTTTTATGACTTCATATAAAAAGAATCTATCGCGGTAACCAGTAGATACGATCACTGACGTCAAATCTGACTCAATAAATACTAATTGTGCAACTATTTAGAATAGAACACCGTCTTTGGAGGTATTCAACAAACAACGATCCTCGCACCATGCCGCCATTACCTGTATCGTTATCGGCGTCGTTTTCAACGACGTCGGACGTCCTTTCGACGTCCGACGCTTCGTCGCACTCAACCGGCAACTCGTAGGCGTACAGCTCGGTCGCCGTCGCCGCGTTGATCTTCGCGTCGTCAGGCAACAGTTCTTTAACCTGCAAAGACGCGCGCGATGGATGACAGGTACACTGGCTGGAAAAGTAAACCTTTGCTTACCTGACAACTGGCCACTTCCACCAGAAGCAACCTGCTGGGATCGACGTCGCACAGTTCGCTGAGCCGTTCCTTCAGCTCGCCGTATTTAGCGTCCGAGTTCAGTCGCAGGCCGTACTTTATTGGTCCGCCCCCGTCAAGTCGGACCACTGAAAAACGCGCGGTCGCGATTTTTATTATTGTCGTCGTTATTTGCGGATCGTTTTACCCAGCACTTCGCAAAGGTTGTAGTTCTCCATCGGCAACGGCAGGCTGAGGTGGTTGAAAGGGTCGAATTTGACCGATTCGTGGCCGCACGTGCGGCAGGTTACCTGGAAAATGCGCCTTAGGAATAATTCATGATACATTTTAGAAATTTTCCCCAACAATAGCGCACAGAGTCCTAGCAACCTGCTCCAATACATTTTAAAAATTTCCAGTTATTAAAAAGTTCTTAGCCTATGCTAGGAGTGTTTCTCATCACCAATAAGAAATGTTAAAAGTAGTTAAAATGTTCCAAACAGGAATTTAACGTACAAACGAGAGGCTACAGTTTATCTCTTCAATTGACATTTATACGTTTATTATGGGCCGATAAACATGTTTACAAACTAAGAGAAATTTCTTTTAAAGAAAATACCTATATAGGCAAGTTATTTATTCATTTTAATATAACGAAATCGACTGTTTAAAATAAATTGGGGATATTTTATCATCTAAATATTGTCGATTAATCGAAACATTTTTATATTTTTTAAGTTTTCACTGAAAAAGATAAACTCAATATTTATTTTATTATTATTAAAATAGAAATAGTGTGGATTGAGGTGTAGATAAAAAGATCATAGAATACAGAGTTGCTTTTCCTGATAATACTTTATAGGTATTATTCTCATCTTCGTGCCAATTGCAACATTTTGCACGCAAGTAAGTATTTAATTTACGTGCAATGTATATTTAATTTTGTTTAATTATTAAAATGAAAAATATTGACATTGTGTAATTTAATTTTTTCACAGAAACTTCCACAAGTTACTGTAAGTATGCTGAATTTTTATCAGGTGGTATTTTGGTTTTTCCGTGCGCTTGTAGGAAAAATAAATGAATGCTTTTACCAGGACATTTAGATATTTTAAATAAACCATATTGATAGTCTGAAAATGATCCGCGATAAGTACATAAAGTTTCCGGTATAATTGAAACAATGTCCCATAGAAATAAAAAAAGAGATCACAAAAAAACTAAGAAGGATTTTCTGACTAATCACACTTCAACAACGTGACATAAACCTTCTTAATAATAAAGAAACGAGCGGATCCAAGACTTTTGACATATATGCGTTAAACGTCCTCTATCTATAATATTTTAAAAAAATCGATATATATGTTCGATATATAGCAAAGTATATCGAAAATAATATAGATATTTTTTTAACATGAACATCCCTAGGACGTTTTAACATCGGTTATGGGAATCGAGTGAGTGCGTTAAGACATAGAAACCACACATCCCTTTGCGGGCCCGATATCCCAATATCTGACATTTAGCATATTTAGCATTTAGATTTATCTTGCGTTAATAAAAAAAAAAATCGTTTCAAAATAACCTCCCGCCCACCACTGAATTGAAAAAATAAACAACGGGAGAAAATTGCCACCGATAGCTCACCTTGCTCTTGAGCTGGCCGTGAAACAAATCGGTAATGATGGAGTGCTCGCGCTTAAGGTGCTGCTGCCACGCCTCCTCCGCCACGATCTCGTCCGGTCTGCCGTCGCTGTCCCTTAACTGCGTATACTGCTTGCTCGCGACGCGGTTCAGGTCCTCGTGGAGCGCGTCGAGGAGCCACGCGAGCAATTCCTGCGAGTCGTGTTGACCGCCCCCGCTCAGTTGCGGCGCATATTTCGACACGCAGTGCCGCAGCTTGAGGGGAGCGAGGCTCCTCGTACTACCGGTCCACAGTTCGCGGCACAGTTCCGCGTAGCGTTTCGCGACGAAGCCCTTGGTGCCCTGCGGGTTCTCCGAGTTGAGTTCGAGCAGCTGCACGTCCTGCTGGAAGTACATGGTCAGCGGTCGGGTGTTGGACACCGCTTGGAGGGCGGCGTTCATGAAACAAGTGTTGCCCAAGTTCTGGAGGCCGGTAGCGCCGGGCGGCAAGCTGAGCGTCATGCGGCGCTCGATGAGCGCGTGGTCCCCACCGGCGCCAGCGGCCAGCTGGTCCAACTCCTCGGGCCACGTCAGATCCTTGTTGCGAACCTCGAGCAGAAGTTGATCGGCGTCGCGCACGCCCATATCTTGCAGCATGGCGCGGTCGTCGTCGAGCAGCGACGGCGGCTGGTGATCCCTGAGGAGCCAGAGCCGCGCGTCTTCCGGTTTGAGGTTGAGGCGCTCGCACAGGAAGTCGGTCACCTGCTGGACGGTAGCTAGGCGAGAGAACGCGGCCACGTGGACTAGGCTGCGGCGAATCTGGGAGGGCGAGGAGGCGGGCGCCAGACCAGCGGTGCTCAGCGCCGCCCCGTAGCTACACCCAGCCGGTTTCGGAAATTATTTCTCACAATTGGTTCGTCACCGGTGGTACATTACTCACCCGCCGACGACACTGCTCCACGGCGTCGATCCGTTGGTGGTCTGTGCCACCTGGTGCCTTAGAATTCGCAAGTTCAAAGGGAACAGCTCGAGTTCGACTTCCGAGCGGCCGGGCGGTTTGATCACCTGCCGTGGCAGGGGCAACGGACCCCCGTACCACAGCGACAGCGCCTTCCACAGCGAGTCCGGAACGAGTTCGAAATCGCGACGTTGCACCAGCGGCGTATCACGCTTGAGACGGCCCCCCTCCCCCGTCAACGTGGCAACTTTGAATGCGGGCTCGGCGACCAGGCAGCTGTTGTCGATCGGGCCGGGGGGAGTGACCGCCCGTTTCGACGCGGTCCCCGAGCTGCTCGACACGCCCGAGCTCGACGCTATGCTGCAACTGTGACGGAAGGGGCCGATACATTTAAAAAATCATAATATAAGTAGTAGTCTTTGACACAAATATTCAACAATTTCAACGGTAGGTGGTTGAATTATTCAGTTTTAATTTCAAATTTTGAAAAATTACGAAAACAAACCAAATAACCAATTAAAAAAATTGTAATACACTGAGCTAGAAATAAAAACAATGAGTGATATGCATAAAATTGAGTGAGAGCGTACTCCATTTTAACGTGCATAAAATTTATAACAAAAAACGGAGGACATGCTCAGCTAAAATGAAATTCTGGAGTCTGCACTTTGATTTGCGGGATTTCACGTGTCTTGATATCTCTCCAAAGTAGCACACACCCCACTTGTTTAAAGAGGATTTTTCTGAAAGTCGAACAAGAAAAAAATAAACAACGTAACGGGGTTGAATAAATAAAAGAACAGTTAGAAGGTCAATTAGAAGTGAAATATAATGAAGGGCAGATTTGAAAGGATTTAAATAGTATATTAAGCAACAAGTGTGGTAAACGGTATTCGGGTCACTAGTTTATTTGGCACGAGTTGAGCGAGTGTTTAATAAACGAGTGACTTAAAAAGTTTACCGAACGTCTTGCGAAATATACTTTTTCTGCAATCGTTAGTTTTTGGCAACATTGTTGCAAAACAACATAATAGTATATTATGTAACAAGTGAGGTAAACGGTATTTGACTCACGAGTGTGACACGAGCGGAGCGAGTTTTTAATAAACGAGTGAGTTAAAAAGTTCACCGAATGTGTTGCATACTATACTTTTTCTATGACCGTTAGTTTTTCGGTACATTTTCGCAAAACAACACAAAACATCCGATTGCTCCCAAAGCCGTGCGGTAAAATTTCGGAAATGTCCGAAGTGGCTCGGATTCGTGGGAAACGAAACTGACGTGGTAAAGTGACACTTCCCGCAGACTAGATCGGTGGGTAATTAGGTATTTTACAGACGGGGGTAGAAAAATACATTTACTGACCTGATTGTCAGAATTGACAAACTTCAAAATTCAAGTCGTGCGATAAATCTCCGAAAAAGTCCGAAGGGGCTCGGAACCGTGGAACAAGAGGTATAAAGTGACGCTTTTCGCATGCTAAATCGGTATATAATTAAGTAGTTTACAGAAGGGAGTAGAAAACCAAAAAAGCCAGTCTAAAAGCAAAGACCGACAGAAATCAATAATCCAATAAAATTGAAAGGATGGGAGCAAGAGTTGTTTAATTTCCCGGCAAGGAGGACCAAATCCCACTGTTGCCTAATAGCAAGGTTAGTTATGTATTTATTAGAATTTGATATACAGTGTGTCCGAAATGGTGATGTATGTGTTGCGATCTAGGAAACTGTTTGGGATAGAAAAACGGTTAAATAAACAAAGTTCTGTTTGTCGTTGGATGCCGCTTAGTTTGTGATTTTATCTGTTATCGTTCTTGAGATATCTTGAAAAAACTAAAATGACGCATTTTCAAAAAAAATCCTGTTTTTTCTTTATTTATAAATATCCCCGTAATCTGTAAAAACCTACTTAGAGCAACTTTTTATGTAGAAAACGCGTGTGCAATCAGATTTTGCTTGCAAGATTTCGTTGTTTTTTCATATGATGGATTTTTTCAGTTTCAAAAAGGCTCTTTTATACATTTCTATACTTGCATCACCAATTTCGATCACACTGTGTATGGGTTATAACAATTTTGTGATTTTCTTATGATTTCACATATATTTTTTATATTCATATATATATAATATATACTAATAATTGAATGTATTACATGTCAGTATGCAAAACGAGCATATTTTAAATTTTGAGTTGCTGTTTTGGCAGATTCTCCAACAAAAAACATCGAAGATGATATTTCTATAACCCGCGCATCTGTTTCTTCTGCAGCAGAAGAAACAGATATGTGCTACGACGTTGGTAACGGTTCGGGATGTCGTCCATTGATGGGCACCCACGTCGTGTGTTACGCCAATTTGGAATCGTGAGTCACCAACATAACGTAAAAAAACCCTCATCCTTTCTTCATTACTCAATGCTCCGCCCCTATATTCTTCAGTATCTCCAATGGTTGGTTAACTACTGAACATTAATTCTGATAACACCGATATTAGGCACGACAGTCTACTTCACTTGATTCCCTTAACCTTAACCTTAAACACCTATAAATAGGTCTAAATTCAGACAACACTTATGCATATCACTAATTCTTATGACGCCGAGTCTGTTACTAAGGAGCCTCGCATTTTCGAAAGCAGAAACTCAGTGGACGGAGTAGACTCTCCCATTTATGCATATAAGAATAAAAGGCGGTACTTAGTGAGCGGGTACATCCTCAAGCAAAGAGCAGGCACCCACAAGTTGGAGCTTATACCCACATTTTTTGCATATCATAAAAATGTCAGTAAAAGGTAGGCACTTAAATTTATACATATCAACAAATCTTTAAAAGACAAATGAGAATGAGGATGTATTAAAATACCTAAACGTATTATTTCCTTTATTTTCGATTATTTGAACACTTCACTATTAAAAAGATGGAAAGGTTATAAGAGAAATCATACTTGGCATCTTTAAAATAAAATTTTTCGCTTCGATCAAAAGTTGGACGTTTGCCGTTAATTCATAGTAGTATGTAGTTGTCGAGCTATCTAATTTACCTATCCAACCGGCTAAACAGCTCTCCCATCGACTCCATGCTGTTCGAGTTGCAGTCGTTGTTCGTCGACGCGTAGTCGGTCGTATTGCTAATCAAACTCTCGTCGCATATAATGCCTTCCTCGACGGTTCCGCGCCCGTCCGCCCGACACTGGCAATGATCGACGCTGGTGCGGGGCGCCGTCGTGTAGTTCACCCAGTGCTGCCACCACTCGGACGACACGAGGTACCAGAACTGGCCGACGTGGAAGCCCCGACGCTCCTCGCGTTCCAACCACCCCATCACTGTGGGCAAAAGACCAGACATTGAGTTAAGGGGTGTTCGAGCTCTCTGGCGTCGACAGCGAAAACTGACCGATCTCGTACTCGTTGTGCCGGCAGTGGGGTTTCAGCCCGAGTGACACGTGGCACACTTGGAAAAGTAGCTCGAGAAGGGGAGCGATCAGACTGTTATCCTGTACCGCCCACACGAGAAAATCCTCTTGACTGAGGCCGCCGTCGCCATCCACCTGAGCAGTTGGTCAAATTATTACCGAATCGGTATCGTCAGACCCAACTTTTTTGCTTCAAAATGGTAACGTTTCCGTTACCTCTTACATAGGAGCCATCAATTGTCCGCGAAAGCTTGTGGTTACTTTTATATCACTTAAGTGGAATGGAATAAAACTTTTACTCCCCATTTACTTATAATTAATAGGTTGTTCATAAACCATAAATAAGTTGGATAAGCGCTGATGACCTAAATTTTATTTGGCACATAAAATTTATCGAATTTTATATTTTTCCCTTCATAAAACTGAAGCGCCCTCGTTTCAAGCACCTTAAAACTTCATTTTGTTAAAAACGTGAAACTGAAAATACAGATCATTTTTAAATTTATGTCGTTGAAAAACATGTCTTCAAGTTTCAGGAATCTTTGAAAATCTTTTAAAAAGCGTCCGATCACAATATTGTTCTTGTAATAAAACCTAAAGTGATTTTGTAACACTTATAGTTTCACAAGTTACGAAAAAGGTATTTATAAAAACTTTTGTGGTCGGTATAAAACTAAAAGTAGCTGAAAAACTATTACTCTCATGCAAATAAAATGCAGATTTTTTTTAATCATATATTTTTAAAGAAATATGTCTTGAGTTTCAGTTCAGTTCATATCATTTTGCAAAAATACAACAATAGCCGTGACATCACCAGGTTCGCGATTTGAAATTCTACTTTTATATCAGCTCAAACATGTAAGCAATATAACAATATTGCTCTTGCCATAAAATCTTAAGTTAAGTTTTATAAGTTAACAAAAAAGTTTTGTAAAAGTGTAAACTATTATTGACCAAATATCAAATATCATTTATGCAACTTTTTAGTTATTTATTTTTTCTAGAAACTAAAAACGTCCATGCGACCACGCATAGAAGTTCTGCTTTTATGGTAACTGTAGAATATTTATTAGGTACTTTAAGATTTATAAGAGTTTACGCAGTAAGTTATAAAATCCCAATATTATAATAAGGTTTTTAAGAACGCTATAAATATTTTTTTTTAATTAGTAACCAACACCAGAGGTTATATAGATAAAGTAACGGAAATGTTTTGGATGCAATATTATAAAACTTATAGTATTTTGGTATTTATTGGATGTTTTACAATGCAGTTCTTACCTTAAAAACTGTTATAAAAGCTAATGATTCTTATACACCACTTATAAATATCCGTTACCTTATAATCAAACCTTAAGTTGCGAAAAATATTAATTTAGAAGATAGGCAAGCATATGGTCGAATCAAGAAATCAGAGCAAATTTTATTTGCAAATCCCTCTGCACCATCTTTTATCAACCAACGTTAGCCGCAAGCAGAAGACGCCAAACTCGAGCCCGGTACGTTTGAACTACCGTTGCGCGCCGCCGCGCTAGCGGCGTCGCGTCAAACGGATTTCACAGCCACAAAAGCAAAAAGTTAAGGACAGGACCCAACTCTATGGTTCACAACGAAAAACGCGTCACTGAATGGTACATTTAAAAGCTCACCAACTACCAAAGTTATAAGTAAGGTTCGGACCGCTACCTTATCATTCAAGACGTCCAAGGTCTTATCAAGAATGTTGTCCTTGGCGCCAGCGTCGCGATCGATGGCTGTGTGGGGCGGTTCATGGCAGTACTGTGGGGCGTAAGTTAATTTATTCTCGTTGGCTATAAATTTCAGCGTCTGTTTCATATCCTCGAGCTCCGAGGAGTTCAGGTAAAGGTCCCGATCCATGTCGAATATCTTGAAACAGACTAAAGAAACGCTCAGTAAGAATAAAACCGCAATTTATTTACAAGTTTAGTAGTTGCTCACATCGCTTTAAAAAAATGTTATTACTAAAGCCTCGAAATAAGGCACAATTTCTTAGATTTTATCAATTTTTAAAAATTAATAACTGCAGTAGCATTTTTTATAAAAACATTTTAACCATCTTTAAAAGGCTAACTAAATTTAAAAGAACTGTCTGCCTGCGAGAAGAGTTACAAAAATTTGGGAAACCGGCGTTAAAAAAATAACGGCTTAAAAAAAGCAAAATGTGAATAATTTGTTTAATCGATTTTTATTTTTAATTAAATCATTCCGACAGTTATAACTCATAAAAAGAAATCAAACAATTTAAAAAAATAAATAAAAGTCAAATTTTCGAAAATACATGAGACAAAAAAACAGACATAAAACAATATACATAATCAAGGAAGAAAAAGCAAAGAACGACTAAAATTACTTACACTTCATCCGTTCGGCCATCGGGCCTCTGCAAGCGGCCGATATCCCGCAGCACAGCTCCTTAAAGTCGACATGATCGTCCTGGTTGACGTCTAGAGCTAAAAACAGGCCCTTGCACGCCTTAATGGGCACCGGGGGACACACCAGCGACGTCAAACAGTGAAAGTCCAAATTTCCCGTCACCGATGCGCCCTGTATAGTCCAAAAGCACTTTTCCAACTCGCAGATGTCTTGCTCCTCCAGGTGGGTGACGCCAGCGAGCGTCTGGTAAAACGTCGGTGTCTCCACCTCCGAGCTCAAGGTCACGCAAGGATTTGAAAGCAGCCATTTCGATAGCACGGTCGCCTCCCTATTGTACTTGATCCACACTTTGAAATCTTCGAAGCCGACCTTGTCCTGACCGATACCGAACAAGGATTTCAGCGTGTGATCCCACGTAGGGGCGGGTCTGCCTTCAGCCTGAAGCGCGGCCTGGAACTCTGCTCGAGTTACCTGCGTACTCGAGTCGTTGCAGTAGAGCGTCCAAAGAAACCTGCGCAAATGCTCAACGGTGAGAACTGTCGTGGAATGACATCGAAAAAAATTGCCGTTCAACGAACTAACGGGCACGGTTGTGGCATCAAAACTACTACCAAAAATTCTTTTGATATGTATTATGAACTAAACTAAATTTAGAACATGGATCTAAATTCCAGTGGCATCTCCAAAAACAACCTAGGTGATATTTTTGAATCTGTATTTTTTCATATTTCTTATGCCTTTTTGTTTCTTGATTTTTTTTCTGTATTTTGTGTGTGTGAAAAAAACACTATTGAATTGAACAAATCTTCACGAGTTTCACCAAAACGGCAAAGTCTTTTAAATTACTTTGACGTACTCTTGTGGAACATAAAAAGTAATCTACACTTTTTCAATTGCTTGTATTATTTTATTTATTATTTATATAAAATTACAATTAGTATTATACAATTACAATTATTTAAAAAAGCGACGAAACCCTTTTTCGAAATAAATAAGAACTAAAAGTTCAGATTTTCACGAAATTATATACTTTGACATGAAAATTGTTTCGACAACAAAAAATGTTTATATATTATTATTTGTTTATTGCCATTTAAGGTAGTCATCCACCTTCACGAAATGTGCAATTCGCTAAGGCACAGTTAACAGCGGACAAGCTTACTTGATTTTTTCGTCTTGCGTTCCCTTGGTGAGCAGCACCAAGCCGCAAATGAGGTCGCGGAGACCGATACCCCTCTGCGTCCCGCCGCACGCGACATAGAGCCGCTGGACGATCGGGGGCGGCACCCCGTCGCCCAGCACGTGCTGAGCGAAGCACTGCTGACTAAGGAGCTGACCGCCGTTCGTCAGGCGTTTGAACGCCTCGCAGACGCGTTTGAACTCAACATCCGACACTGCAAAAACCACACATGTAGGTGATAACGCACCGTTGCCAGATCTACCCCGAAAGCAAAAGGCAACATTGGAATCTTCTAGATTATCAATTACATGCAATGACGTTATTTGAAATTTCGAAACGCTCATCTTATTTCTTTAAATATGAGGGTCACTAGAGGTAGAAATGGTTTCCATCCTATTGGGAAATGCACATGCGCAGATACGGCCAAAGTTCACTATTATTCGAAGGCCCAACTCGTCACACTTACGTCTAAACCAATTCGCCCAAAAAAATATAACAGAACAAACCGATTAACTGATCTCTGCCTCTAGGCAGGCAGTCAACGCACACAGAGCTTATCTTTGGGCATTTTAAACGGCAGTTAAATGCTTTAGAATTTTGATCCATTTTCTTTGTTTTCTATATAAGTTTGTACTCTGTTTACGTTGTTATATACTGTGCTACCTTGTAATATACTCTTGTAACATATTCTATAACGAATATCTGTTAGGTAGCCTGTCTTATAAATAAATGTGTCCGAAAAGTTATTGATTAATTATTTAAACAGAGCGTGGCTAATTTGTTCGTGATTCAAAATATGTTCGACTATTTTGGTGGATTTCAGTTTCTGTTTCTGTGATCCACTAAAGACGTTTGGACGTGTTGATTTTGATTAAATAATACCAACAATGTATTTATAACGCAATATATCTCGTTGAGAGGAAAATCGGTTTTTGATAAAAAATCTTTTTTGTTTCGTTTTTGAAACCAACTTCTCTCAACTAATTGGTTATTGTCATTTTTTATTATCACAATATTACATTTTAGTGGTGAAATTTAAATACCCACGTTTATTTTAAAAAAATTGTCCATTAATGGTCCATATCAAAAAATAGCTATTTGTAGTTAAAAAGAGAATACCAGAAATCAATATATAATTATAATGACGTATCACTAGAAATTTTGTAATAAGTAGGAGAGTTGATATGCGTTATCTGAATATTTCAATTTTTATTTTAATAAATTCTAAATATTCTCAGAACTATTATTTTGTGGATGTGCCACTGCACCCAGTGAAGTGTTCCGAAATTGACTTTCTCAGTTCTTTCAGCGATGTTAGGTTTTGGTTTTAGTAGGAAGAATATATTTGACGATGAAAAGGGGGCAGTGAATAAAACGAGATGTTTTTTCCAGCAGGAAAACACTAAAACTATTTTCCAGCGACTACACAGATGAGTTTAACCTTTTTTAGTGACCCAAAATCTGTATTCGGATCGAACAATAGGAACTAGTATTTGATTTGACGAGGACGTGTTTATTTTGATACCTAACTCGGTGTGTTTACTTTCGGCTTATCAATCACGATATCTTTGACCTTGGGAGGCGGCATTGAAATTTCCTCAAGTACGTCAGTACTTCCGTGGCGCCGACAATTTGGGACTTTTCGCGCCCAAAAAGGTTTTAATGCGCACGGTCCTTCGAACTCGTCCAGCATTTAATTGGTCGCTAGAAATGAGATAATATAGTGGCCCTACTAGGGTAAAAATTAATGCTCTCAGGTTTAATCGGATATGAACATATTTTGAGAAAATACGCATGTTGAATGGACTTTTTAAATTATTTTTTGTGGTTCCTTCCTTAAATTATCAGTATTAGCAGGGCCTCTATATCTAGTAGCGGTTTCGACAATTGGGAAATTTTTCGAGCAAACGCTGACGGAATATCAGAACGTGGCAACGCCGCTTCCGTTTCAACCGCCCGTGAAAAATGTGCACTTCCCCAAACAGGCGGCCGTTTTTCCTTGACAAACGCGACGCCATTAAAAATAACTTTGAACTTGAGACCGCGCGCCGGTAGTCTGATGCTACAGTTCGATGCTAATAATTACATTTGTTGCGATGGCAAAAACAAAGTAACGACGACGACGTTTTTACTCGTTGCACCGCCACCTGTAGAGGGAGGAAAACAAACAATAGTAAGCACGAGAAGACTTGCGTGACCTTGAAATCGAGAAAAGTCTTCGCTGCAAAAGACAGGTGCGCATAATTTGCGTCACGTTCACCATTCCCGACGGATTTCGCAAGAGTGCGATTATGCCTCGCCGTTAATTTTCGAAGCATTTAAGACCACACGGACCACAAATTCTAGGGCTAGGGCCACAGAGCATTAAAAACCGACGAGAAAAAATTCCAAATGTCAAAATTTTAAACATAAGCTTGTAAGTTATTTTCGCGTCCAATAACAATAATTGCAAAACACACAAATAATGTTCGGTGATTATTCAGCAGTATTGGTGGTTACTGAATTAATTAGCAGCGTTCGACAATTTTTTTGCGCCTTTCGACCGTAGATTTGTCGCGACTTCTGCTGGAGACCCGTTTAGACAATGGGGAGGAATAATACCAGAACAAACACGCGAGAGATTTGCGAATTAAAATCTTATCTCCCGTTGCTGGCTTGAGTACGTATGTGCAATTAATTAAAAATTAATGTCCTCTGAATGTTCAAGTGTCTATTTATCCTTCTACTGTGATTTGCACAGCTCTTGATAGCGCTTATTTGTTGAAAAAAAAAGAGAACAAATATCAATTATGCAACTTAAAATCGTCAACATTAACAATAAATAGAGTCGTGGTGATAAATTCGAACAACCAACTAGGGAATTTCCCCGTAAACTCGTTGCCGGAACAATTGAAATAAACATTTAACCATTCTATTAACAGTAAACGTTATCAATTAACTTAATAATGGAGCATTAGCAATTTGAGGCATTATAATCGGTCGATTTTACAATGTTTTATGCCGTCACCGAACTGTCCAAACGAGAAAAAAACCCACACCGGCGGGTCTTTTATCTTCCCATCACTCTCGGAGTTCTTTCGCGCTAATAATATGCATTTCGTGCATAATTGGCATAACCACATTTGCGTTTTAACATATTTATCACATGATACGTACAGCGGAAGTGGCAATTATCCGCAGAAAACTAACGATCTCGATACTCACTGCGCTTAACTGCATCCTCGTAGATCAGGCAACTCCTTTTCGAGTCTTTCGCACCCATATTTGTTAAATTTTCACGAAATCTCTGGCCATTTTTCGTATAAACAAGCGGGGATCGCACTCATTACACAACTCGGCACTATTATGACAGCAAACTATTTATTTACATTGACGTGAGGTTGTCGTTGGTCGCGGCGGCGCTGAGGTTGCGGTCGGTTGCCTACTTTCGGAAAGATGTTTTTCCCAAGAACTCAAAACTTAACGCTAACTTTCTAACTTCAATTTTCGGAAGTACCAGGTGCCTATCTGGACACGATATGCTATAGTGTTTATAATCTTTCAAGGTGAATACATTTTATCGCAATTCTCGGTAGCAAACGTCCGTCGTAGTTTAAACATTTCGGAACAGAGGGCGGATATTTCATTTTTTGCGGTCCGTGATTTGCGATAAGAAATGCTTTTTTTCATTCCACTGATAAGGTGATTTATGCACTGCTCTGCCGAAGTAAACTGATATATGAACGCTTACTGTTAGGCCCTTTTTGTGTAATACCTACAATTGTAAATAATTTCCCGTGTTTTGTTATTTACAATCGTTACCAATTGCCACAGACTACAATCACTGCGGTTTGTTTTTATGACACGCTACATAAATCTAACCTTAGTATTCTGTGACATAAATATTTAGTTAGGACGTCAAAGTCAAATCCAAGGAAAGTAACAGGAGGTTCCTGGGGGCGTTTTTTGCATTTCGCATAAATGCGAAGAAATTTCGCGTGTATTACAATATATTCGTGTCGGTCTATCTAAACCGCGTGCTTTTTTGCCGTACGATTCTCATTTTGCATAAATTTGTACTGAATCATAACAATGACCGATTCTAAGTACTTCACGACCACGAAAAAAGGCGAAATATTCGAACTAAAATCCGAACTGAATAACGATAAGAAAGAGAAGAAAAAAGAGGCCGTCAAAAAGGTACTTGCTATTTTCAGCGCACCTTACCCTTTCATGAGACCGATTTTAGGTAATCGCTTCGATGACTGTTGGCAAAGACGTGTCGGCGCTTTTCCCTGATGTCGTAAATTGTATGCAGACCGATAACCTCGAGCTAAAAAAATTGGTCTACTTGTACTTAATGAATTATGCCAAATCTCAACCTGACATGGCAATAATGGCAGTCAACACTTTTGTTAAGGTGAAATATCACTCGCGTCGCATAATTCGCGGTTTAAAAACCTCACTTTTAGGATTGCGAGGACGCTAACCCGTTGATACGGGCCCTGGCCGTCCGCACGATGGGTTGTATTCGGGTAGATAAAATAACCGAGTACTTATGTGAGCCTCTGAGAAAGTGCCTCAAAGACGAAGATCCGTACGTCAGGAAAACCGCTGCCGTGTGCGTCGCGAAACTTTACGACATTTCGTCAGGTCTAGTTGAGGATCAGGGCTTTTTAGACCAGCTTAAAGAACTGCTGAGCGATTCAAACCCAATGGTTGTTGCAAACGCCGTAGCCGCTTTATCTGAAATTAATGACAGCAGCCCTACGGGTCAACCTCTCGTTGAGCTCAGCACTTCCACCATCAACAAGCTACTGACTGCCTTGAATGAGTGCACCGAATGGGGACAAGTGTTTATTCTCGACTCGTTATCCAACTACACCCCCCGAGATGAACGGGAAGCTCAGAGTATCTGCGAGAGGATCACTCCCCGATTAGCGCACGCTAACGCGGCCGTGGTGTTGTCTGCGGTCAAGGTACTGATAAAAATGATGGAGATACTGCAAGGCGACGTCGAGTTCTGCAACACGCTGAGCAAAAAGTTGGCCCCGCCCCTTGTGACATTGCTCAGTTCTGAGCCGGAGGTGCAGTATGTCGCGTTGCGTAACATCAACCTGATAGTGCAAAAAAAACCCGACATTTTGAAACACGAGATGAAAGTGAGATCCACCCTTTGTGGTGTTTGTTGAATTTATTTTTGAATTTTCCTCGCGATAGGTGTTCTTTGTGAAGTACAACGATCCAATTTACGTCAAGCTCGAGAAGTTGGACATTATGATAAGGCTGGCATCTCAGGCGAACATCGCGCAAGTGCTCAGCGAGCTGAAGGAGTACGCCACCGAAGTTGATGTCGATTTCGTGAGGAAGGCGGTGCGAGCGATCGGCCGTTGCGCCATCAAAGTCGAGCCGTCTGCCGAACGATGTGTCTCCACGCTGCTCGATTTGATTCAGACAAAAGTGAATTACGTCGTCCAGGAAGCTATCGTCGTCATCAAGGATATTTTCAGGTGAGTTAGGCGAAAATCACAAACCTCTGGTATTTATAACTTAATCGTTGGAGAGGTATTTTTACGGGTACCCTACCTATTGAGTTGAAATAAGTGAAACAGGTTAGCTTAAGTGATCAGAGGCAGAGTTGTTGGTTGTCTGTTGAATGTGGTGCTTTTTTTGTTGCTCCATTGTGAAATTTTTGTGTTCTTGAGGGAATTGGATAGCGAGTATAGTCCTGTGTTTGGTAACGTGAAAAATATATCTCGACTATTTCGCAATGCCAATGCCAATACCAATGATGTCAGGAGGATCAAAGCTTTTTAGTTTAATGATAGACCCAGAGAAAACAATGGGCGTTAGATGATCTGTTGGCCATGACGCCAATAGTATTTGTAAAATACATAAATAAAATGAATATGAGCCTGCAGCGATGGCATTGTAGTACGCGCGTGCGTGAGGCTATATATATATATATATATATATATATATATATATATATATATATATATATATATATATATATATATATATATATATATATATATATATATATATATATATATATATTTAAATTTATAGGTTCCAAGGCTCCAAAATTATAATTTTTCACTGTTTTTAGGTAAAGATTTCTGCTTTGTTTTATGTATGTTAAATATATTTTTCAGTGGTTGACAACCACACTCGTAGACTAGTAGTAAACTAGTAGAGCCGAATCTGATTAATATTGATTTATTCGTAAATATTCACCAATTATTTGTAAACATCACCCAGTTTAATCATTTATGCCTTGTGTGGAACAGATAGAACTTTCTTTTTCGTCTAGTAAGGTTTTTTTCTAGGGAAGAAAAAGTTCGCTACTTAGTTTTATGATGTTTATTTTTGAATACGCCTTATTCAATAAGCGCTAATAAAGCAAAAATACTGTTGTGGTCTAGCGAGCAGGTTTAGTAGCTGCTGACAGCTTTACATCAATCAACTTAATTAAATATATTTTAAGCTTTCTATTACTTTACATATTCGCTCACGCTTGCTCAATAGCTTCTCTTAATACACTTTTAACAGTCTGGAACCTTATGGGATCATCTGACAATGCTACCGTCAAGTTCATAACCATAAAATCCCCCTTCAGAATAAAATGGACCCCCTTGCTTTTACAATACTCGTGCACAGTCTTGTTCCGGCCTTCCGTTCCTGCCGCAAACACTTTAAAAGGACACAAGGGGTCGCTGCGAACTTCATATCCACACTCCACTAGAAAGTCGTGTCCTTTCCGGGCCAATGTCACGAGTTGTTTTGGTTTGTCGCCAAGCATTTCGATTGATCTTATGCAAGCATATGCCAGATAGGTGGGCAAAGACGCGGAGAAAATGTACCCGCTTCCCGATAATCGTTGGTGTTCGATCGCCATGTGGGAGCCCGTGCAGAATCCCCCGATAGAACCAATAGCTGCTTCCAGGGTACAGATAATCATGTCAAGTCGACTACGCTCTATTCCATAGTGTTCGGTCAGCCCTTTACCTGTCTCGCCTAAAATACCGATTGAATAGGACTCTTCCAAAAACACCCTTATTTTGTATTCTTCGGTAACCGCAAGGAATTCGGGTAGGGGCAGGATTTTTCCCGTTTCCCACGACACTGCTTCTGCAATCAAAAATTTCCTTGCCGGTTTTTTTTCTTTCTCTTTCTTGGCGATTTTTCGCACTTCGTCGCGGAAATTAGCGGGATTGTTGTGTTTGAAGCGGACGATTTTGCTTCGCGCCGCCATCAAGCCCTGCAAGATCGACTCGTTCGCGAGTTCGTCGACGAAAACTATGTCGCTACGTTTGCAATAAGCCGCGATGGAGCTGGATACCGCCACGAAGCCGTAAGAGTATACGATAGACTCGTCCGTCCCTAGCCATTCGGCGATACGCCGCTCTAAATCGAGGTGAATGTCGGTGGTACCGTAAAATGCTCTAGGCCCGCACGTTCCCACTCCATACTCTCGAATTTTCTTTTCGCACTCCCTCTTTATCTCTTCGTTGTGTAAAACGTCGAGAAAATTGGTCTTCGCAAGATCGACGTTGTGATCGTCCTCGCGGATTGCTGAAGACTCGATTTGACTCTTGGTTTTCGTTACTTTACGCTTGACCAGCGGCTCTGGTTCGAATTGTTCAAGTCTTCTTTGTAATAATGCACCATCCATCTTCATGACGCCGTAAAGTCGGTTAATTTCCTTTCAACGATTTTCTGTTTTTTCCGTGTCACGCCCCAATTTTTCACTGCAGGGAGCTTATGTTTACCATTTACAATGACAAATTTGATAACGAAGTCTTCTTCTTTACGCCCAGGGGCCTTTCGCAAAACGCGTTTAATCACGGACCACGAATAGGAGAATCAGCGTGTGACGTATTCTGTGGTTTCAGCACCGTTTTTTTTGTTGCCTGAACATTTGAATGGTGCTATGAAATTTTTCTCGGCTTTCAGGAAATACCCGAACAAATACGAAAGTATCATCAGTACGTTGTGCGAGAATTTGGACACGCTGGACGAGCCGGAGGCACGTGCGTCGATGGTGTGGATTATCGGCGAATACGCGGAGCGTATCGATAACGCGGACGAATTGCTGGACAGCTTTTTGGAAGGTGAGGCCACAAACTGGTGACCGCACCGCTCGATTGTTAGGTTTGTTCTCGACGTTAAAGGTTTCGCGGACGAGAATGCGCAGGTGCAGCTGCAGCTACTCACCGCGGTGGTGAAGCTGTTCCTGAAACGGCCGCAGCACACACAGGGCCTCGTTCAGCACGTGCTGAGCCTCGCTACCCAGGATTCCGATAATCCAGACCTGAGGGACCGCGGGTTTATCTATTGGAGGTACCGTATTAAACCCCCTTAAATATTGAACATTAACAGATTGGTGTTTGTTTTAATGAACACCGAATTTCTTGGTAATGATATAAATCGAAAACTCCTTCTTACTTCAGCTTGCTATAGAGGGGAGCAAAATGAATAATTAGTGGCGTTGTAAAATTATGACAAAATTTGCTCATTTTAAAACAAAAAAGATTATTATAAAGAAAAAAAGTTTTTTTCATAATTTTTATAGTTTTACCTTTAGCTGCAACTTTGGTCAGAAAATTTGGCATTAAAAGACTCGTAGGTTTTGTAATTATCATTCGTTTTTAAAACTTACTGGCGTCGATGGATAAACGCGATAGGCGTGGCTAAAACTTTCAAGCACGCGCGTTCCAGATTATTAAGCACCGATCCCGCTGCCGCCAAAGAGGTCGTCCTCGCCGACAAGCCCCTGATATCCGAGGAGACGGACCTGCTCGAGCCGACGCTGCTCGACGAGCTGATCTGTCACATCTCCTCGCTGGCCAGCGTGTACCACAAACCGCCCACCGCTTTCGTGGAGGGGCGGACCGCGGGCATAAGGAAAACGTTGCCCGCACGCCAAGGTTCGGAGGAGGCGCCGCCTCCGGAAGCGACGGTCATCCCTAACCAGGAAAGTCTCATCGGCGACCTCCTGTCGATGGATCTGGGCACGACGGTGCCGGCCGCCCAGCCTGCTGCCCCGCCCCCTAGCAATGTCGACCTTTTGGGCGGCGGTCTCGATATATTGCTCGGAGGCGGAGCGCCGGAAGTGCCGGCCGTCGCCGCCCCCACGACGACTACCGGCCTGCTGGGCGACATTTTCGGTATAACTACAGCCCCGACGATGTACACGCCCCCGAAGGCAGTGTGGCTGCCCGCCGACAAGGGCAAAGGATTGGAAATTTTCGGCACTTTCTCGCGCCGATCCGGTCAGATTTTCATGGAGCTGACGCTGACCAACAAGGCAATGCAGGCGATGACAGGTTTCGCGATCCAGTTCAACAAGAATAGCTTCGGACTGACGCCCGCGGCGCCCATGTCGGTGACGGCACTGCAACCCGGTCAGAGTTTCGAGTACAGTTTGCCGCTCGCGACCAATGGGCCCGTGCAGAAGATGGAGCCACTTACCACGTTGCAGGTGGGGTTTGGGGTTTCAACCAAGTCAGGTTTCTCTAGTTTAAAAGAAAACGGCCTAGGTTCTCGGTCCATTTGAACTACTGCTTGCTCCCTGCGCTGATTTTTTTATAGCAGGTGATTTCCGAATTCAAGAGTCAACTTTCGGAGAGTTAGCAATTGGCTGGTCTGTCACTGCGATCTGAAGGATTCTTTGTGACTCTCTCCATAGGTATAGAGCCTTATCTAGGTTCGTCTCCCTCCGATTAGACTTCGACTTGGCTTCCTCGGTCAATAGTTCCTTGCCTCTAGCACACTAAACCGTACTCGCGATAGCATGTGTGTGACTGTTTCCTCCTTCGTTCAGTCTTTTCTCCCACTTAGGCACTGCCGGGATTCTCTCTCTGCATTTTATGATTCGAATTTCTTAGATTTAAGCCTGTGAGTGTCAGAAATTTTAGTCGGGATTACTCATCATAAATGATCGAGTTTGACATATTTCGGGTCGCAACATTAACGATGGCAATTTTATTTTTTAACTCCCGGGGTCATTCCAACTACTGTTGTCTCCCATAAATTACATTTTTTCAAAACTGCTCATATATGCACGATTTACGCAAGAAAATAAAACCAAGCGTGTCGGACGTTTGAACTACAGGTCGTCCAGTACCTTTTTATTCTGTTCTTTTTTTTTACAGGTTGCAATTAAAAACAACGTGGATGTGTTCTACTACGCGAGTCAGATTCCGATACAGGTGCTCTTCACCGAAGACGGTACTCTGGACAAGAGGGTGTTTTTGACCACCTGGCGAGATATACCCTCAGCGAATGAAGTAATATTTCGCACAGTAGATAATCCGACAGGTGGTGTCAAAACCATTTTTTTTCCGATAGGTTCAATATACGCTGAACGAGGTCAAAGGATCTACGGACGCGATCTCGAACAAGATGACACTGAGCAACATATTCACAATTGCGAAACGCAACGTGGAGGGTCAGGACATGCTTTATCAGTCGTTGAAGTTGACGAACAACATTTGGGTTCTGCTCGAATTGAAGCTGCAGCCGGGGGTGACGTACGCGACATTGAGTTTGAAATCGCGGTCGGTCGAGGTCGCTCCTTATATTTTTCAGGCTTACGAGGCGATTTCGAAGAATTAATATAGCGTTTTAAATGTTTCCTCGTAATTTTAGGGTACTAGAGGTCCGTTATATTATCAAACAATGTACTATGTTCGTGTCATTCCAGAATAATTGATATTTAACCAAGTAAAATGTTGAGCTTTTTAGACTTTTTATTTCATAAACGTCCTTAGTTCAATCACAGAGACCTTGCCAAAACAACTTCCCACACTCTGGTGACCTGAACTTTGACAAAAGCTTTGTGTCCACCGTTCTCGACAAACTGAAAATTGCAAGTGCCCAGTAGAATAAAATTAAACCTAGATTATTAAACGATAAAATATTTACCACAAATTTCAAGTTGTATAAATAAATTGCGCAACAATCATTTATAATATTGCTCAAATCAGAATTCGGGGTATTTAAACTTGTAAGACATGTCGCCATTCTGGACACAAATTTTTGAAGCATTGAAAATGAATTTGTAAGTCACCACTTATTTTCAGTTGTTAACAAACATTAACATTGAAATGGATAATCGATCGGGAAAAACATTTCGACTTGTAACAAATTGCGCAACACTAACGAAAATTGTAGAATGACGGTAATGAAAAAAATCTACTTACTTGTTTCGAATTTATTTAAACAAAGCTTAAATTACATCGTCATTGATTTTACGAAATATAGTTTTTAATGCTGTTTGCGTCTGAAACTGCAACCTTCCGTTAATCTAGCTTTGCCACCCGTGGACGTGCACAAAATAGTGGAGCATCCCTTGCAAGGGACGGCGCTCTGCGCGTGCGAAAAAATCGTTGAGATAGCGTAGCATCCAGGGCACTTGACGTCCATGAAATAGCTGTTTGGATGTTGCACCAACCGCTTCTTTTTGTGGGACCTCCTCTGTTTCTCGGGACTCGGGTGCAACAGATCGACCGCTAAAGGCATCTGGAAACAATAATTCGATATTAACCAACACGTCGCGCGACGGATTATTAAACAAACGATTACACGCGTTTGAAACTTACGTTGAATTTGCGATATTAGTCTCACAATTTAACAACTTTGTTTTAATCGCACGTGGTATACTCCTCTATCAACCATGTAAAGAGCGTTGACAGTTTTCCGACGTACCGGCTAGTAATAGCATGGTGACCAACATTCCGAAATTAATGGTTCCAAGAAAATTGTCGTTCTGTGAAATTCTGGTTTTGCATCGTTAGTTGTTAAGAAGAAAAGTAATCAATCTATCATTTCGTAAAATATAATTTTTGATCTAAGGTGAAACCATTGGGTTAAATTGATTAAATCGACGATGTCGCTCGCAAATTCCATTTATAACACCCTATTCAAAAGAACTTCAACGTTTGCTCTAACGTGCGTCTTCAGCGCTTTTTTCTTCGAACGAACCTTTGATTTAGCCGCCGACAAATTATTTGAAAAATACAATGAGGGGGTAGGTGTTATGTAATATTTGGCCCAAGGTAATGTTTTAATTGATTTTGTTTTCAATTCCAGAAACTGTGGAAGGATATCAAAGATAAATACCAATGAAAAAAACCTTCCTAGAAATTAGTTTAATGTAACTTTATTATTAAATTATAAAATACATGCTATGTAAAGCGGAACTGTCTCATTCTTCCACTATCTCCCAAGGCTTTTCAGGCCGTTGGCAATCCCAAGGATAAGCAGCCTTGAATTGGGGAGGTTCTGACAAACTCACACCATTTGCTTCAAGTACCTTCAAAAATTGTGCAACTTTACCATTATTAGTGCGAGGTATTATGTCGGAAGTAACGTGTATCAAACCGCACTGCAGGCACCTATGCGCTAAAACCTGAGAAACCTTTATAACCCGCTCATGATATCAGGCTTCACCTACCCTCGCCAAATTAATATATGCTGACGTATCTTTGCAACGATAAAGTTGTTTCTTTATACCCCATTCGGAAGTGCTTGCGCTTATTACTTCCCCATTTTGAAAGTGGTGTATACTTGCCTTTGCGTAGCGACCTGAGGATGTCAAAACTAACCTAAAAATATTAAGGTTTAAAATAGACTATACTAATCCAAGTTGAAACGGTCGAAATTACTTGTGCCAATACGTCTTTCCAGGACGTTCTAAGTGGTACCCGTCTGGTTTGTATCCGATACGCATTTTCTCCAAATTCCTGGGGTTTCGGTTTGTGAACATTGGGGAAATTTCGTCATTTTTTGGAAAAGTGCTGGCCGGTCGTATTTGATTCCCGGTTTTGGATAGTTTGCCAATATTTTGTAGTTTTAGCATAATATAGCAACTTGAATTCGGATTAAAAATATAGGTTATGTTCACAGAATATTTCCCTGAAATAATTGAAAGTATGAATAGGTTATTTATCCCTGAAGGGAAGTTTTTCATAAAATCATCATTATGAAAGACTCATTTTGTATAAGAAAACTGATCATAAACAAGAATTTTATTCATATACTTGGTAATGAAAACACAATAAGTATATAATTGTTTATTTAATAAAGCTAAATACAAAAAATCATGTCCCTTATGCAAAAAATGAGTTCGGCAATAAAATTCATCTCGCTTCCTCAGAACAATAAAATTGGTTTGCATCATCCATGTTCATTTGCATGTCCACATCAGCACAGCCTTTAAATTTCCTAACAAAATCACCCCACAAATATTGATTATCACATTTGGGGCACTTCCCTTCAACTGGCACATATTCTCCCTTTGCCAGAAAATATCTGGACAGGCAAATGATGTGACATGCCATAGAACACTGAGCATTAAGGCATGTCATTTTTTTATCATTTTCAATTGGTTTGGAACACCCATAACATGTCATTGCTGATCCGTTATTGGAATGAGAGGCATGGTGTGGCAATTTCTTGCTTACTACCGGTCCATAACAAATTGGCATATGCATGGGAGGAATTTTATTTATCTAATACAAAATGCACACAATGTTGAACAAGAATTGATGTATTAGTCACTTACATCAAACTCTCTAACAAATTCTTGGTTCAACCAACGAATTGTCAGCGGAAGTTTGTTCCAAGGGCCCACTTGCAACATTTCCCACAACACCCTCAAGCAAAAGTCATACAATTTTTCGCGAGCTTTCTTTTTGGGTACGTGAATAAGCCTGCGCGATGAATGAGGATGTTGCCAGGCCCACTCAAACTAAAACAGGGTACCAATTATCTGGCTACTTACAAACATATTCTTACCCGTAACGCCGATATGTCGTTTGGGAAACCATGAATTATAAGAACCATCGTCCTGGAATTAATAGACAGATTATGCGACTACTTCAACGTGTGTTAAAGTGATTACCATGGCCCTCTATTGCTTGTTCTCCACGCTCCTCCGAATTTTTTTCCTTTATTATGCTGTTTGATCCTCCTATTTGGATCAACGGTGTACCCGATGTAAGTCTTACCAGTAAATTTAGGATTCAAACAATAGAGCAAATACACACCGTAGAAATTCTGGACCGTGTGGACATCTTCCATTTATGTTTAAAAAAATAAAATAAAATAAAATAATGTGAGGTTAGTATTGAAATGACAACAGACGAATGCAAACAAACAAAAAAATATTCTTCTTATGCTTAGGTGGCCAATTGTGAATTTATCGAGTAACCAACCAATCCGATTGCAACGGTGTCTGTCAAGTCGTGTTAAATTTTCCTTTATATGAAGCCAAGATCGAAAGTGATAAATTGAAGAAAATTCGAAGTGTTTGCGACGGATATTTATTATGATACATTAGCAAATACAGATTACCTTTTTGGTGTCAGCGGAAGTGAACGCGACATTGGAGACGAGCGGTGGGCCAAAAATATCGACAAAATGGCAGCCACTAGAAGGTTACAAAAAGTGAGTATTTTTAATTGGGATTTCCTAACGTGCGTCGTCATTTTGCAAGTTTAATTGGGTCGCAGTGTCGCAGTTTTTGGGCGCAAACAGAACTTTCTGAAAATAATTCTCATTCCATAGTATCTCATCATTGTGAGTCATTGTCCAACACAAGCGTTATAAAAAACGATATTTCAGGAACTAGGTGACTTAAGGAATTCGGGTTTAAAGTCATTCCGTGATATTCAGGTGGATGAAACTAACATTCTCACTTGGCAGGGTCTCATTGTTCCAGTAAGTTTTTGGTAGCTGAGTTCGGCAGCGGGCTAGTAAAATTGTCCATTACAGGATAGTCCGCCATATAATAAGGGGGCGTTCAAAATAGAAATAAATTTTCCTGCCGAGTACCCGTTTAAACCTCCGAAAATCAATTTCAAAACTAAAATTTATCATCCCAATATTGACGAGAAGGGGCAAGTGTGTTTACCGATTATTAGCGCAGAAAATTGGAAACCTGCCACGAAAACAGATCAGGGTAAATTAATTCTAGTTGTTTTTTTTTACTATTAGTTGTAACCGTTTGACGCAATTTTCAGTTATTCAAGCATTAGTTGCTCTCGTGAACGAGCCCGAGCCGGAGCATCCCTTAAGAGCAGATTTAGCGGAAGAATATTTGAAAGATAAAAAAAAGTTTACGAAAAACGCTGAGGAATATACGAAAAAGCACAGCGAGAAGAGACCGGCAGATTAGGATTTTGTAAATTTTGGGAGAACCTAAAAATTCTGATAAATTCGCCTTATAGATGTATATTTCTACCTTTTTAGTTGAGCATTTATTTTTTTCTCTCTAAAAAAAAAAATGTTATTTTGTACCAGATTTACCGACCTTGTCTCTTGGACATACGTCTCCATGTTTTTGTATAGAACTTTTCCGTTTTTAAGGATGACACTGTTTTCCTTCAATTATTAGTTCACCATTTGCAAATTGTTGTACATTCTAATTGTTTAATAAAATCTATATGAATTTGAATATTTGCTTTTTAATACTATTTCTAAATAAACAAACGTAAGTTGTATATTATGTTTGATTTTATTAATAAAATGAGTAGAGCTTTATAAAAGTGGATATTGCACAGAGAGTTGTAGGAAACGCATAATACCGGAGATCTAAGTTACTATGTTACAGGAGGCATTAAATGGGAGGCACTGCAGAATCACAGTTAATTACATATTCCTTTGGTTCGGAGAGGCACAAATGCTTTACATCAGAGAACCAACTGTTTAAAAATTACATCTACATTTTTTGCAATTTCGGCTGACTGTAAGTCACTTCATATTGAGATCAGAAAATGAGTGTATGCAAGAAACATTTATCCCTAAGGCCAGATTATTTTGATCGCGTTAAGTTCTTACAAATATGATATATATATAACATTTTAAAAATAATTTTTGTCTTATAAATGGTTATTGCGCCCCCATTTCTTTGAGCAGATTGCCGGCAATAACCAATCGTTGTATCTCGGATGTACCTTCATATATCTCAGTGATCCTAGCATCGCGGTAATGCCTCTCCGCTGGCATATCCGAAACGTAACTGAAAAAATACAAAGTATTAGGTGTCGCTGCGATTTGAAAAAAAAAAATGGTCAACAAAGCCCTAGGATGTGACAGACATTCCTCTGGCAGAAGAACATTGTTCTGGTCACCGCAAAACTAGACCATTCTCTACAAAGTTTAAGTCGGGAAAGTCAAAAAGGTATAGTAACAAAAAACCAATCCCGTCCAAATAAACTCACCCCATGCCTCCCAATATCTGAATACACTGATGACTCAAAAACGTGGCTGCCTCGCTGGCGGCCAATTTCCCCATCGCGGCCTCTTTCGTGTAGGGCTTCTGGTTATCCTTAAGCCAAGCGGCCCTCCAAGTGAGCAATCGAGCCGCCTCCAATTGCAGCGCCATGTCGGCAAGTTTGTTTTGAATAGTTTGCAGTTTTATAAGTGGTTTGCCGAATGCCAACCTCTTGGAGGCATAATCGACAGCCACTTCCAAAGAGGCCTGCGCTATGCCCAACGCTTGGGCCGCTATCCCTATTCGGCCAGCGTCGAGCGTCATCATGGCAATCTTAAACCCCGAACCGGGTTCACCTAGTAAATTCTCTTTAGGTATTTTGCAATTGTCAAATATTAGATTGCAAGTAGAGGAGCCCCTGATCCCCAACTTGTCCTCTTTCTTCCCCAATTCTAAACCGTCAATCGGTTTGGGTACGATAAACGACGAGATGCCTTTGTGCTTTAAACTTTTATCAGTCGTGGCCATAACGACGGAGGCTTCGCTCTCGTAACCGTTGGTGATCCAAGACTTTGTTCCATTCAAAAAGTAATTGTTCGAGTCAAATTTGGCTGTCGTTGAAGCGGCCCCCGCGTCCGAACCGTTTCCGGGCTCCGAAAGCGCGAAACTGCCGACCCTATCCCCGCCGGTAAAAGGTATTATATACTTTTGTTTTTGTTCTTCATTGCCCCAGTACATTATGGGTCCCAAGTAAAGAGAGTTATTTACAGACATAATTACACCAGTGCTCGCGCATCTGCAATTTATATGCAAACCTCTCGCGTCTTTTAAACGTAGGATAAAACCAAATATACATACCCTCTTGATACCTCCTCCAAAGCGATAGCGTAGGCCAAGTAATCCAGCCCAGTGCCGCCGTATTTTTCTGGAGTAGCGATAGCCATTAGGCCCAGTTCTCCCATTTTCTTAATTTGATCCTTTGGGTATAAGTGCACGCGATCGATTTTGGCCGCGACCGGCTTCAATTCACCTTCTGCGAAGTCCCGGCATGTCTTTTGTAGCATCTGGTGAGTCTCAGGCAAGGCGGCCAAGGACGCAATGCCACGACCGTTTATCGCAGCGCTCACTACGATAAAATTACGATAATAATCGTCAGGACTAATTTGTTACGTTAATTTACCTATTTTAATTGTTCCTTTCAACATATTGCGGAGACGAAAAAAATACAGATTGAACTTTGTTCGGTAGCTGGTATTTATAAACCTCGGTAAATAATAGTAATTAAAGTATTCAAATTTATCCGCTGTTGAAGGTTCAAAGGTTGCGTGTTTTTTATTTTTGCAAAGGCAACAAAGTGTTTCACCGACATGAGTTTTGTCACGCACATTTTCGGTAAATTTTTTAAAACATGTAGCGGTATGCTGATTGACATTTAGCCAGGAAGTAAAAAGAAGATGGAAACTTTAAGATCCGCCAAAAATATCAAATTGTATAAATTTTTAACATTACAAAATTTGACTTTTTACGAACTTTCAACTAAATCTTTCAATATTTCTTTTAAAATATGTAGCGTATGTAAATTTCAACCCTGGTTTCACAGCCGTGTATATCTGGCTGCCTAAATATGAATAACTCCTAAAAGTATTTATTTCCTATTTCCAACTTGGTCTGGCAAACCACGAATTTTAAAAGCACAAATAATTATTCAGTAGACCGACATCGGAACGGCGTTCGAAACACCCAACTAAATAAGCAAGACAGGGTAACCCACATACATAAACAAATTATAAACCAATAAAGCATCTTCCTGTAACGGTACTGCGTGTTTAAAATTCCACAAACGACTCGTCTTATTTATTTTCAGCTTCGTTAGACCAAAACGCGAGATATGGACTCGAAAGACTTTTTATTACACGTCCGGGTTAATAAGTGTTTTGAACTGACATGGTTCTCTTTCACTTTGTATTAAATTTAACAGTGGACTTCTTTAATATTTCTTATTGTCTAATCAAAAGTTGTCGCTGCAGAACGTTGCTCGAAAATGTGTAGGACAGGCTTAAAATGGTTTTGTTTGATCGTGATAGTTTTAGCCATTTTGTTTAACCAGTGTGAATGCACAAAAAGAAAAACAAAAAAAAGCTCTAAAGGCATGGCGTTGAGGCAAAAGGAGACCAACATTGTCAATTTTATTCGGTGAGTTCGGATCACGGAATATTGATCCCATTTGACCGTTTTTTTTTTTAGATTGGCTGTGATGAGATTAATTTATGGTGTCGCGACTAGAGTGGGTTTGGGGGAGCAAATTTCAGAAGTCTTAAACGGGGCCTTCATCCCGCCAGGCGCTGAGGATTATGACGATTATGGAGGCGGATTGTTTAGAGAGGACGACGACGATTATGACTATTAAAATAGAGAACATCCATATATTTGTATATAATTATTGCCATATTTATTTATTTATTTCACGAAATAAAATTGCCAAGGAGTTGTATATTTGCTTGCATATAATTATCAATGGTCAGGAATCGCTGTTTACAGTTTTGACATTAAAATCTTAACAAAAAATTTCTAGAGAAAGAACAAAAAAATACACATAACACATAACAGTTTCACATAAAATCACAACACTTATGACATTTTTGAGTTCACATGTCCATTTGCTTGAGCTCCATGAGGCATGTTTACATTCTGATCAGAGTTAGAACCATTTGTTGAAGAAGTAGTCAATAGTCGACTTCTACGTCGCGTATAATGTTGCCACAACAAAATCTGTTGGTCATCTATGAATTTCGTGCATTGTGCATTGACTAATTCTCGACGAAAATGTTCATATTGCAACAGGTCCAGAAAGTATAAACACATTGGATACTTCAAGTACTTAGCGTAGTCAGGCTCCTTCCAATACAATAAATATTTTAAATAGTTGATAAACGTGGTGTCTTTAAAGTAACCTCGCTGGGCCAGAACTACAATTAAAATGTTTCCATAAGGGGACAAATCAAATTAAAGGTTATGTTAGTTACAGTTCAAGTAGTTTGGATTTCCGAGACACTGAACAAATTCCAGCTCAACTTGGAATCTAAGCCTCTGTTGGTCTTCTGTCTCGGGAACGCCTGAAACGTAATTCCAACCTATTTAGGCCACAATTCGTGGAGTTCTCTCGGCAAATTCGGAACAAACCTTTGCTTCCCAGAACAGCCATAGTGAATAAAACAACTTTTCTCTATTGAAAATTTGGAAAAAAGTATTAAAACAACATTATTTCATTGAAAAATAACCAAATTCGGAAAACGTAACCCCACGGCAGCGCGAACAAAAAACAAAACCACAGAATATTCTTCATCCTATTACCAGAGATAAAGACGTTCCGTTTTTACTATGTTGAGCTAGGTGGCTTAGGATTTTCGGCCATCCATAACTATTGATGTCATCAATTGAGAATTTAAATTATGTGCTGCTAATTTTCCGAATATGTTGAGTGAAATTATTCATTTTTGATATGAGAAATTACATATTAAGAAAATTGCGTATTTCTGAAACTCATAATCAAAAATATTTAGTTGAATTTTTTTAAGATTTATGTTTGTTAGGCGATTGCATAAATACCAACTCAGTAATGTGAATAAAATTCCATTGCAATTCTTATTTTAAATGACTTTTATTTATGTTCTGTATAAAGAATGAAAATAATAGTTAATCAGAAGCCCCTGTGGCCTAATGGATAAGGCATCTGCCTCCTAAGCAGGGGACTGTGGGTTCGAGTCCCACCAGGGGTATTTGAACTTTTTTCTATTTTTATGCAAATTATTTTTTAAATTCGCTTTTTGCAACAGTCAATTACACTTAGTTTAATGGGAATAGTTATTACAAATTCAAAAACTTCCGTGAAATGGAGGAAAAATATCGACAATAATAATTATCTCCTATATGAGTATCTAATAGTATACTATACAATAAGTTTGGAGAACCGAATTTTAGTCACGAGTTTATCTAAAAGTTGCATTCTATACTTTTTCTCCAACGATTAGTTTTTGGGGACATTTTTTGCAGAAGGGCACTAATGTATTCACTGAGTGATGGGAAACATCCGAAGTGGTTCACGAAGAATAGGAAGTACAAAACAAATCGAACTTTGGTAATACTGAAATTTAGTCGTAATTTATGCAAACCGGTTGAATAATGATAATTTTTTTTCTTATGTTAATATTTGGTAAAAATAGTGTTGGTCTCTAAAATAAATTTTCTAAAAGTCAGTAATAGTAATCTCCTATGCAAGGAAATACTTAAGGATTGGGATTTGATCCTTTGAATGATTGTAAGGCATAGTGACACCGATATAACTCTGGAAATGGTTTTAAAAGGGAGTTGTCAGAATTTAAGAATTTAATTTTTAATTCATTACGAGTATCTTACTGATTTACTGGAAGGCCGAAACATTTCAATTTTCAGTTGCTTAGTTGGAAAAAAACTAAAAAACTGAAAGTTGTCGATTTTTTCATTAACATGATGCACTCTTATAGTCCCGAAATGCTGAACGTTACCGAGGCACTTCGATAAAATCGCAGTGACTTAACAAAAACCGGCGAAGAAATGAAGCAATTACCAGTGAATTTACCCAATGCGTTATTGGTATACTACCCCACCTCGCAATAATCGACCAGGACTATGTATAGCAGTAGCCGTTTGGGTTGAAATGGTACATTGGCAGAGTTCGTCTCGAGTTGTGGTGTGTGATTTTGAGCGCACGTGTGCCTCCATCGCGAAGAGAAATACCACTTTTACTTTCCGTCGAATATACAGGTATTCCGACACGAGCGTTTGGGCACCAGGTATGTGGGGCACTTGTTATACGCGCAGCCTTTTATTAAACCGATGCAGGTGTATATTTGAAGAAAAAAAAAAAGAAAAATTCTTACTAGTTTTGTGAGGACCGAGTACTTATTTTTTAGCTTTTGCTTTTGTCTTGGTGACGTTGTATTCGAATCCCCTTTTTTTAATTTTTTCTTGGCATTTGCATTAAAAAAATTAAAGGTCTATTTTTCATTTTTTTGTTAGTTTGCTTCTCGGTATATAGTGGGACCATCATTTGCAATATGCCTATTTGAAATTCTATTTGAAAAATATTTTTTAATTCCTCATTTTTATCCCTTTTTTTGGTGATTTGTAGCCCTTTTTTCTTGTTCTAAATTACAACACCTTTATGACATTTATGGAACATTTGTAATGTTTTTAAATTTTATCTTGCATGGTATAGGTATAGTATAAATGTATTCCGAGTTTTAACAAACAACATTTTACATTGTTTTTGTATGCAATATTTCTTAGTCCTGGCGAATCTTACCCCTTGTGATCCAACCAATTTTTTTATTGATTTGAAGCTTTTTGTTTCTTGAACACTTGGGCATATGGTATAGGACAGTAGGAATTTGAACTAAAAATCATCAAGGTTTTGCAAAACCTGATTACCCACTTTTTCAAAACTTTCTTTCTTCTGGTGGTTTTAGTGTTTATGGTCCGTGCTAATTCTTTTCCTTTTAGACGAATATATAAACTATCTTTTATTTGAAATTACCTATTTTGATACTTTCGTCGTGGCAAGTATTTGAACTAAAGAAACAGAAAATTCTTCTAATTTTTACAAAAGGTATTTCTGATAGGGTTTACTCATCAACGTGATAATGTGATTCTTGGGATGGTTTTTTATATAGAGGGTGTTGAAAATATAAAAAAGGAACGCTTTAAAAAATGACTTATTTAAAAAAAAAGCCGCCGCCGCGTCCCTCTCACAAAAAACTAAAACGAATATTAAGCTTCCTTCTAAAAATAGACGTCAGCTCAAATATTAGCATTCATTTAAAAAATGCCCTGTGTGTATTAGGGTAACGACTGAGAACGTTCTCAAGTACTGGCAAATAATCGTGTAAATCGTAGTACGCCTTACGGACGTTTCACACGATCCTTCGGTAAACATCGCGAAAGAACCAGTTTTGCAATTAACAAGGAACCGAAAAAATTAAACAATATAATATCAAGAGCGTTTCTTGACTCGTTGCCGTGAACTGCAAAGTCAGACGTACAGAATGACTTGCTAATAGCTATAGATAATAAACCAATGCGACTCATCCCCTTAATCGTCTTAGCAATTTACGTCGGTCGTGATATTCGTAATTTCTGAAATAAAGAATAAAAAATGTATGAAAATGTCGCGGAAATGTAGGAAAGCCATTCGGGATACGTTGCGGTTTGCCTCTGTCGAACAACTTTAGTAGAAACATTAAAATTCGTATCTCTAAATTTTTGTTAGTTTCGGTTCCCATCCGCGTAACTTCAGAAACTTGGAAACAACTTGTATTTAAAGCTATGAAGAAAAATATAATCGCTTAAAGTATGTGATTAAAATTACAGCGATAAAAATAAATCAAACAATAACCCGTCGTACCTTACGTAAGTTTAACATTTAAATTTCCAAATAGTCGCTCGAACTAGACCCAAATCTTCTTGGTTAAGCATGTAACTAACTACGCTGTGACAAGTATGCGGGAATTATTAATATACGTTCGACGCTGACGTCTTGAAAACGGTTAATTTCGACTATTTTTACTATGGTTACGGATGAATTTATAGTCACTCTATACACAAGGAATCCTCAACTTCTTGTTAAATATATAAATTCTGGTATTGAGGCTTCATCAAGTACAAATATGAAATAGTATAGACGAACAATCTCGTACAGGATGCCGAGGAAAGGTGGCAACCAAGCCAAAATATTTGACCGTGGTCCAATGTTGCTGTCAGCTTTCTGCATTTTCATTGTGTAGAATTAAACAAATGTTTGGTTATTTTCTGTAATTCTGTTGTCGTTCGTGTTGAGCCTATACGTATTTATACTATTACTTAAGAAGTTAGTACATGGCAGTACAACTCGACAACGACGGACTCCAGTCAAACATTTAACGTCTTCTGCAATCTCAGGCGGTCGTAAGAGAATCGCGCGCAACCTTGCGGCGGCAGTACGTGTCTTCTGCCGCCATTCGGACCGAACCTGTAATTACTGACTGTTTCCTTGACACCTTACGCCTTTCTTTGTTCGCGATGGCGCGTTCTTCTTTTTTTTTCTTCGACGGCTGCTGCTGCCGAAATGGTGTTTCCGTCGTATATAAATGAATATATAAAAAAATCCTGTATTATCAACATAGGCATAGCTAATATTTAGTATTCGATTAGTAACGATAAAACAAATGAAGTTTTCAATTATTTCATTCAATTGACATATGCGGTTAAAAACAAATTCTCAAATCTCAAGTACGGGATGCTAATTTTGCAGTTATTTCCTTTAATTTTTTTCCCATTGCGTTCAAGGTAGCCTTAATCTTAATTCGTATAATTTATCTCGTCTTTAAAAAATAAAAAAACAATAATTTCGACTAATCGCTGATAAAAAGTTTTAGTAATTTGCCAGGATGTCTCAATTATTGCTGCGACAAACTCAAGGTCGACATTTTCGATCGATGGTATCTAATACTTGTATGTTCAATACCAATTGTAATCAAGGCGTGTCCTAAAAGTTTTCCGTCACTGTATTTTGGTCGAAGTTTCTTAATCCAGTATAAAACACCTTGCTCTTATGATGGGCACCGTTGCTAAAATCATTCGCCCAATCTTGCCGCCTTCAAAATTCGCAGAACATAGAAGCGCACTTGCCAGTTTTATTAATTCCTCCTTAATTCAGAAAGTCGAATTTTAAGGTTAAACGAAGAGGGATTTGCGTTGACGCTTTGTAATAACGACTATTCCAAGGACTTCCGATTTTGTTTCACCCGCAGTTTCGCAAGTTGCAAGTTTGAAGACTTCGTCGAGAGAAAATTGTATTTGAATTGCAGTACGAGGCTGGCGATACAACCCACGCGTATTTACTATCTATCTATTTCCGCGGCAGTACCGTAACGCACTAATTTTTCCTACTATTATGTTAGATTATGAATAGATGTTTATTCGAAACAAGCACTCGTGCCAACCGTGCGATATTATGTAATATTGTACTATATTTCAGCTCAGCATACTATATAGTCTAGATATATTAGGAACCATAAGAGACACGTAGATCGTTAAATTAGAAAAAAATTGCAAAATATAAAAGATAATAACGTGCTCTTGAGAAAATTTAAAAAATCCCTTCGCTTCCGAAGGTCCGCCAAAAAAAAAAACGAAATTTGTGGAATTCGATTTTATTTTTCTTAATGTTATTTAAAGAAATATATAAAATAAAGGTCATTTTCTCATTTTATCTTGATAACATTTTAATTGGCTGTAACTTTTTTGTTTTTAGAGATCGCAAGGTAAACAAAAAAACAACATGTAGGATTAGTAGGCAGGTTATTTCCAAGTGACGTATGAATTTGTCAAAAACGGGTGGACTAAAACATAAAGTGTGTTACATCATTGTAATCAGAATAAGGTATTCTATTAAACAAATGTATAATATACAGGGTCTTCCATTAAAAAAAAATATGATGTAGGCTTATATGTCAGAAAATTGATAGTGTTTTGTTTTATACGTCACTTGGAAAAGAACTAACCCTACTTTTTTTTTGTTTACATTGATATCTCTAAAAACAAAAATGTCACAGCCGATTAAAATGTTATCAAGATAAATTGAACGCACGGTACTTGTAAAACATTAATGGCTTGCTGAAACTTCTTTTGTGTAATGATGCTTATATTATTGATAGTATGTGTTTAGAGGAAAGGGAATATGGAATTTTCGAGAAAATGCTTTGCCTGAATTGCTCAAATTCTTTGCATTTTTGCTCTCTAGTCCTGCTACATCACAATGAACCTAAAATGGCGAGATCAAAGAAACAGTTCAAGTTTACAATTAATAAAAAAGGAACTTTTAATAACTATCAATTTACCAAACTCCAAAATGTTATTATATAAATATTAATTGTTATTATTATTATATTTTTATATAAATATTAAATATTTCTACAATAAGTTATATTTTTTACCATGTTATTGAGATCTAGTGCTATATTTTTTTTTGCCAATGTGCTACATTGATTTAGCCTAAAAAGTCTAAAAATGCTAGTGTGTAGTTGATAGTCGACATACCGAAATGAATAGAACCAACAATCTGGCCCGGACCTGTGGATTCGACGCTCGATAATTACTTAACGGCGTATAATTATCTTACGAAAAATTGAAAGTGGTGTGTTAAGAGATGAAGATTGCCAAACGCCGAGATTTAACGCGACTTATCTCGAAACGGTACGTGCCGGGGTGTGTAGTCGCCGCATCGTAACTAGTCGGGCGTGTCTCATTTGTACGATCGTCACACAATACCTAGACGTCTATTAAAATATATTAAACAATTTCAGGATTAATCGAATTGATTGACAGCGCGAAATTGAAAAATCCTGGCGAAAGTGATATCGACGCTTGTGCGATTGCATTTTTTGCGTGATAATTGAGCGGTAAATTTATTTACAGAGCGTTTCCACACACAGAGAGACCGACAAAAACGCTAAAACCGACGCATTTCTCTTCGCATCGCCTTTTCGCAATGTCTTAATGAATTTGGTTAAAGGAAAAAACGCGTAAAATGTTTTAGCTCTCTTAAAGTTGCGACAGCGCTTTTGTAAGCAGCGCTCGCGCTTCAGCGATTCTCTGGCAAGGCTGGGGACAATTAAAATCCTTTTCTATTCGCGAAATTTAATATGCGATTTAAAAGGTCTTAAAATTAACATTGCTTTCGAAAAATCGTTGCTGTAATGTAATGTAATTTAATTGTGCATGCACCTTGTATAAAGTGTCTTTCACATCTCGTCGAACTTCAAAGTTACAGCAAACATCGGTAAGTATTTAAATCTGCGCAAATAATAGCTTTGTGGAATGATATTTTTTCAAATATCTCGCGCCCTCTAAAATGGACGAAACCTGACACTTTCTCTCGACATAGTTTACGATACCGTTCAAATTTTTTGTAAATAGTAAATGCTTTTTGAGAAAACAAGTATTTTCTGAAACCATGTAGTGTGAAACAATGACGTCAGCGCGTCTTGACAGCCCCCGAAATAACGATTTCAATGTGGATTTTTTCAAATATCCCGGCAGCGTATGTGATAGACGAAAACCGTAAATAAAAAAATTGTAGTTCTCGATGCGACACCGTTTGAACCAATTAGCCATATTTTTTACGATTTTTCATTTGCGGCAGAGTACTAAAAAACAAGCAAGTGCGACGCTGAGATTGCAACACCCAGTGAATATAAATATGTTTTATTAGTATTTTGGAAAGTAATTGAGATAAATATAAATAATAATCGAGAACATTTTCCAATTGTTGAATTATAGTGGAGATTGAGGGTCCATGTTTGTCCAATAGAAATAAAGTGAAATGCTTCTAACTGTTATGGATTTCCAGTGTGATCATTATTGAGATCAAAACATATGTAACCGTCTATGTTTACTGGTTAATGGCCGAGGTCTTTGCGAATACTGGTTCTTTTTAAAGTCCAAGTTGCAAAGGCCGTTGAGACGTACAGGAGCCATTGCTACACAATGTAGTTGTAGTAGCGTTTCGTCATTGGTAAGCCGACTGAGATAATATTGCTATGGTTTACTATCCTATGCGCCAGAACAATATAAATATAGCCAGGCAAATACCGTGTGTTGCAATTTCTATGACGGGCTGTAATATATCTATCTATATAATTTCAATTTTTACAAAACCATTTTTTTACAAGTCGGTTAACATAATAATTAAACTTACATCCAATAAGTGACAACTAAAAGCAAGCAATCGTCAGCAAGTTCGACGCGGCAGTAATCCAGAAGATTTTGGAACGGTATTGCAGTAGTCCGTTAAAGATTTTTTCAAAAATTGCCCCATTTACAGAGGAGAAATCAAAAAGAGGAAGAGGAGCACTCTTTTGTCAAATATCACGTCAATCTAACAAACTCCTCAGCATTATTAACAATAAAACTCCTTCTGTGTTTGTTAAATACACTTAAACTAGGCGCATCTCTAATTGATTTTTTCAATTTATTTAGTACTTTTGGAACCAAATTATTTGTAAATTTTATATTGTTTTTTTTTTTAATTTAAGGCTATAATGAAAGGTCCTCTGGAGTTAACCCTAATTGCAGATGGCCTACTAATATTTTCAAATTTTTGTTTTTGTATGTGAGCAAACTGAGTGAATGTGTAGAGAATTCAACTAGCATAAATTCAGTATTAAAATATATTCTAAATGACGCATAATGGCCTGATCTACGAGGGCAGCGCCAAAATTTCCCGGCCTGAATATGAAAGAAACAAAGTAGAGTAACAATTTTTTATTATTTTTCAATATAATCTCCCTTAACTTCAATACACTTGTTACATCTCTTTATTAACAACTCAATTCCTTTAAAAAAATATTCTTTTGGTTCATCTGCACAATGAGCTAAAACAGTCTCTTTTAACTCAATTTCGTCGTTAAACCGCCGTCCACAGTCCTTTTTCAAATATCCAAACAAATAATAGTCGCTGGGGGCCATATCTGGACTATAGGGAGGATGATCTATCTGTTGGACCAGCAGTATGGACAGGTGCATTTTCGTGCAAAACAGGTCTGTTTTCCGTGACATTTTACACGTATGCAGTCTCGCAATTTATGTAATAATGTTGCGTAATATTTACCATTGACAGTGGTATTAGTTTCTTTAAAATCTATCAAAAGAATTCCTTCACAATCCCAAAAGATCGTGGCCATTATTTTTTGTTGACTGGCAGACTCTGAATTTTTTTGGAGGTGCTTCACCCTTACGACGCCACTCCATTGATTCTTTTTTCGATAAAGGGGCATAATAGAGACCCATAGTTTCATCTCCCGTCACAATAGTTTCTATCACAGTCTTCGGTTCCGACCCACAGAGTTCCAAAAAAGACCGCGCACACTCGACACAGCGTTGTTTTTGAATGGCCGAAAGGTTTTTAGGAACGTATCTTGCCCACCTTATGCATACCTAAATGATCATGCAGGATTTGTACACTTGTATCAGAAAGCTTAGTAATTTCTGAGATTTCCTTGACCTTTAAACGTCGATCACTCAATACCACCTCTTCCACAATCGCAACAATATCTTCCCTTATGACCTCTACTGGTCGACGAGTTCTTGAATCAACTTCAAGGGACTCCTGCCCTATTCGGAAACGTTTTACCCATTGTTTCACTGCAGATTACGAAGGAAAACTTTGGCCGTACACACCATCCAGCCTTTCTTTAATAATTTTGTATGCTAACCGTTCTTTTGTCAAAAACTTTCTGACTGCTCTATACTCAATTTGCGACATTTTTTCGGACACGTCTTGTTTAAAATGCTGTCAATAAAAAACTGAATTTTAGATTTTGGATATATTTTTTTTACAATTACCTAATACTAGTTAATATTTTGCAAATTATTAATTAAATTAAATAAAAAAAACTATTAAATAAAATTCACATTTGTGTTAATTTAAAACAGGCATTCAGTGTATTATTAAATATTTCTTCTTCAAAAATATGTTTGTTTTTTGTTCAATCGATGGTTCCATTATTTATGCTTCCCCAGCATGCGATCGGACATAAAGAAATGGTACGCCGGACAGAGCGTGTTCGTGACGGGCGCCACTGGCTTCATGGGCAAAGTCCTCGTCGAGAAACTGCTTAGGTCGTGTCCCGACATTTCGACCATCTACGTCCTCATCAGGCACAAGCGGGGGCGAGATTCTGCGGAGCGACTCGAAGATTTCCTCAACTGCCCGGTGAGTGAAATTCTAACTGCGCCATGTTGTTTTTTACCTAAATTTCACCGAAGGTGTTTGACGGGATCAGGGATCAGCCGCAGGGTGAACGGATCTTGAGCAAGCTGCAGTGCTGCAGCGGTGACGTCACGTACCCGAACTGTAACTTGTCAGATCAGGACCTGGTGCTGCTCCGCGATAACGTCACCACAGTTTTTCATATGGCCGCCAACGTCAGGTTCGATCAGCCTCTAAAGAGTGCCGTGTTATTAAACGTTGGTGAGTTTATTTCAGTTTTCGAAATGATCAATTTTGAGTAAAGCGTATCGTTCCAGGTGGTACTTTAAACGTCCTGGATCTGTCCTGCACATTCAAGAACTTACGAGCGTTCGTCCACGTCTCAACTTCGTACTGCCACTGCGACGAAACCGACCTCGAAGAGAAACTCTACCCTGCTCCGCACAATCCTAGGCACATCCTCGAAATGGCCAAATGGATGGACAACGAGTTGCTGAAAATGCTCACCCCTAAACTGATCCGGAACTATCCCAACACGTACGCTTTTACCAAGTGCCTGACGGAACAGTTGGTATCTGAATACAGCATCAAACTGCCCATCGCCGTGACCAGACCGTCGATAGGTAAGCTCTTGGTGCTGTGGCCGAGGATCCGGTATAACTAATCGGTTTCCAGTCATTGCCTCGTGGAAGGAACCGTTTCCAGGTTGGGTGGACAATCTCAACGGGCCTACCGGTATTCTGATAGGTGCTGGCAAGGGCGTGATTCGATCCATGCACTGTAACGGAAACTTCATTGCGGATGTTGTACCGGTGGATGTAGGGGTCAACTCTTTGATAATCGCAGGCTGGAAGACTGGGCTGGAACCCAGGAAAAACGTGGCAGAAGTCTACCACATCACAGCGGACACGGTAGGTGATAGCTGCCTGTGCATAGAGGTAAAAATAAGAAGTCGATTGTAGAACTGCGCGTTGAGTTGGTCGGAAGCTTTGGAATTGGGTAGGAAGCATTTCTACGACTACCCCTTCAGCGTATGCTTGTGGTACCCCGGAGGTAATATCAAGTCGACTTACTTCGCACACGCTGTCGCGGCCTTTTTCTTGCACATTGTCCCCGCCTACCTGGTCGATTTTCTCATGTATCTGACCAATAACAAGACATTGTAAGTATTGGGATCACTTGTTAGTAGGTGTCAAGCTTACTAGCCTCTGTGGTGTTTTCTGAATTGTTACTAAACTCGGTTTTTTAGCATGGTACGCACCCAGAAAAGAATCGAGAACGGTTTGAGCGTGTTGCAGTACTATACGACCAGACCGTGGCACTTTCATAACGAAAAACTCGCTAAAATCGCCGAGGAACTCGACGAAACAGATCGCGAAATATTTTTCACGGATCAGACGAAAATCGATTACAACGAATATATGAAGAACTACATATTGGGCGCTAGGAAATATTGCGTCCACGAGGAACCGGACACTCTGCCCCACGCCAGAAAATTACTGAAAAGGTAGACGTCAAAGTTTAAAGCTCTCGACGTTTCGGAAATTCAAAAGAAAAGAGCGAGCTGTAGGTAGTATAGTATTGTTCGAATTATGTCTAGTTGGAAGCCAATTTAACCACACCTAAACGGCGTTGCAAGTTTGCGGGGTCGTCTTGGAAACATTTATATTGATATGTTGATAATAAAAAGCCTTTTGGGTATGGTCTGTTCATAGATATAAGAAAGTGAACAGTTGCTTTTGAATGGGATTATCCAAGATTATTACCTAAAGTTTCGGAATTTAAATACAGGTAAAATTGTGGTCCGTAATAGAAAATAATATTATACCTACCTGTGTTTAATTTATCTTTGGTTTGGTATACTACTTAGTTTAAGTTTATTGGTAATCATTCTTATTTCGTGTGTAATACAACATGTGTTGAATCGTGTGCGAATTATGCAAAATATGTTTATCTCAGGAGATGCTCCCGCCAAAACGTAGAAAACACTATTCTATTGAGACTAAGGAAGTTATAAACAATGTTTATTAGACTCTCATTGGACGTGGTGCCAGCAAGCAAGCAACTTTAGAAGAAACGGTCATATTGACGAAAATTAAAACATCAACTGTATGGAAAATTGTGAATTTTCTCTAATGTAGATAAAAGTGATCAAGATATAATACGAGGAACAAAGATATCTTAATTAGGAGACTTCAAAAAGATGAAACCGGTGTTAAATGTGGCAGGAAGTGTATTCGACACATGGGTTTTAGATTTTAAAAAATTGACACAAGGCAAGTTTTAATGGAATCTTTTAGAATTCTGAAATTGGCACTGGATTATCTAGAAAAAATTAGGATTTACAGAGAGAAAAAAAAGGCCAATTATTTACTTGGATGAAACCTGGTTCGACACTTATGACACCCCGGAAAAGGGTTGGGTTGACTCAACTGATAAGTGTAAAACAAACGCGCCATCAAAAAGAGGTAAAAGAATAACTATTTTGCATGCTGGCTCTAAAGATGGTTGGATTCCGAATGGACTTTCTCTGTCTGCGAAAAATATTAAAGATTCTTCTCTGGATTACCATGAAGACACCACCGCTGATTTATTTGAAAGTTGGTTTAAAAACAAACTAGTTCCAAACATTCCTCCTAATAGCGTCATTGTAATGGACAATGCAAGTTATCACAGTAGACAGTTGACTAAAACCCCTTCCTCGTGTGACACAAAAGCAACAATCCAAAACTACATGTATAATAACGACATTTATTTTCACGAAGATTATACCAAAAAGGAATTAATTGAGGTTCTACAAAGCTTGAATCTACAAAAGGAATACTTCTGTGATAATTATGCAAAAAATCTAGGGCATACAGTTTTAAGGCTTCCACCTTACTACTGTATATTTAATCCCATTGAACATGTTTGGCACCAACTGAAATCTGCCATTCATCCTCGTTAACTCCAATGTCCTCAAACTTATAGAAACCGAAGTCTTTAACATCCCCCCACAAAGTTGGGCAAATTCTGTTAAACATATAGAAAAAGCAGAACAATCGTATATCCATATTGCAAATAATATAGAACAAATAATAATTAGAACAGGCGATGATAGCGATAGTGATACTGATATATTATGTGAATCATTTTAAATAATTTAAGTAGGTAATAGAAATAATTTGTAATTTTATTTTAGATTTAAACATAAATACATAAATAAATAAATAAATATTCGGCCATATTTCATTCTTACAGCTTGCCCGGGTCTTTCCTTAATTCGTATCAGTTAGTCACTTTCTTATATCTATGAACAGACTTCACAAAGAAGATCAATGTTCTCATATTATATATTTAGACGAACCGACGGGGTTGAAGATTGTTCTCCATTTTTCTTTTTATTAATCGTCAATTCTTCTAAATGGAGACGAAACTGCCAACTTCTTTGTTTTGAAGACACAAGATGTTAAAAGCGACGTCACCGTGCGTCTTGTCGGCAGGTTGTACTATCTGGACGTTTTCAAGAACATCCTTCTGATCGGGCTGGTTCTATGGGTGCTCTATTTTTTGGTGACGAGCTTTTACGACCAAACCGACGGTATCCAGAGGTCGTTCAATGCCACTGTCAGTCAGCAACACGTCAAACCTGTCAAAAATTATGTGATGTGGGAGGCTTGAGCTGCCCCCTTGCGTATTTGCCCGTATTTATTTAATGTATAAGTATGTTTTCTTTTTTTAAATCTAGCTTTGTATTTTGAATGTAAATAAACGCTTCGAACGGTGGCGTATTTTGCTTATCCTTGACGGAGAGTGGGAGGGGCTCAAAAGGGGAACATTTTTGGTTTTAAATAAAAAATACAAATAATGCAACAATTTTATCGTGGCATTTAGCTGTAAATAACCCTAGGAGTAGATATTTTTAAAATGCTTTGTGTTATGTCACGGCGTGCTAACGGGATTAAAATTTAAAACCTTTATTTTTCACGGTACGTCATGAACCTGGGAGGGACTGAGCAAATATAGCAAATATAAATTTCTACGTTGTTTGGTACACAGAATGAAAACGCTAATATTTTTAACGATGGTAAAAGAGGGTGCCAGTTTTTATGTTAAAAAATGAGAAAATAAATGTGATCGTTTTCTTTCAAGCATATGGTATTTCCACAAATCGACTTTTGTCTGATATCACATCGTTCTAGTAGAACTAGATCTTGGCCTATCTTTTCTCATAATAAATGCTCAAGAGCTTTCCGAGGTCAAACCTAACCAAGGCCTCAAAAGTAATAAGTCCTTTTTTACCCTTCGGGGGAAAACGTTCATACCATCTGAACCCGAAAACTAGTAAAACACACCAGGTAGAAGGAACTTGCCTTTAACCGCCCTCAAGATAATGCATACGTTTCTTTTAACAGCGGTAAACAAAATAAAATAATAAATACATTGATAAAGAACATAAGGACTTGCCTTAACAAACAAGCGGTACGGATACAAAAGCATTTACACTAATTTGAGTACAACCAACAAAATAGTTGGGAATAAAAAATAATTGATACCAAAATTGGAAGTACCTTCGGGTTCCTGAAAGTAGAATTTGTAGTCAAATTAGCACATTGCAAAATAAGGAGTTTGATTCTGAAAGTGTAAAGAGCCTACCGACGATCGAAATGATATCCGATGGGCTGTTAATTTTAGCACTGAGAAAAAGCGTGTTTTGCACAACCTGCAGTTACCGATCCTCGTACTGGACCCACTTCTCCTCATCTTAAAATAAACAAGTAAGTTAAACTATCCGTAGAGTGCCTTCGAGGAACAGAAAGTTCGATTAATTTTTTTGTTAATTGTTTTGTTAAACTCTGGCAAGAAAATGGCTACTCTTTTTGCCATTTGCATTGAAAAGCCGATTACTTCAAAAGAGTAAATATTCCTTCTCCCTAATAAATGTAAAAGCCAGTTTCAGAGGCTGCTATTACAGATTTATGTAACATAATTGTGTTTATAGCTTATTTCTTTTGACAAGAATCCAGAAAAAAGTGAGAAGGCTGTCTGGGTTAATAAATACATCATCTGATATTTGTTTGAATCATTGAAAATCACATCGTTTTTATGGAAGGATAAGTATCTTTATCCCCCCTAAAGGAGCCTCTCTGCAAGAGCCCAAGGAAGATAATACCAACAGTTCATAGATAATTTTTTTAGCTTGTCCAATCTTAAATTGGCTTCAATCTCTACTAATTCAAATATCAGGTTGTTATGGTTATAAGACCTCCCTCTCTCTCTCACAAATCTGTGTGCCATTGGGGTCAAAAGTCTTCACCAAGTAGTAAGGGCGAACCTGATTTTGTTCAAGAGCTGCGAATCTCCTTCAGCACAAAATTTCCATTTTCTCCAACCTGTCGGCTGATATTTATTCCTTACACTACGAAACATGCCGTCATTCAGAATATGCCGGAGTCTTCTGCGCCAATTTTCCGAACATTTTCCTTCATCACATATCATCTGATATGAGCAAGTGACCATTTCCAGTCAGCATCGGCTCTGTTTTCGCAATTTCGTAAACCGAGTTTCGTTCAATTGACGGTGGACATTTTAAGGCTTCTCGCATACGGATTGGTGAGGGAATAGAGAAGCCAGACGCATTAGTATTCAATGTCCTCGGGTAAAGCTTGAACGTCCGAAGTTATGTTTGTCAACACGCATATGTTGGCCATAACGGATATAATGTATTTCAAGTACGTGTTGCTGATCATAATTTTGGTTTTCCTCTATTGACGTGAGAACAAACTACTGATATAGCGAAGGTAATTTTAACTAACTCTAACTCATTGTATTACGTCCGGGACTAGTCAAAATCTGAATATTGTCGAGAAATATGATCCTGATAGGCCTGAGTCAAATGACATTAGTTTCGTAGAGCACTTAAAAGGATAATAACAGTAGAACAATGTCTATTTTCACTCGGGAAAGGTTCAAAGCTAGGTAACTTTGTGCTTGCTTGCTGTGTGTATTTATGCTTTTAATAAAACCTGCAACAAAAATGAGAAAATCAAAGAAAGGAAATTGCTTCGATGCAGCAATGGTAGTTTTATATTTTATGAACGAAAGGCTCTGAAAAGTTTCAGGATATAATATTTTTATAAACCATTAACAATTACTTAGTAAATATTTCCATCGTTTAATTATTTTATTTAAGTAATTATTTAATATTTCAGTATATCGTTTTTGCATGTGATCGCATTTTATTTTAAATTCGAAAATGGTTTAGATTAGCCAAACATTTATTACGATGAGCTAGATTTTGATTAGTTTTAGCGGAGACCTTGTGTAGACTAGTGGTAATAAAATGACAAGTAATGATCGATCCAAAAGTTAAAAATGGTTCGTATGCTGTGTTCACAATTCTAAAAGTAGCATTTCCATATCACTAGTCCACTTAATTTATTTATGTATATTTATTTATATATATTGATTTCAAAATTGATTAAAAAGCTTAAAAAACTGTTGCTGTTAGTGGTGGGATAAAAACTTTGATCGGTGAGAAAGAGGTGATGAGTCTGTTGATTATGCAGGTCTACAAAATTAAACTTTTTGACAGTTGTTTTTATTTTAAAAACTGATTTCATATAATTTTGGTAGGTTTTTCTTGCAAATGTTAAAGAAAAAAAAAAGATATTTCTAGAATAATTTTTTTTTATTCAGCAAAAAAGTGGCATCCTAGTTGAAAAAAAGCTTTACTCAGACTTTTTAAAGTGAAATCTTCGTCTTTTGCACATCTCGTTTTAACATCCAGCAGTAGTCCTCCATCATCGTTATGCTCGATCTGCCTTGGTATGGCCCTTCCATTTCCTTAATGTCCTGGTGTAACCTCTCTCCCTGTTCTTCACTAACTGCTCCAACATTTTCAGGAAAATAGTTGAAGTGTGAAAACAGGAAATTCATTGTCTGTGCGTAATGTTTTTATCTGAGAGCCAACAAAAATACCTGCAAATATTTGAAACACTGTCCATTTTTATTTAAGGTTTCAAGAAACTGCTTTATCACCGCAAGTTTGATATGAAGAGGAGGCAGTTAAACTGTTTTGTGGTTAACTAAGCTATCCGCTCAGAAATAAAACATGCCAATTTTGTATAACCCCCCTGTTGTATAAACAGGTATAAAAAAAGTTATTTGGATTGTTCACAAAATGTCTTCTAACCAACCAAACTGCGCATAGGTTACAATGCTGTATTGACGCTTCTCCGCCAACTCTGACTTTGCAGCGAAATCTAATTTAACTCAGTGTTGCCAAGTCACGTTTAATTTCGTAAAAATCAATTTATTTAAAAATCATGCCTAACATAGAACAAACATATTCATGTCATAGGTATAACGTGAGCAAAATCAAGCAAACAGTTTTCAAACATCAAACCACTGTAGACCTGTGTTATCTGTATCAATTCAAAGAAGACATAATATAAGAAAATTACCTCAACATGACTTTAAAATCATCGCAAGTGAAAATCTCGTGAAAAGTCGTAGAAATATGATTTGATAAAACCTCCGTTTTCCCCAAAAATCTAAAAAGCAAAAGCTTTGATCTTGGATACTTTTACTTTTTACTTTTACGACTTTATTTCTATTAGTGTACTGAGGGTCTCTAGCAAAAATTCAGCTCGGACGGAAATTCTGGTATTTGAAAATACCATTTTGAATAAATTATAAATTTTGTTTCTTTTAGTTTTATAAAATTTTTATTATTTTGTTATTAATCAGAACTTTGGTTACTTAAACTAATTAACTATAACAATTTTCCACAAGAAAAAAACACACGCACTCAAAATCCAAAAACGAGTGACGTTTTCAGTTTCGGCGTTCCGCTGCCGCTGCCGCCCTCGCGTCTCGCAAACCCAGCGAGGGGATGCTGGATGCTGGCCGTATCGATCACTGAAACTGTTTTCGGAGCCCGTCTGGACCGGCAGTTGTAATCGGGAAAGCGGCGGTGGCCATTTTCACCGTCGTCGCCCCCGGAAAAATGTAGTGGCAATGCGGTGGTCGGGTCAGTAGTTATGGGGTTGTTTTTGGGCTTGATTTACGGTTACCTTTGGTTCGCCAGCATTTTCGCAGGTAAACAAAACTTCTGCTCTATTGTTAAGTTTAACAAGGGCGTAGATCAGCGGCATAAGAAACTTCGTCGTGGTATACTTTAGTTCAAATTGGACAATCAATGGACACATAAAGACGATAATTATCCCTATTATCCCTAATTATTTTACAAAGGCCCTAAAGTAAAGCCTTACCAATTAAAGATCACACGAGATTACAGATATTACGGTTCACCCAATTGCGTTCAAATATTCCTTTTCCAATTACGCAGAGTTGTTCTTAAAATTCCTGTGATACTATTTACAAATCTTCTGGATTCGACCTTCATCGGTTAGGGTGAATCGAACTTGCTGACGTTTCGCCAATCATCCTGTTGGCTTCTTTAGAGCTTAACGGAAACTGGATTTTTCGTTCTAGTTGATAAATTCAGTGTCAGATACTAGAAGTTTACACCATATATATATATATATATATATATATATATATATATATATATATATATATATATATATATATATATATATATATATATGATGACACTATATTCCGGGATATCATCCGTTCGCTCGTTGAACTCCGACTGGAATCCTGCAAATCTTGCATCCGACTGGAATCCTGCAGACGTTTCGCCTGCAGGATTCCAGTCGGATGCAAGATTTGCAGGATTCCAGTCGGATGCAGGACTCCAGTCGGAGTTCAACGAGCGAACGGATGATATCCCGGAATATAGTGTCATCACATTTTTCCATCCGTGAATCAATACGTGAGAATATATATATATATATATATATATATATATATATATATATATATATATATATATATATATATATATATATATATATATATATATCTGTGTGTGTGTATATATATATTCTTCAATTTCTCTTGGGTATTCGGTCTCTCGAAAACAATTAATGTGATTCTTCTAAATCTTTATTAACGTTTCGATCGTAATTTCGATCTTTTTCAAAATATTCTTATTTTGCCCCTCATTTAGCTCTGTTACTCTCAATTGTAATATATAAATAAATAAAAATCTATTATTATTATTAATAGTACTTATGGCTTAGTTCATTTAATGCTGTGGAGGTAGACGATATAGTCATTTGCACCTGACTGTAATATATCTGGTAAAATAATTTAATGTAGTCGTTTCTAGGATACGCAGCTTTTTATTGCCCTCTGTTCCCTGTCGTTTTCCTGTCTAGTCGACTCTACAGGTGCATTTTCGATTTCGTTTTGACGTTTTGGCAGTACTATCCGACGGTAAGTATCAATTTCGGGGTGTTAACCAAATGAATCGAAAATAAGGTATTACTCCGTCCTTTTCCAGGCGCTGCTGGAATTCCTATGCCACTGCGACGTTCAGGTGACCGGGGACGCGATCCGAACCGACGAAACGTCGCTACTAGTATCCAACCACCGTACCAGGACCGACTGGAACTTCCTCTGGCCGGCGATGTACTACGCTATCGAGGGCAAACGCAAAATATGTCATTCCACCAAGTTCATTCTAAAAGACGTAATCAGGTTCATCCCCGGACCAGGATGGACGATGCAGCTGAGTGGATACCTTTTCGTCAAGAGAAATTGGAGCATCGACAAAGAAACAGTTGAAAAATATATCAATTTCGTCTCCAACATCTGTTACAAGCACGTGCTGGTCCTCTTCCCCGAAGGTACTGATTTGACGGAGAAAACGAAACGAGGCAGCGATCGTTACGCAGAGAAGAACCACCTGAAGGTGTGCCAGGTGAGAGAAGGTGGACGGTTTCACACTGAAGTTATTTTCCGTAGAAATACCAGAACGTGCTGCATCCGAGGACCACCGGGTTTGGATATATCGCAAGCAGAATGATGGCCGATGGTTGTCTGGATGCCCTGTACGATGTCACTATTGTGTACCCGGACGTAGTGCCTCAAAACGAGAAGGTTTTGTTCTCCGGAGGCTTCCCGAAGCGGGTGAAGGTTCATCTGGTGAGGTGAGGTGATATATTTTTTTATTTAAACGAGATCAAACGAACGGCAAATTTTTTTGACAGGTATCCTTCGTCATCGCTGCCCGCGACGGAGGCATCTCTCAAACTGTTTCTGGAGAACCGGTGGTCGGAAAAAGAGAAAACCATCGAGGAGTTCAAATGCACCGGTCGGTTTTTGCACGGAAAAGTTCTTAGCGATAAAAGCAACAAGTTGGAGCTTTATATCGCGCTGGTATTTTGGTCCGTTCTTCCGTACGTGGTACTGTACGTTTTGTATGTTTTCACGTTGTTCCGTCACCTCATCTTGATCGATAGTTTGCTTTTGGTGGGCTTGAATTGCGTCGGTCGAGGTTTTCCCGCCTTTGAGATCGGTCTTCATAACCTCAAAACGAGCGTATTGGATCTATTCCGAGATCGAGGTTAAAGAAGCCGGTTTATCGATGCAGACGATTAAGTTGAAGTATTTTAATAAAAGACCACAAAAAAAATTAATTAATGTTGGTTTGAAGTATTCTTTTAAGCTGGTCAGGCATTACATTATATACTGAAAGCGCTAAAGATTCACGAAGCTCGAGATTGATTATATCATAGTTTCGAATTTTAATATAATTAAGTTGTTTTTATTTTTTCCCGGATTTAATTGACAATTATGGAAAATCTATCGAGGTTAGGAAATTTTGAAATGTAATGTATTTTCCATCAGCGGATAAAAGATATTTAATTCTGAGAGTTGATAAATCGGCTTCGGTCTCGATTTGCTTGTGTGTTAAAATGAAGAAAACAATACGAGAATAGCGTAAAATCAAAATTTTTTATATATAATAATTACACGGTTTTAGAGAACGTCGCGTGATAAGTAAAAAAAACCTATTTTACTGCAACATTTTTGCATATTTTAGTAATTTTTAACATTTTTAAAGTTATCAAACACGTACATTTTTTTGATTTAAATAACCGAAACTGTTTTTTCATACGTAATGAAAACTTTAGAAATAGTAAGTATTTAATAGTTTTGTTGTAGATAAGCACGGCACTGAGCTCATTGGTATTTTTAACCGGTGCGAAACAAGAACCCCTGTAAGTGCTATATGTATAGAAACTTACAATCGGTGTTTCCAGAGATTCGAATTGGAAATAATTGCCGTCAACTTATCACTCAAATAAATCTCGAAAATATGTATCCACAAAATTTTTGAAAAAAAAAATCTTGTCGCGCGACAAGTAGTTTGTAATTATTTCCTTGTCGTTGAGTGTTTATTAGAATGTAAGAGACTTCACTTATTTTTAATTAAATTTGAGTTTTTTGTATATTTTTGGACCACTATCGGTTCTATGCGTAGAATCTATGGATACTGTGGTCCGTGAAGTGATGACGGCAGCTCTCCCGTAGACCTAAGACGTATGCGGTTAACGTGTTTCCGTATGCAACAGGGCGGCCTAAATAGCCTACTTGAGAAAACCGTTTTCGGAGAAAAATGGGAAACATGTTTAGATTTAGACGTTAGGTTAACTTTTTTTCGTATAATTTTCGATCAGTTCTTCGTTTCCGTCAAGATGGAAGACTTCTTGGCAGTTAAACAAACCAAAGATTCATAAATAGTACTATAACCGTTAGGTTTTAAGTGGAGGACGCGTGGCCGAAATATTCCTGTAAATATGCCGATATATAGAAGCTGTGCGTCCGATTTAAGATAACTTTTGTCTTGTCTGGTGTATAAAAAATTAAATTTTTGTTTGGGTTCCTATTGAGTTGTAGCGTTTTCGAGAAAGAATTGAACGTGCCAAATGAATAAGTCTCTCAAAAGAGAACGATAGCGTAGTATTGTTTTAAGTCACTATATTAAAAACTAGATTGTATTTGTTTCTGTTTACGTAAGTGTACGTTGATGTTTTAGTGTGTAATATGGATGGTGTTTATTGTCACGGCGTTTTATTTTATTCTAAACCACGACACGTAAACCTTCCGGGCACAACAGGACCAAATAAAAATGGCGATTGGATTAACGACGGTTACAAGTTTATTAAGTAAAAAAAGTATGACAAATAGAATATCACATGTATTAAGGTCAGCGCGCTATATTACACAATAACTAAGATAACAATAAGTTGAGCAATATTGATGACATAAGGTACTTAGCTGGAACAGAGCATTCGATTCGAAATGACCTGCTCCATTAAACAAATAACTAATTTTAAATTATATATATGTAAACCCCATAGAACCCCCCTTCCCACCCTAACTAACTTTGTAAACTCAGAAATCATTTGACATAAATCATTTTCCGATATTTCTATAAATTTTGAACCAAAACGCGTAAATTATAAAAAATCGTCGATGATGCTTAAACGCATTTAAAGTTTGCAGGTTCTGTACGTTTTTTGAAATTGACAATTATCCCCATTAATTTTTTTTATCCGGCTATCGGAAATTTATTTCTATTTTTTGAGTTTTACGTAGATCCAAAGACTATCCTATAAAAGTAATAAAAAAGAATCACGAAGAAACCAATTTTGACTATCCGGTCCAAGATGAAATATCTGAAACAGATGGAAAATTCCAGCTGAATTAAAAAGAAAACTATATCCATAAATTACACGGCGTGATTAATTAGATTGTATTTCTGAAAGTGTATTGGCCATTTGGTCACACGCGCTCGAAGTTCTTATTTATATTTTTATTATATTTTAATATTCATCTGCAAAGTTATAACAATATTTTTTAAGTTCGCGAAATTAAAAGTAAAACAGAGCAGGTAAAAAACTGAGAACTCTTTTGAAAACGGCCGATACATTCGGCGAAAAACGCGTCAACGCAACTACTTACATTTTCATATTCCTCTTCGCTGCTGGCAGCATATCATCTGTTTCGTGGAAAATATGCCTACGGGAATACATAACGCAGTCCCGCAAATACGCCTTCAAGTCCACACCATCCGCTTCGACCTTGTAAACTGCTTTCTCCTCTGCAGTCAGCTTCTTCCTCAAACTCAAAAAGTATTCGAGGTTAAAGTCCCACGCCTTGGTGGTGTAGTACTCGAACATTTCCTGGCCCTTGAACAACCTCTTGTTGATGTCGTACAATCTGAAACGAGACCCCGAAGTCACAAGTCATGTTGCACCTATCTAGAAGGTTTGCACGTACAAGGGTTTGTATCCCAGCACGAGAAGTAACGCGTCTATGAATACTGCCGGCATCAGTTGAAAAAGGAACACGTTGATGAGATGCCACGGTCGATTTTTAGTCATGGTACCCCCAGGGTACCACATTATATTGTTAAACGGCACCTGAGTGTTGATAACTTCTTTGCCTAGCTCGATGATCTCCTCCCAATTGACCTTGATGTCTGTCTCGGGCACGCAAGCATTGAAGACGTTCTTTTTGCCGGTGTTTAAATAGTCCCAAACGGCGACAAGCATGATGTTGATCGTGCAGTCTGCTGGGATCAGGTTGGCGTACGATTTGCTGTCCATGTACATCGAACGTATGACTCCTTTGCCAGCGCCGATGAATATACCCATAGGGCTTTGGAGGTTGTTGAAGAAGCCGGGGAGTGGGTCTTGGAAGATCGGTATCACTGAAATTATTAAAATGCCAATTACTTCCGTTCATTTTAGAACTTTTAAATTATTTTTAATTTTTCCGAAAACAGGCAACTGATTTTTTTGGCAACCAAAATGTTTTTAATCTTTTTCGGGAAAACGTAAAGAGAGAGAAAAAAGAGGAAACGGACTAAAATCCCTTTGTTTTGAAATGGTAGAATACGCTGGTCAGATTTTTTTTTTTTTAAGAGAAACATGTTTGATATCAAAATAAATAAGAACTAAAAGTTCAGATTTTCACGAAATTATATATTTTTACATGACAATTGGTTCGACAACACCGTGTCTATTTAAATGACCATAAAACCTTAATTAATGTTGTTGCGAGAATTTAAGTTCAGTAAATGAGGGGTATTTAAATCTAATTGATCGTTAACCAATACATTTGAATGTCTCATTTTGTTAATCTCCATTGCTTCCGATAAATTTAATTTTCTACTTTTTGTGGCTGTATGTAAAATATCAAAATTGTCGTCAAAAATGTGTCTTTCTGTGTTTAAGTGTGTAGCATAATTAGAATGCAGACTATTGTTTTTAATAAATGGATTTTCATCAAGTAAAAGCCACCTCGGTTCAAGACTTGATATAATTATTTTTGATTTGTTGACCTAAGAGTGTATCAACTGTTTCTACATTGATTCGCCCTGTATATTTACCGACTGCGGGTCTAACGATGATAACCGGCAACTTGCCGACTTCCTTGTTAACGAGACCTTCGGCGAGGGCCTTGGAGAACGTGTAGCTGTTGGGGATGTCGCCCAGAATTCTGTAAAAAATATATTGATTCGAAACCGGCTGGTTTTAAGCTCGAATCGCTCACTGTTTCGTCAGGTCGGCCATACTGTCTTCTCGAATCCAGTTGACACTGTTGAGGACCTCGTCTGGGTCGGCCGGAGGATCATAGGCCTTTTCGTAGAGGACATCCTCTTTGGGGAAGGCGTAGGCGGTGGAGACATGTACGAAACACTGTAAATCAGGGAGAAATTACGGTGAAACCAGATAAAGCAAGCGGGTCCTTTTTTTCGTAAGGTTTTTTACGTATATACTGTGTGTGTCCTTTCACCGCATTCTACAGGCAGCGGCGTCGCACATATATATGCTTGATTTCATTCGTTATGAATTACATGACAAACAAAATTGAAACAGGCTGAGTTAAAAATATGGAACGATTATGCAATGTCAAAAGAAAAGTTTGAAAAAATGTTGAAAACGCTTTAGCTTTTTGGCTATCGAATTAAAGGATCCGAGAATCGAAATACTCAATAAATGAAACGTTTGGACCAGCTTTTGATGCGCGTTAATTATTCTTCCAGATATATTTTTCCGGTCGCTACGCCCCTGTCCCGCCGATCTAAATTTCCGTCTCGGTTAGTTCGATACAGGTTTCGCGAAATCTAGGACAAAATTGCAGCAACTATATGCATCCTCCGTGTCAATAACAAATTTTTTTTTTGTGCAACAATGCGCGAATTATTAAAATTACTAGTTTAGTTGAACAGTGATAGAAAATTGCTTGTTTTTGTTCACTTCGCGGGGAAATTTTTATTGCCATAGTTAACGAGGTAAAAGATGAGATTTATTTGCAAGGAAAACAATCAAATGGTAATATTTTTTATAATTTTTACTACTAAATAAAATAACATAAAAAATATATATTTTCGAAGGTTTTAATAATGTATTAATGTATTAATAATTGGTAAATTATTAACTAAACCTGGTAAAGAAGCCTTTCTCCAAAGAAAATTATTTTATTGCAATTACAATTGAGAAAATTTCATGCTATTGTAAATGCATGTCCATTTGCGAAGTCTTTTGATAATAAAAAAGTGTACTGTTAATGCAAAAAGATTGATTAAATACAAAGCTTTACAGGAGACCTACCTTGTCCTGGCAATTAACTGATGTTATTTATTGTATATACTTTTTAATTGTTGAATTTTGATTCTATTAATGTGTGATGTCTTTATTTACTCCGTGATATGTCCCACAAATTGCCAATAAGGATATTTTGAATTGAATTGAATATCCTTCGGTCAGCGGCTGTTTTTGAGAAAAAATATTAAATACGTCAAAAAGAAAATAAAATAAATAGAAATAAATATATATTTAATACATTTAAAATGGGCAAATTGACAATCATTTTTGATATGATGGCTCTTGTGGGTCGATCACAACCGAGATCTATAGGAGTCATTCCAAAAAAATGTCACAGTGTACTAAACACATCCACGTGACTTCGGTTCTCTACCTTAAGCTTTTCGCACTGCTTCGCCAGGTCCAGCATGAACTTGGTGCCCCTGGTGTTCATCTGTACCGCATACTTAATTGTATCGTCAAACCTGGTGGTAGCTGCCGAGTGAAATATAAAATCCACCTCTTTGCACAACAATTGCCTATCTTCTTCCACGATACCAAGGTTAGTTTCGAGGACGTCACCGGGCACCACATGGCACTTTTTGATTGCGTCTGGACGCAGCTCGTTCAGCATCGCGAATAGCTAGAAATGAAGTTATTATGATTTTTATGTTTATTTGGTAGCCTATTTCGGTAGTGTGTGGAAAAATAGCAGGTAAAAACATTTTTTTTTAATGAGGGACGTCAGGACGTTGGCTTAGCGCTTACCGGGTGGTTAAACATGTCTTGGAGCCTGTTCTCGGGAGTTTTGCCCTTCTTCGTTCTAATTAGAAGGTGGAGCTTCTTAACGTCAGTGGTTCGCAGCAGTTTTTCGATGAGTACTTTCCCTAGGAAACCGCTAGCGCCCGATATGAACGCTATCTTGTCCCTAAACACTTCGCTTATCCTGTTGCCCTCGTCGCCCATTTTGTTGTGCACGTGTAAAATTTTACTTGAGTCTCTGGTTTATTTGCGAAAATAAAAAATCCTAAATGGTAAAGCAATTTATTTTTCAGAACTACATGGAACAGAGTATATTATGCTAATGTAATAATATTTAATCTTCAATGAAAAATAGTATATTTCGGTATTTAATTTTGATTTTTTATTTTGTCAATTCTAGACTATAAATGTTTTATTACTTGTAAAAAGACGCCAGCAGTCCCTTTCAATTAACTTAAACCATCTTGACGCCCGATATCCTTGGGTAAAGGGTTTCCATATTTTATATATAATATATTACATATTATATTTGTTATATAATATCCTATACCTAAATTTGGCCGGTTTTGGTAATGAAACTCTTTTTTTTATTTACATTTGCAGTTAGTTTTTTTATAGAAGGGAAACTATTTTAGCAATATGCGTTGATATTTAAAAAGAAAGAAATACAGGGTGATCAAAACTCACATTATAAATTTAAATAAAAAAAATGTTAAATCTTAAATATTCTAAAATACTCGATTTTTATAAATTTATGGTATTTCGACTTAAAAAAAAAGTATACAAGGTTGACCATTTAAAAAGGTTGTAGGTTGGAAAATATTAGCAAATTAAAAAGACAGTTTATTCTTTGCAACATTTAAAAAAATATATAAAAATGAGATTTCTTTAGAAAAATGTATATTATTTATATTATAATTTCTGGCCATTTGGATATTTTTCAGCAAATGTTTAAATGTTTTTGATAATTGCTTTATTTTTGGACGTTAAACAAATTTAAAAATATTTGTGTTAACTAAATTAAATTAAAATTAATTAAAGGCATAATTTATAAGAGTTACAAAAAAATGTTTTTTCTGCTGTTTCGCCGTTATCAATGCTATCTGTGACTTAGATATATGCTGTTACACACACAAATATGTATAGAAATTCAAAAATACAATATTTTAAAAGTGTAAGTGAATCCAAACAAGTTTGCTCTTTAAGTTTTTTTATATTTTTTACATATTCCATGAGGTGTCATCCCACAATAAACGGGATACTCAAATTTTCCCTCAGAAATCTAACGGAGCCATAATGGAAGGCTCTGTGATTACACAGTGGACATTGAAACGATTCATAGCCCGCGATTAGTGAGCGAACGGCCTTAATAATGGTACCCAGCGATATAATTTAAAAAAATATGCGCGAACCAAATTTTTAAGACCCATCTGACGCTGTCAGTCGACATGAAACTTCTTTTCGTTTATACGATCGTTCTCACGGTGTTGATAGTGATCAATTTCGCGTTGCACACCTACGTGTTGTCGCACAATGGAGTGCAGTACATCAAACGTCACTGCGTAAAAGAAGACGAAGACCGAAACGTACCTCCAACTCCGGAAGAGAATTAAAACCGTAGAACCACCTTGTTATATTTTGTTGCAGTGTTTTGCACGTTTTGGTCGCTTTGTGTTAAATGAGTTAAATCAATAAAATAATTACGTAAAAGGGAGAATAGGGTGAATAATTTAAAAGGAAATTATTGGCAGGACCTCTTGCATAAAACAATCCGTAAAATATTAATTTCTAACATTGCAAAATTAAATGCTCTGTTGGGGTTTTTGAATACGTATTTCATACATAATATGCGCCTATTAATCTTTATCAAAAATTAGAGGATAGGCAAAAATAAATTTTTCTTCGGTTCTCGTCGACAGGCTCAGAACATAATATGCTGACATGTTCATAGTATATATATGAGGAAAATACTCTTCGCACCTTAGCCGGACTCGATAGCATTCATGGTTATTAGTTTTTAAAATCAGTATATACAATAAAAGCGCCTGGAATTGTTTAGTCATTTAACATTGGGTCTAATGTTCTTGATATCATTACATGTGATTTTCTTATCACAGTGGCAAGTGCTCACGATCAAAACTTACCTTCAGTTATTCCATGGGGTGTGTCGGTAATAAATGAGCATCAAACGCAAATTGGAAGAAGAAGAAGTGTTTTTTTGCGATCAATACAATTGGACAATATTACACAAGAAAGTGCAACCACTCTATAACTTTTAAACGGCTTCAGATAGCCAAGAATCGTAAACCTAATAGGATTGCGAAAACTGTTTTTCTGAGTTCTCGCCACTCAAGCACATACAATTTTAAAGTATTTGTTAAAGCTAAAAAACAGTGTTTTGTTTAATTTTTTTTTACAGAAATACAGTTAACACAAGCATGGGCGTACTACTCACTAGTTTAAATTATTTTAATTGTTCAAAGAACACAAAATACGCCTTCAAATGCATTGACACAATACACAATAACCGTTAGAGGACTTCGCTTACGTCACAAGCGATCACGGGATTGGCCAATCCTATTAGGTTTACGATTCATGGAGATAGCGATTTGAAATTTGAGTGGGTAAATATAGGCCGAATGTCCGATTTTTTGACAATATGTCAATGGTTTGAGCGGACACGACAGTAACTTTAGAATTTTAAATGACATGAGCTATATTTTTGTGCATTTTTGGATTCAGGAGATCATTGTACGTAATAAAGGAAGGTTTTCCTCTTTTTTTGTTTTCGTTTTAAATTTTTATTAAATTTAGAAAATTGTGTCTAGGAGGCTGTGACCATCATAAATACTACTGACCGGGTCACTTGATCATGTGAAAAATTGTAAATGAAACTTTACTTGTCTAATGGCAAATAGCATTTAATGTAATGAAGTATTACTTTCTTATGTTAACCCAGTTTTTTTTCTTCCCGTGAGCTTATTTTTTAACGGAATTTGTAAATTTTTGGTGCCAAAAATTTACAAATTCCGTTAAAAAATAAGCTCATTGTTAATTGTCAAGTCGGTAAGATTAAAAATGCAGAAGAAACTCTCGACAAGCTCACGCAGTGGAAAGAAAGAAACAGGTTGGTATTAAAAACAAAAATAAAGGAGAGTTCCTTCTGAGATTCAACGACCAGAATTTTTTGTTGAAAGTATTTTATTATTGATGCGCTTTTGGAATACGAGGATACAGTAAAAACTAACATCAGTATTGTATGTATACGTACGTATATTTTTATAAAAGTTACTTACTGTTTACTTATCTGTTTTTTTTTAAATCAATAAAAAAGTAAAAAAAATATCCTGTCCTACGTAGAATAATCTCCTGACTCTAAAAATGCAAAAAAATATAAGTTTCCGCTCAAACTGGAAGCGCAACCAATGACTACATATTGTCAGAAAATCAAAAAATTGGACCTTCAGCCTATATTAACTCTATCAAATTTAAAAGCGCTATCTCAAGCCGTTTAAAAGTTATAGAGTGTTCCCGCTTTCTCGGGCCACCCGGTATATGTCAATCATAAAAGATTTTGACAGGTGTCAGGTCTTTTCTTCATAAGGTCAATGATAGCCTTCTTATTATATTTTTTTATGACAAACTCAAGACAAGTCACGAGTCACAAGTCTGATCAGGCTAACGGAGGCTTTAAAAAATAAATGTCAGCCGTTTAGTACCTTAATTTGACCTTAAACGAGCCAACGATTATAATAACTGCTTTTCTCGAACTCCGAACTGCGAACTAAAAAATGCGAACTCTGGAACGTTGCTTTGCGCAATTTTTTTGCTTTTTTTAATTCAAAAAGCATTTAGTAAATGGAGCGCATGGGATACGGTTCATTTAAGGAAAACCCATGCGAAAAAACTCGAATGCGACACAAACAAAAACACGAATTTCCGAATAATCTGCATTTTTTATAAATATCGAACTGCCTCGAAATGTGGCGGAATTTTTTAATTTATGCAAATTTCGAGACTGCACGACGCGTCACCGAAGAAAGATCCGTTTAACGACACCTGATCCGCAGATCAGGATTTAAATTTATCTCTCGTCAACGATTTAATGAGCCTATTAAAAAAAATTAACTCTACCAATGGTTTAACTATATCTTGTTGGCTTTGAAATTATTGCGTTTTTAATGGCCGTGCATAATGTTTTAACGACGTTTCAATTTGTCGATTGTTGCTGTGTGCAAAAAAATGCGAACATTCGTCGAATGCGCGATCAGAACGAATCGGGCCTTCCCGAATATTCGAAACCTGCCAGACGCTTCGCATGGTCAAAAATAGGGGAGAAACTCGTCTGGCAATTGAACTTTTTGAAACTGCCGATATGGGTGCCGCGTTTTAACTGGAATTAAGAACTTTTATGTCAATAATTAATTCAAAATAATAAACGACGGCTATTGTCGCGAAATAGGCACGTCCATAGGCGCTGGACATGGAAATTTGCGTTACCGATCTTTGTTTCTAGTAATTAGTTATTGAAATAACGAATTAATCTACACCACAAAAAAAGAACCAAAATTCAATTACAATTTTCAAATTTTTAAAAAAGTGGAATAAAAATGACCAAACTGAAATGTTAAAATCTTTGAAAAATAAAAGAAATTAAAATATATATATATATAAATTAGTACATTTTTTTAAGAAAGTAAATGTGTATGAAACTATATTCAATGTTCCATATTTAATGGCGTGAAATTTAATTTGCAGCATGGCGTCACAAGTGCGCATAAGTGTACAAATCGATTTTTATTTATTTGGATTTCGATAGAAGGTAATTACTATTTGCCCAGCAGTTCGGAGTAATTTTACGACCATTGGAAAATAATTGGCAAATAATGACAGCTGATGTGCATGCGTTAAGAATATGTTTGAGAACAAAAAAGGCATAACATTTTAAGTAACCAAATCGGATTCCTGTAAAATCATCGGAAAAGTCTTAAAAAATAAAGTCCTAGGTTTGATTTAAAAAAAAACTTAAAAAAATAAAAATAAATTAAAATATCTCAAAACACCTTCACTGTTTTGTATTAAATTTAAAAATTACAGACACAGAAATATACAGGGTGTACTCATGGTGCATCGAGTGTTAATATCCTGAAAATTATTGGCGGCATAAAAAAATAATTATGAAACACGCTATGTATTTCTTTACATTTGGATTATACGTTTCATTTAAAACATATTTTTAATAAGGTTTTTGGAAAATGTGGGCGTTATCGCCTTACTGCTTACGTTAATACAATCAGCGGTTCTAAAATATGATCGATAACTGAAGAAATTTCAAGTTTTTAAGATAGAATGACTTTAATTAACATTAACAACCTCAAATACAATAAATTTCAAGATATTATCAATTCGTTATATTAAGAATCGTTCAATTTCAGCGAAATCCATTTAAATCTGAATGTAACGTCCACAGTTCAGTGAGAATCAGGATTGTCAACGGAAAAAATGCTCAAGAAACTGTAAAAATAAATTTATAAAATCGAATAATAGGAAAAATACAAATAAGCGGCCTAATTTTTTTGATTTTAAAATATTACTGATCACTAGCAAAAACCAGAAAAAAATCATCAACAATCAGTACGCGGAATATTAATATAAAAATTCTACGGACAAAAAAAAAATCGCGACAAATGATTTCGGCGAATATATTGAAACGAATGACCTTTTGACACGCAACCCACGCATTTAGAAAAAAACGACTTACAGAGTTTTTGGTTCTTGGGTTTCTTTTGGTATTTAGAGATGAAAAATAACAACATGTATACTAATATAAATATATAATAAAAATACAAAAAATGAACAATTTTTTTTCACAAATGTTGGTTAGTTAACAATTAGACGCTTCGATTTAAAAATCAATACCGATGTTTGTGTAAACTGTGCGTAAAATGTGAATATGGATTCGATATATTTTTTTCCAAAATATGAATTGATAACGTGGAAAACCGCAGGATACGCATTCAAAAAATATATAAGAAGCCGTCGGTGAAACTGAGTCGAGATCCGTGACAAGAAAAATCGGCGAAATTTTTCACCCGGAAACGACAAAGAAAACTCACCCACGCAAAAAAAAAACACTGGAAGCTCCGTACTCGCGAGCGATGTGACGACACGGCTTTAGGCAGGTAGACGGTATTATCAGATCGGTTTGTGGCACTGCAATGCCAATTACCATCTGAGGCGTTTGCAACTTTCGTTGAAAACTAGTCCCCGTGCCACTGGCTCCTCCACTGCAGTCCAATTGACCAAAAGTCGTAATGATGGTCGTTTGAAGACGCCACAATTTTCTCTTGCAGTAATTATTATCGCTTTTTAATTTCGACGGTCTGGACGGGAACGGTCCAAATCGATTACCTTTCCCGGCCTTGGTAAATGAAAAATTAGGTAAATTGATCGATTAACAATAACGAACTATTTAGTTAAGACGGGTCGTCGCCCAAAATTGTCGGGGTTTTTGCGATTTTAAAACCATGGATCGATTTCGGGTAAGATTAATTACTTTCTGAGAGTTACACGTTTATTTAGATCGCACAGTAAAGTGTAACATTACTTGGGATGGAACTTGATTTTTGTAAATATTTATAATAACTTTAATAAATATTTTGAATATTTGGAAAAAAAATTAAGGTTCATTTATTGGAATTACAAAGTCTCTGTCCTAAACAAATTAGTATTTTACCCATAATGAATTTTTTAGATTCTTATTATTATTGTAGCTTATTGTTTCATTAATATTGTAATATTCGGCTAATGTTGAGTAGCTCAAGATCTTAAGCTAGACTTCTCCGTTTAAGATGTGCAATAATTTAAAATATCTCAATAAAGACTTCCGAAATAGATAAAATAATTTTATGAACTTATATAATAATCAAAATTAAACCCCTTTCTTTTCGACTATTTTTACAAGTATCTGTAGCTTTTTACAGACAGTACGTCTTTTATTTCAGTGTGTATGCTGAAGCATTGCCTATTGAAGTAGGTATACTCGAAGAAAATGCTATTGCTCTTTTCGGGAATAATTATATGTTTCATTCGTAGGTATATTTTGAAATGTCAGGGATTGATTTTATCAAAACCCAGTCAAATTCCCATTGATTTCCTTAATGAAGCTGTTAAAATATGTTTTTTTATAAATTCCAACATATTACATTGCATAATTTGAGATTCTGGTGAGTGAATAACTTTCTATGTCATTTAAGTTCAGAAGAACAGGCGAAACTTCAGCATCTGTAGCAAAAATACGATTTAAGGCTGTAAAAGCGCATGCGCTCTTTTTCGCTGTTTACGCTTTGACATTCGGTATCATATTAACGGTTGGTTTCTAGCGACGCCTACTTGCCGTGCAAACTTTTTTTCTGTTTTCCACGCAAAACCTCTTCGCGTCGACTATTGGGGTCAGGCCGTCCGCTTCATGCGCCTTAATCGGTGGTCGATTGCGCAAAACCTGACTTAAAAAGAAAATGGCGATGCCAGCGCGCTTCACGAAACGTCACGGAAAATTTTCGTCTACGAGATTTATGCGGTCTTTTCCAATGTTAGATTTAAATTTGCAGCGTTGTTTGATGGTGTTTATTCTCTTTAACTGTCAGGAACTTGAACTGAAAAGCAGACGCGACTGACCGAAGCCGGCAACGTTGTCGCGAATGATTCTCTGCTACGTTCAAACCAAAACCGTCACTGTCGCCGGCGATTCTGCGCACTGTCGATGGAACGTTGCTAACGTCAGAGAAGCAGTTTTAAATTAATCGGTTTGTGTGCTTCGGAAAAGTTTAAGTTAAGAAAAAAAAGATCAATTATCGTAATGACATCTTTGCGGAGTGTAAAAACATCTTTTTTTTTTAATGATTTAATTGTACTCGCGCTAATTGACCTATTGCATATTCATTGAACCGTTGGGCAAAATTGAACTGAGGTCGCCGTCGCCATTAATATTAATTGATTCTGATGCGCTCGTTATGGAGGCAATTTGCTCGAATTTTCTTCGATAGTTTTGCATTAAACTTACTCTTCAGCAATTTTTATAAATAGTAAATATGAATAATCGGGGCGCGAAAACACTTTATTTTAATACAGGGCGTTTAAAGAAACGTAGGCCAACAGTCAAAATTAAAAAAAAAGGTTCATTTTGCCGTAGGTTTGAAAATTATTGTTTTAAGATAAGTTAAATCATTTTTGCTCGATTTTGTTGACATTTGGCAACGTCTTTTATAATGTTAACAATTGTGAAGTCCAGTGCCGTCCCGGAAGGAATATTAACTGATAGTGTATACAAATACAAGTGGTAAATGTAAAGATTGTTTAACTCTTGAGTTGTTTTCGTATCTTGCTTCCTTTTTGTGCCAAAAATTAACAATCATGAAAATTATTTTTTTTGGATCCTACACACACACCGCGCTAATTGGAAAATAAGCATTTCCGGGCCATTTTTTTCAAAATGGTGTTGGTTTTAATGAACTTGTTTATTTTTCTTGGATGACGAATCTCCAGCGTTGAGTTTTTTGAAACACCCTATAGAAGCAAATAACCACTCTTGCCTATTAAAACTTGCCAAGACTGGGGGACATTTATTCCGCCCATTTTTCGTTATTTATAAGGTAGTAATAGTACGATAAAAAGCAGCCAATTCTTCTACATGGAAAAACAATTTCTGTCACTTAAACTTGTGGATAGGTGTGGAAAAATCCAAGAACTACTTTTTCAATTATTGTTTAATTTAACTTAATTCCCAACGAACCTTTTGGGGTTTTTATAAACGAATCAGTACACAACATCATCACAGTAGCGACCACCCTTGGGAATCCGTTTTATGAGAGTGGCCACAAACAGAGGTTTTATTGTACCACTATAATAGTCATTAAATTACTTACAAAGATTTGGAATTTTAACGTTTTCAACTTGCCGTAAATAAAACCCGTGTATGGTTTGGCCAAGGCCAGCGATACGCCTTGTTTTTTTTATTTTAAGTTTTATTTTTTAAGGAAAAGTATAAAAATAGTATATCTGACTAAAAGTAAAAGACAACATTATCGACCCCATCATCTCGACTCGTATTGCACTGGTAAAACAACAACCACTACTACAACTACAACTAAAAGAACTTGACGCTACAAGTACGCTTGCAGCACGGGACTCAGCACCTTTTTGTAGAGCAAATACAGCATGCCGACAGCGAAGAGGATTTTGCACACCTTGTCCACCAGCCACATCCTAAAACGGGGATACACGTTAATGACGTCATCGATCAAGCAACTCAGGTTATACCGAATTTTGAGATTTGACGACATATTTTTTGAATGTTCTTTTTTTTAATCAAACCAATGAACAATAATTAAACAGGCGTCGTAAACTACAAGGTGACATAGTTTCATGAACACCTTATATATTCCTCCAGGGACTGTTTTGATGACACACGACATATGATCTCTCGATCTGCTAATATCATTATTAAGACTTAAGTAAAGCGTAAGTAAAATAAAGATACTCCTTAATACAGAAGGTTTTCCAAAGTCTTTAACGAATTTTTACTTAAATTTTCTGTGATATTTGTAAATTGGACACCCTATATCTAACTACTTTTGTTAAGCGTTCCTTATACCGCTTAATACCCTGCTCTCCAAAAACTACTTTTTTGCGACTACTACATTATTTAAATTATTTACATTTAAAAATCTATCAATTTTATTTTATATTCAGGGCTCACTACTCATTTTTTTTTATTGCGAATGGGCGGCTTAGAATATATGTTTTAAAACATGTAGCAGTTTTATTTTAAACTCTACGCACAAAATTCAAACGCCTGCCTGCCTTTGTGTCAAATCTGCCATCCGAAGATGACAACATAACCTATCACAAATGACAAGAAATCCAAAAACTGAGTTAGAACGAAAAATTGATTATTTCGCCTCTGTGGATGCTATTTTAGCACAGTTAAGAAAGACTTTATTAGTGCCTTTTTAATTTTTTTTCCATGAGAGGGGCCTTGAGAGAGCTAATGTTATAACGTCCAATAGACGGCTCTGGCGTAGCATAATTTGCCTGAAATGCATTGAAAAATATTTGTTCTGCCTGCGTCCTAATTTACCGACACCCCGTCAACATTACGCCTCTCGTGGATAGGGGACACTAGTTAGTAAGTCGTTAGAGGGGGTAATAAAATTCATATTATTAAGTAATGAGGTTTAACGAGGTGTAGGACAATTTCAGATATATTTGGCTAACTAGATCCCAGTTTTGAGTATCAAATTTCTGTTTTGAATTTTAAATAGATGTTGATTTATTTATTTTAGCTTTTTATTAGAACTAAATTCAATTGGTCTCTATCTCAAAAACTAGAACTGCTAGTTTTAGAATCAGCACATTCGGTACATCTAAATTCAGTTATTAGATCTCAGGCACGATTTTTTTTTTAATATTTTGTTGGCCTGTTATTTTTTAGTTTACCTCGAAAAGCTGAATTGCGAAAACAGTGGCCAAAACAAAAACAAACAAACATGTTCATTTTCCCTTTTAAATTGTAATGAGTCACTACACTGTCACAGGGTGTTTCTTGAGTATTCTAAAATATTCAAGGAGGCGATTCTTGACAAATTTTTAAGAAAAAATTTCAATGCGCATCCCGTACGGACGCCACTAGAAGCGAAAGTAAAAAAAGCCCTTTGCATGAATACGTGAATACCAAATTTCATGAGGATAGCTTAAGCGGTATTACGAATATAATGGCAACATCTTTTTCTCTCTCTTTCTGTATCTCAAAAGTTAAGACATTTAGGACATAGGTTCATATAAAGTTTTTTTCTTAAAAATGCCCCAAGAATCGCCTCATTGAATATTTTAGATTACTTGAGAAACACCTAAAATTTACCAATTTTTAATTATTTTATATTTTATGGTGGTTCAAAAAAGAATACCTAAATAATAAGAAAAAATAAACTAACCAAATTTACCATTCCGAGTGAGTGAAGAGGTAAGAGTTGGAATGTTTGAATTTAAAAATTAAAATAAAATCAAAATAATACAATTAAAAATAAATTAAAAAAAAATAAAAACATAAATTCTCTCAGGCAAACGAAAAATGTTTATAATAATTATTTCCTTTCATATCAATTTGAAAAATAAAAAGTAACACATTTTTTATAAAAATAAAACAACGAATCTAATAATCTCACCGAGAGAAAAAATGCCAATTAATATAGTGTAATACTTTTATGACGTTGATATTCTGGTTTGACGTCATAAAATATAAAATCGAAATTTTGAGGCCATATTGTGTTTGGCATCTTGGTGTTTTGTTTGTTTTAAGTGATAATTGGCACCGTACGCCGACAAACCAGTTTTTAGTTTTAATTTCATTTTTTATTTTCAATTCATGTGAGAGTGTGTTGTCTGTTATGATGAGCATAAAATGTTCTTAATCGCATGGTTCCTCACACTGTCATATGTCTTCTGGCTGCTGGCAAGGTATCGTCAGTTTCTTTCAGTATGTACAGTCTGGCAGCGTGCACGCACTTGGTGAAATATTCGAAATAGTCTATGCCGTCCCCGTCGCACTTGTACACCAGTCTCTCTTTGGGATTAAGGGTTTCCCTGGTTCTCATCGAGTCCTCGTTATTGAAATCCCACTGGTTGTTCGCGTAGTACTCGAATACCTCGAATCCCTTCCAGATACGCTTCTGCACCCTCATCAAACTAAAAATTGTGATTGAAAATGCTGGTGACCTTATAAAGGGTTCAATGTCGCGCCTCTCCAAATACTCACACTGGTTTATATCCGAGGACTAACAATAAACAGTCAACCAGGACGGCGGGAACCAGGTGGAAGAGGAAAAAGCAGATGTAGTGCACTATTTTCGACCTCTTCATCGATCCTCCTGGGTACCACGCTACTCCGTTGAGTGGGATCCGCGTGTTGATGACCTAAAATGGCAACGCCGCATTATACGAGCTGTCTTGGGGAAAGTTGGCGCAAACGCGTACCCTACGACCGATGTTGATTATTTCCTCCATCGTTATTTTGTATTCGGCCGAGCTGGTGAGGTTGTACACCCATCTGCCGCCTCTGAAAGAGAAAAATTATCCTAAAGAGTTCGAGGGTTTATTTAGTATGTAGTTTTATGTACATAAAACAAGAAAGAAGCAAAGAGGAAGTTGTTGGGATCGAAGGGACTTTCAAAATAAAATTTTTAATTGCTTTATTAATATAGAACCTCCTTAAAAACTCAATATTGCTATCAAAAAAATGAACTTACTTCAACTCAACGTAGTCAAACACACACAGCAACATGGCGTTGACGGTGATGTCGACGGGCACATAATCTGCGTAGCTGTCCTGCTTGCAGTACATGGTCCTTATGACCCCTTTGCCGGCCCCGATGAGGAGCCCCGTAGGACCGTTGATATTGTCCGTCCACCCGGGCAGTGGCTCCTTCCATATGGGTATCACTTGAATCGAAAAAATACACGTACCATGTGTCAGACTTTAAAATTGGGAGGCGCAATACAATGCCTTTTGTTTCTCAAAATTTTTGAGTTTCTGAAGAAAAATGATCACGTTAATGGATTCTTTGTTTCCACCTCTTCGATAAAATTGCGCATAACAGAGCTACAAAATCACCCTGTATCCAGTTAAGCTCTCAAGAAGATAACAGGACGATTAGTGAAACGTCAGTAATCCAAAAGATTTGTAAATAGCATTGCGGTAGCCTCTGGAAATTTATTTAAAAAATTTACACTGTACATTGTTGACTTTTCACAGATATAGCTGCTGAGCATTTTTTTGAGAAATCTATAGGAATTAGCCTACCATAGTAAGTCCAAAATAATACATTTTAACTAACTACCAAATAATTACTTGTTAAAAAAAATCGTTAAAGTCCAAAACCATTAAAGTAAATTTTGCAGTTGACTGGACAACGGTGGCCTTTTATTCGAATATGGCGACTTATTTTTATAATAATTTCAGTAATTACGAATCAAAATAAATTACGACATTAATTTTTTTTGTTTGTTTTTAATTTAAGAAAATCCCAGGTTCATTATCTATGAATCTCTCTAGCATACCTACAGAGGGCCTCAGAATAACTACGGGCAGTCGATCTTTCTCTTCACCCACCAGGGCTTCCCCCAAAGCCTTGGTGAAGGCGTACGTGTTGGGGATGTCGCCCAGAATGCTAAAATCAATTATTGGATGATCGAATTTCGGTGCACATAACCAACTCACGTGGGGGTGATGGTATTAATCACCTCCTCGTCGAGCCATTCTACCGTTTGGATCACTTTGTGGGGATCGGCGGGGGGCGGGTAGGGCTTTTCGTAAAGTATGCGTTCATGCAGGTGGCAATAAGCGGTTGACAAGTGGGCAAAACACTGAAATTAACACCAGAATTATTTAGAGAATGTAGCGTATTGTAATAATTTAGGTGGGACTGAACTCAGCGAAAGTGTTTTCAAAACTTCAAAAATTAGAGATTGATTTCACGCATAGCCTACTACATCTACATCCGGATCTACTCAGACTTTGAATCAAAGATCATCCTCAGCATCTAACAATAACTAAAATCAACAAACCTCCAGTAGTTCAACTGGATCTAACCAATCCTCCAATTACGGTTCAAGTCAACAAAGTTCTGGACCAAATAACTCGAATCAACAAAATAATCAGCAAAGTTCAACCATATTTAATATTTTTTTCCCAAATTGCGTTTTGTAATTATTGTTGAGATACATATTTGGACAGTTAAACATATTCAATGTGTATTTTACAAAAGAATCAAGAATACAATTTTATATGAAATTTTTTTTTTAGAAAAAGCTTTCCTTTCAATCTGCCTATATTTGTTATAATATTGAATTTTAAGTAAGGATTATAAAATTTAAAATAAAAATTTAATAATATAATGCGCTTAATTGATTAACTGTAAATAGATTAATGTATGTTCTGCAAAGTTTGCACGAAACTTAAAATATTTTGCAAAAAAGAGAAATACAATATACAAGAATTTTCTGAGGCATTGAATATTTGAAAATTGTGTATACTTATTACTTGTTTTGCACATTTGTTTGACCAACTAGTCAACGCTGTAAATAGCCGGCGATATTTTATTTGTTCATGCCGGGTAAACTTACCAGCAATTTTTTACATTCCTTGGCCAGGTCCAGCATGTATTTGGTGCCTCGGGCGTTCAAAAACACCGCCTTGCTCAATGTCTCGTCGAATCTGATCGTCGCAGCGCAATGGAAGATAAATTCCACTTCCTCAGCCAGCATTTCTCTGTCTTCCTTGCAGATCCCCAAGTTGGGGAGCATCACGTCCCCTACTACGGGCGATACCTTGTTGATGATGTCCTCGCCGCGTTGTTCCTTGACCATGTCGTACAACTGGATAGAAATTATTATTACTATTTACCGGAGCTACTCAGAAACGTGTCAGAAAGAAGAGAATAAATATAGAATAAACATAAAGAGAGTTTTCGGCGTAGACTATAAATTAGTATTGAACAGAATGAACGGCATTTGACAGGTCCAAATTTCAGAAAGCCACGGCCATTTTATAACCGAAAAACCTGGCAAAAGCATTATTTATCTTTTGATAGTGTGAACATTTTTTGCTAAATAAAAATAAAATCTTAATTCTTCCCGAATTCTCCTTTAGATATCTTTCGTGACTGCTTCGCAAATTCGATAGAAAGTCGATATCCTGTGTTATGACTCAATGACTTCTGAGCCTGAGGCTTCGTTTAAAGGGATATAGAAACAAGTTATTTTGTGTTTCCAAAGTATCATAAAATCAAATCAATCAAATGATGAAGTTAAGAATTTTATTATTTTTAATTATTCATGTTTTTTGTAGGTTTGCCGGCTGACTGTATCAGAGCATATTGGCCAGAAATGTCGATGTGTGCACAATATTTTGAAGAAAAGTACATATCTAAACGCGCTCTTAACCGAGCCGTTCCTACTATTTTTCCCATGTAGGAAGAAAAAAAAAGTGAGTGTTTTTAGCAACAGGTATACTCTCTATATATTTTTTTTCTATTTGAAATATGTAAATATACAAGCCGGCATTTGCTTTATTTAAGTTGCATTGAATTTATACCACCTTGATATTCACTGATATATTAAAAATGAAAAAATACAGACTTTTGTAATATGAACTTTATATCCTAGTTCTTGTTTTTTTTAGCCCATCAGCATGGAAATAGACACATCCTTATATTCGGCTATTGCTCCTGTTCCTCCCTTACAGTTACTAATATAATTCAAAGCCAGTTATTGCAATGTAAATACATATGGCTGATTACGAATGCCAAGTGAACAATTTATAAATCATTGTCTCAAAGTTTTATGAAATCTTCATTTTTCATTTCATTCTTGAAATTTTCATTTTTTTTCCTAGATTTTAAAATTATTTATTAAGCTAATAATTTTTAATTCAATTAAATAGGCAAACAGAGATTGAAAGCAAAAAAAAAAACTGTTTCACGTGCAATTTTTTGTTTTATTTCTCATGATATCTATATTTCTGAATATTGTTTTCTGTTGACTTGCATTCGGCATTTAATTGTTTTAATTAATTATTGTGTATACAATACGGTGGGTCAAAAACGATTTTTTTTTGGATTGGACACACAAAAACTAGTTGCTAGTTACACCAGAAAACACCTACCACGTATGAACTTTTAATTTTAATGGGAAGATTATCCTCATTACAGTTTTCAATTTTTGATTTAGTATCATATACAAATAATCATATCTTATCATCAATAGATCATTACGCCAATTTTACTAATGAATTTTATAGAAAATTGAACGCTCTACACAAATGGTCTCTTATACTTTTTCGGTAAATAGAACCATTTCAAAGATATTAGGAGTCAAAGATTGAAGAATTTAATGAAAAAATACTTTTTGTTCTGAATTTTGTTATTGACTTAAAATTAATAATCATGAAATATTCTCAATTATTCTTATAAGAAATTTAATGTAGGTACTTATATTCATAGTTTTTAATAAATATTTTCAATATATTCATTGAATTAGGAAATTTTCAGATTATTTATTATCCATTGAACTGAGGTGGCTTTTACTTGATGAAAATCCATTTATCAAAATAAATAAGAACTAGAAGTTCAGATTTTCACGAAATTATATATTTTGACATGACAATTGTTTCGACAACACCGTGTCTTTATCATGTCATGTCATAATATATAATTTCGTGAAATGGCGGCGTAAATATTGCACAAGAGACATTTCCATGGTTTTGTTGATTGTTATTTGCTTGTTTACACGGTAAAATTTCTAAAGTTTTCTTTCAAGACCATATACTATTTTAGAGCAAATGGAATCTATTCTTCAAATGAAAAATTATACTCCCTTAAATCAAAATAAACGGAAATTTATATTATTTTCTTCTAAGATATTTTTTTTCTTAAACATATGTACAGGGTGTCCCAAAAGTTAACGATAATACTGAAAAGACTGACGGAAAAAGTCATAAGCATCAAGAAAAACATAAAGTGGCCTTAGTAAAAAATAGATGGTTTTCGATATTACCACTTTAATTGAATTCATTAAAATTGTAACTTGTATCAGATTTTCCTAAAAAAAAATAACTCTTTACATTCTTAGGTATTTCAGTTTAAAACCGCGGATATTTCATTGATCAAAGATCAACGTTAAAGTAAAAGTTCAAGAGAAAAATTCAAATAATCATACTTCACTTTAAAATAGATTTCTTATAAGGTTTTTAAACTTCTGCCTTAACGTTGGTCTTTGATCATTAAAATATCCGCGGTTGTAATACGGAAAAGAAGTGAAAAATGAAAAGAAATAATTTTTTTTAGGTGTGACACTCGAAAATCTGATCCATGTTTACGATTTCAATAAATTTTATTAAAGTGACAATATCGCGAAAACCATCGATTTTTTACTAAGGCCATTTTATGTTTTTCTTGATGCTTATGACTTTTTCCATCAGCCCTTTCAGTATTATCGTTGACTTTGGGGACGCCCTGTACGTATCAAAGTATTACAAATTTGTTTTCTAGAAATTGAGAACTGTCAATGACTTGTATGAAGCCAATTCGTTTTGTTAAAAAATGAATTGTTTCGAAACAAAACAATTAAAGAAGAAAAATAAAGTCCCATTACAAGGTGAAACACTGCGTTAAACTAAAAAGAAATGTTTCACTTCAAGACAAATTGTTTTAAGGCAAAACAAAATGTTCAAGAAAAAAAAAGAGTTTTCTGTGTAGGCAAAAATTTTTACCGTGTATGTTCTTCGCTACAAGCAGGTTTCTTGATATTAACATATCAAAACGAAGCAGCGCCAAAAATTCGAAAATAGTCGAAAACTAAAAGGGAATAACATAGAAAAGAACTGACGAGAGTGAAAACAACACAAAACTAAAGGAGAACAGTTGGAAGATTAAAACGCCAGTCACTTCTGAAATAAAACAACGTATCAAATAAAAAAAATAAAAATTGATAACGGAAAATTTCTAGTTCTGCCAAAAAATAGAAAAGTAATTGAAAATTATTTGGGAGATATAAACTAATTTTGAACAGAAATATATAGCAAAAAAATTTGGAATAAAAGAATGTAAGCACGGAACGATGAGGAAAGCGGCCGAAACCACAGAATACAAAAGCCAAACAAGGATCGACACCACTATTGTCGCTTGTTACACTGAAAACTAAAACTATTTGTATACTAGGGCGGGTCAAAAAAATGTTTTTTTTTGGATTTGACACACAAAAACTAGTTGCTAGTTACCTCTAGAAAGTACGTACCGCGTATGAGCTCTTATTATTAATGGGAAGACGTCACTGTCTCCCCGTCCAAAAAAATGTCGTCAGGTCAAATCAAACATCAAAACGATGCCGATTTGCTTTTTCGATATCAACGGCGTAGTTCATGCAGAGTTCGTTCCACCAGGTGAGACAGTTAATCAAGCTTTTTATCTGGAAGTTTTAAGAAGACTGCGCAACAGTATTCGACAAAAAAGACCCGATTTGTGGCGGACAGGGGACTGGTTCTTCCACCACGATAATGCCATTTCTGTTAAGCAGTTTTTGGCTAAAAATGGCATGGTTCCTCTGCCCCATGCACCTTACTCGCCTGATCTCGCTCCGTGTGACTTCTTCTTATTTCCACGTATGAAAAGAAACGTGACAACATTGAAGAGGTCAAGGAAAAAAACGAGGGATGAGCTGTCGGCCATAGCCAAAGATGAATATAAAAAATGTTTCGAACAGTGGAAGCACCGCTAGGACAAATGTATTAGTTGTAATGGAGAGTATTTTGAAGGGGAAAAATGATTCCGTTTTTTTTTTTGGTACCCTTTCGTAGTTGTCGTTTTATCAATGATACTGTTCGACTCGATATAAAAAGAAGGTAGTCGAAACTAAAAACTCGAGATGGTATAAATTCTAGGGTTAAAATTGTTTCGACAACACCGTGTCTTTATCATGTCATGTCATAATATATAATTTCGTGAAAATCTGAACTTCTAGTTCTTATTTATTTTGATTTTTATTTATCATCCATTTAAAAAAAGGGTTCTTTATATCAATCAATCGATCATTAATAGAAAAAGAATTCTGTTTCGTCATATGAAATGTTATACCTGAATACAGTGTTAACAGAAAAATATAGATCTTTTAGCAGCAAGTATTGAAACTGCTCTTCGTTTTGCGTCAAACACGGATTGTATACAACCCTATTCCACGCTCCTCTGCGTCATTCACTCTCATCTGAAGCCCACAATGCAATGTCGACATTAAGAAAATTTCAATGATTTTTGAGAAACTAAGTCACTCAAATCCTGTTCAATACTCGAATTGGTCTTCTTTTGATCGATCTCAAAATTTTAACCCTAGAATTTATACCATCTCGAGTTTTTAGTTTCGACTACCTTCTTTTTATATCGAGTCGAACAGTATCATTGATAAAACGACAACTACGAAAGGGTACCCAAAAAAAAACGGAATCATTTTTCCCCTTCAAAATACTCTCCATTGCAACTAATACATTTGTCCTAGCGGTGCTTCCACTGTTCGAAACATTTTTTATATTCATCTTTGGCTATAGCCGACAGCTCATCCCTCGTTTTTTTCCTTGACCTCTTCAATGTTGTCACGTTTCTTTTCATACGTGGAAATAAGAAGAAGTCACACGGAGCGAGATCAGGCGAGTAAGGTGCATGGGGCAGAGGAACCATGCCATTTTTAGCCAAAAACTGCTTAACAGAAATGGCATTATCGTGGTGGAAGAACCAGTCCCCTGTCCGCCACAAATCGGGTCTTTTTTGTCGAATACTGTTGCGCAATCTTAACGGTCTCACCTGGTGGAACGAACTCTGCATGAACTACGCCGTTGATATCGAAAAAGCAAATCGGCATCGTTTTGATGTTTGATTTGACCTGACGACATTTTTTTGGACGGGGAGACAGTGACGTCTTCCCATTAATAATAAGAGCTCATACGCGGTACGTACTTTCTAGAGGTAACTAGCAACTAGTTTTTGTGTGTCAAATCCAAAAAAAAACATTTTTTTGACCCGCCCTAGTATACAAATAGTTTTAGTTTTCAGTGTAACAAGCGACAATAGTGGTGTCGATCCTTGTTTGGCTTCTGTATTCTGTGGTTTCGGCCGCTTTCCTCATCGTTCCGTGCTTACATTCTTTTATTCCAAATTTTTTTGCTATATATTTCTGTTCAAAATTAGTTTATATCTCCCAAATAATTTTCAATTACTTTTCTATTTTTTGGCAGAACTAGAAATTTTCCGTTATCAATTTTTATTTTTTTTATTTGATACGTTGTTTTATTTCAGAAGTGACTGGCGTGTTAATCTTCCAACTGTTCTCCTTTAGTTTTGTGTTGTTTTCACTCTCGTCAGTTCTTTTCTATGTTATTCCCTTTTAGTTTTCGACTATTTTCGAATTTTTGGCGCTGCTTCGTTTTGATATGTTAATATCAAGAAACCTGTTTGTAGCGAAGAACATACACGGTAAAAATTTTTGCCTACACAGAAAACTCTTTTTTTTTCTTGAACATTTTGTTTTGCCTTAAAACAATTTGTCTTGAAGTGAAATATTTCTTTTTAGTTTAACGCAGTGTTTCACCTTGTAATGGGACTTTATTTTTCTTCTTTAATTGTTTTGTTTCGAAACAATTCATTTTTTAACAAAACGAATTGGCTTCATACAAGTCATTGACAGTTCTCAATTTCTAGAAAACAAATTTGTAATACTTTGATACATACAGGGCGTCCCCAAAGTCAACGATAATACTGAAAGGGCTGATGGAAAAAGTCATAACCATCAAGAAAAACATAAAATGGCCTTAGTAAAAAATCGATGGTTTTCGCGATATTGTCACTTTAATAAAATTTATTGAAATCGTAAACATGGATCAGATTTTCGAGTGTCACACCTAAAAAAAATTATTTCTTTTCATTTTTCACTTCTTTTCAGTATTACAACCGCGGATATTTTAATGATCAAAGACCAACGTTAAGGCAGAAGTTTAAAAACCTTATAAGAAATCTATTTTAAAGTGAAGTATGATTATTTGAATTTTTCTCTTGAACTTTTACTTTAACGTTGATCTTTGATCAATGAAATATCCGCGGTTTTAAACTGAAATACCTAAGAATGTAAAGAGTTATTTTTTTTTAGGAAAATCTGATACAAGTTACAATTTTAATGAATTCAATTAAAGTGGTAATATCGAAAACCATCTATTTTTTACTAAGGCCACTTTATGTTTTTCTTGATGCTTATGACTTTTTCCGTCAGTCTTTTCAGTATTATCGTTAACTTTTGGGACACCCTGTACATATGCTTAAGAAAAAAAATATCTTAGAAGAAAATAATATAAATTTCCGTTTATTTTGATTTAAGGGAGTATAATTTTTCATTTGAAGAATAGATTCCATTTGCTCTAAAATAGTATATGGTCTTGAAAGAAAACTTTAGAAATTTTACCGTGTAAACAAGCAAATAACAATCAACAAAACCATGGAAATGTCTCTTGTGCAATATTTACGCCGCCATTTCTTGCGTGACACAAACTTTTCAGAGTCGTAAACTGCAAATTTACAAATACTCAATTACTGACTACGCAACTGCCACACAACACCGATCAGGGAATTGCACTGATGCAACGCGTCAAACTTTACGACCCATCCGATTGTCTTTTTTTTTTTTTCGCTGGCGCTGGAAATCGATTTTGTAGTCACGCGGTAGTATCCCGATCGATTAATAATTAATTATGCCGACCGAACAATTATCGTTATTACTCAAGAAAGTGTACTTTGTCATTGAAAAAGGCCCCTTTCACAATCTATTGGACACCCGCGTCGCACTTGTTCGAAACGGCGGCACAATTCGGTGCTAATTGATTTATTAACATTGGCAATCGATCGAAGACTATGTGTAAGTAAGCAATTTCGATATGTAGGTACATTTAATTAAAATTTAACCATTTTATTAAATTTTGGTTAGCACAGAAGAAATTGAAAGAATATTCTTTAAAAAACAGGAGAAAAAGGACATTGACACGAAAATAAAACACAATAAATTTTGTAAAAGAGAGAAACAAATTTAGTACAAAAATGCAAATTTTATTTTTTTGATGGTTTTATGAAACTGAGTGAATTAAAATTTTAGTACCAATGTACACATATATTTTTCATTTTGTTTTAAACCCGCTTTCCATAGTTTCAGCTTCTACATCGGTGTCATACGAGGTGTACGAAAAATACTACAGAAGAGCGAATTTTAGAGTATCTTTAAATTGTCGTTCCCTCGATCTAAACTTGTGCTTTTTTTTGTAATTGAATATCTTAATATTTTGATTAGTCTCTTTGAAAGCTTGGAAAAAATGTCTTCCTAATATATTTACTTCAAGTATATTCAAGTATTTGTAATTATAATCGTAATGTCTTAAGTCCTTGTATTGGGTGGGGTAGATTTTAGGTTTTACTTAAAATTTTAGTTTTTTTTACTGTAACTCAACTCGATTACTTTTTGTTAGATGCGGAAATAAATAAAACGTGTGCGCTTCACGTTGCGCACGCACAGTTTGATTTTGACGAGCAATTGACTTTATTATCCAATAAATTATATAATTTTTGTAAAAAACTATATTTTCCATGGCGTACCCATTAAAAAAATTAAAAATTAAAAACCCTATCCAGACCAGTTTTCAATTTTTCAGTAAGTTAAAATATAAAATAGCCTTTGCGCAAGACGCTTTGTACATGGAGAATAGTAAAACCTACCGGGCTTGCGAACATATCCTTAAGGCGGTCGTTTGGGTGTTTCCATTTCTTAGTCCTGATCAGGATGTATATTTTGTTCACCTGACTGCAGGAACGCAGCAGTTTCTCGATTAGTACTTTGCCGACAAAGCCCGTACCACCGGTGATGAAGATCGTCTTATCCTTGTACATTTCCGCAACGCGGTCGGGGTAGTCGTCGACGTTGTCCGCCATTTTGATGCCCATCTGAAAAAAAAATGTCTTGGCTATTAGGGTAATCGCACCAAACGTTTAAAACTCGTATTTGGTGCGGTGCCGAGCGTGTTGGCCAATACTTGCGCTTTCTCTCATTAAGTTTTGCTTAATTAAAGCGAACATTTCGTCCGTGTGACGTCGAAATTATGAGATTTTTGGAAAAACCTGCAAAATCGTAGCGGTGCCCACATTCGCCTGTCTCCAGTCTTCGGTTTAAGGGTTTAAAGAAAAACAAAAGATTTCTTTTTCGAAATCGTCCTAGTCAAAAATACAGTGCTACTCAAAAAGTTACGGTTAATTAAATCAAGGAAGGACACTGTTGCGACGCCCTCAGAGGTTAAACAAAAAACTAAGTTAATATTTCATTTTCTCATCATAAGTACCTGAAAATTTGTCTAATTGCCAGTTTACTGTACAAAAATATAATAAAAAAACAATAAAATATTTCTTTTGGACAACCTGTACCGCAAAAATCAACCCGTTGAAGCTGCATGTTCATATGAACATTTTATCTTAAAGTTAGTCAAAGATTCACTCTTTAAAGTTAGTGAAAGTACTTAATTAATATGCAGTAGAAAAACTTATTGAATATAGTTAGTATAGTCGTTAGTATAGTTCTGTACAAATGGTTTTCATCTTGCATTGTATATTTTCAACTGCTAGCAGATATAACAGTTACTTCTTTAGCTTCCTCACGCAACCGAGATCAAAGGTCATTACATTTCTTCAAATTTAACAAAGAAATATCATGCAGAATATCAAAACGGGTTTTCTGGGTGCGTACGTGCCAAAAATCATGTAGTACCATCGACCCGTGAAGCAATGGGCATGTCCTTGTTTTTTTTTCAAGAAATTACGAAAATCGCTCTTGGCTCCAATTTAAAAAAGCTGGTAGAAATTTGAAAAAAAACAAGCTAAAGAAATCTAAAATTCTAATAACCAGTTTTCTTTATTTTTTCCTAAATTTTAACCCACACGGAAAGAAATGAGTGACTTCCATAAAATTGAAACGCTCAGTTACTTAAAAATGAAAAGAAACTGCCTTAACGAAAAAGTCAATTAATCAAAATTAATTAATCGTTAAAATCTGTTTCTATTATTTTGACATCGTTTCCGACCAAAAAGATACTAGTCTCTTAAGGTTTTATGCCAAGCATGATTTTTATAATAATTATAATCCCAGATATGTATCAGAAAAGAAGAGTAAGAAAAGCACAATTATACGAGTCAAAGATGACACTGACAATTTAAAAGCTTGTGCGGTTGGTGGGGGAGTATCATCCCCTGTACGTTACTTACTCTGTTAAACACAGCCGGAAAGAAAAACGCCACACCAAAACCCCGGTACTACCTCGAAGCTCGGTTCAGTGTTGACTCGCGGCCGGGTCTCGGGTCAGTCGCCGCGTAGCAGAAGATGGACCTCCAGAAAGCGACGACGAAGGCAAAAAAATCACCAGCAACGTCAGACCAGTTTCCCAGTACGATTCATGTTTTCGATTGCGTAGACTCGGTACGTGGTACGACCGTCGAGACTTGGACACGCGGGCACTACCAGCTTTGTGGAATTACTTTCGGTCTTGTCCGTTCAGGTGGGGGATTACCGACGGCGGCCTACTATGCTTGGTTAAGATACGACGTGCAACATTCCGACAAACGATGTCCAGAACTATGAACTTTTTTTGAACAAGTAAATTAATTATTTTTAATTAAAAAACGACAAAGCATGATATGAAAAAATGTTAAAAAAATATATTTAGAAATGGTGGTTAACGACCCCTTGGGCGCTTATTGAATAAAAAACAAGACTTAATTATCTTTTTTTTATTTTTTGATATTTTAAACAGAAACATTAAAAAGTGGTTACATTTTATGGAATTCATCAAAACATTTGTCGTGAAGTGGAATTTGACAAGTTTGATTTTACATAAAAAGCACCTTCTTCTTGGCTGTTGACAAACTATCAAGTGGTGTCCTTCCGAAGTGGTACAATATATAGAAGATCTCTTTGGCCCAGGCTTTTCGGTTTTACTCCTTATTTCTTTAAAATATACTGGGAAATTCTCTTCGAAAATGAAGATTAACTTATTAATAACCGTATGCGCGGGCTAGTTGACGCACAAATCAATCATCCAATACAGTATGGGGGTATATCATATCACTTTTTGCCCCTCAATTCGGTAGTTGGATATATTATAATCTATTTCATACACCCCCCCACCCCCATGAACGTGTTATACATTTTTATTGCACAGGGTTGGGGAACATTAACTTTCATTTTTTCTTGAACCGAAAACCTTTAAAGGCTCAATGCATTTGACAAAACACTGACAACGCTGTTGTCCTTCCATTTTATTCCCACGATACTATTGTCCTTAATTCCCCTTTTTTCCTTTTTCATTATCTTTGAGTCATTTAATTTACATTTCATCGTTCTACTTTCTCTCACTGTCCCTGTTGCCCCCAAAATCTATCTGAGTAAGTTTGTATATCATTTTAGCAGAGGTAAAAAAATTGTTCAAGTATAGTGAACAGCGCAAACCAGAATATTCTCTTTGCAGAACCTCAGCAAAGTTTAGTACAACAGATTCCCCAAGACCTTGGCTTTCACTGGCGATTTCTTTGTTTTTCCGTCCGTCGTTTGGTACTCATAACCCAAGCTTTGTATCCGAATCGGCTTGCCGCGTATAAATTGCTTGCAGCCATGTTTTCCATAGTAAGGAACCATCGACTCGTCTATTGAAATATTTGACTGCAAGGGTGCATATTGTATAAATTTTTTGTTCAAAGTGTCAATAATTTTGTCTCCTTGAGGTAAGGCGTTGTTATCAGCAGCATGAAAGAATCTACATGTTTCCGATTAAAGTTGAAAAAATTCGACAGGGTGACTATCTTTAGATAATGTTAATGGTGGTACCAGAGTACCACTCCGAGAGACATTTGCCCTATTCAAATCACCCGTCTCCTATTGAAATTTTATTTCGGGTTTACTCTTTTGCTTGCAATCGGATGTATGACCATAAACCATTGTTGTGGCAAGTGATAAAGTCTTTTAGATTCTTTAACCACTTTTATCCACTAAAACCGCTTCTTATACCAATGGTAAAGCGACGACTTGGTGGCGGTCATCGATGGCCTGGCATACGGTATAGTCGGCCCGCTAGGAGTTGGTACTCTGCGGAAGAAAATTTCGATTTCTCCGCCCAGACGTACGCGGTCTCAAAACTTACTACCGCTGGCAATGGGCCACTTTCCTTCTTAACCAATCGGAGGCACATACGCTGACCTACGAAAATACGGGCAACTATTGTTGATCCATTTTTAAGATACTAATTTGGCTACCTATGTTCTGAGCCAACAGCCTGAATATGCGCAGATCGTTGAGAAACTTGAGATAGGGCAAAAGATAGATTGATTGATTACACTTTCAATTATCCTAAGATTATAAATTCTTAAGTACAAGTCAATTCTATCATTATATATTTCCCAGTAGTTTCTTTAGAAATATTTCCTGATTTATATACTCATTGTTAATTAGGTACCTTTCCTAGTCTTCGTAAATTTATTTAATAACATTTTCTCGTGTAAATTGTTGTCAACTAATTTTCTTAATATGCATTAGGCTTAGCTGTATTCCTGATCCGTTAATTTTATTGCAAAAAACCGTTCTTTAGGAGGACTTGTTCGAAAACTGACTATCCTATGCGCCTGGAAGAGGAAAGCTGCAAGTTGTGTAGACGACAACGAAAAAAAATCTACTGTTACGAAATTTTGTACGGGCAGTGTATTTCGGGTTTATGTAGCACACGTTTGTTATATAACGGCTTGCGACATTCGTTTCGCTTATAAATGAGATAGATATGTTTAATAAGGTCCTGCAGATAACGTTGAATTTTCCCGAATTTTTTCGAAAAATCTGAAGAAAATTATTTTGGGAAACACAGAAAGGCGAAAAAATAATCGCACCGAGTTGTAACAGAGTAACTTAGATGTTTATGATAAGATATAATTTTTATATTCTATATCTTGGAAAACTTGTTATTTACTCTTTATTGCGCTCTAGATTTTGGTTAGTTTGGTCATTATTGTTATTAATTACTACTAATTATGTATTTCGGTAAACTTTGGTACTTTTTTAATGGAATCCTTGCATAATTTGTTTTACAAGGTATTCTGGAATATCCACTTAGAATGTACATTTAATTTTATATGTATATTTTAGTTTTAATGCTTCAGCCAAATTTCGAATGTTATCAGTGGAATGTTTAATTTAAATATTACATGGTTTCAGTTTAATTAAGAAACATTAACATAAACAAGCGCTTATCGAAAACTTAAAATATTCTATTTATTTTATGGCTTTTAAAATTACTGCTACGTGATTTGGCAAAAATTCAATATAGTGAAACTTGTCCGTCTTGTAAATTGCCGCCATACGCCTTCTCGGTGCCGTTTTAAGTTTAATTAAGACAAAGCGTTCTGTGTGACGATATGGTTTCATTATTGTTTTGCCGACTTAGTTTTACTTTCAAGCTTGTATCTTGCACAGGCTGCGCTGCTTTTTTTTTAAATTTATAACTGAGAACCAGAATACGTCAAACCAACGTCACAAGAGTCAAATCTTATTAATGAGGAGTAAAATTTAAACAAGCTGTTTGCTTAGGAGAAAAATGACGCATACCTAAACGCAGGTAATTCATTAAAAAAATTAAATGCGCTATAATTGATGATGAATTCAAATTAACTACATTTCACTGGAACTGTTGAGGGAAATCGCGAGTAGCAAAGTGCAATGTGCCTATAACTTCCGTCAATTAATATTATACCTGCACGTGCCCTATTCGAAAACGAGTGTTAAAAAAATTACACGTTAATCATAATTTTAATCCGTTCTTTTGCGCGATTCAGGAATGCTGTCCCCACGCGACGAGTCCACGTCAAACTTATTTGACGTCAACGCGAGTTTTATTATGACCGACACGCTCGTGCGTGACCTCACAGGCAAGCGTGAACAGTTTCGCAAAAATTTACCGGTCTGGTGCTGCATAGGTTTTCTGTTTTAAAGCGAAACAGTTCAATCCGTATTTTCCTCAAAAAAGAGGTTTGTTTTTGTATTAAAACACTTCACTTCGCTTAACCATTTCAAGTTGGAATATGAATGACGTCACGATTCCACAACAAACTTTTTTAACACCCGTAACTAAATTATGGTTGGCTGCCCTGTCTAATTTTCAATCTAGTCGCCTTTGCGCCAATGATTATTAAGTAATAACTCGACAGTTTTTGTCGTTTTTCTCATTTCGAATAAGTAAACGCGCTGAACGGGGGTTGTGTGTGTGGCTATGGGGTGCTGCAGTGAAAATTCATCGCCACAGAGCGAAGCAAATGCTTTGGGATCGAACGCGGTGAGTACTTACTACGCGCCACATTGTGAAAATGATAATTATCACGTAATCGTCCAGCTGCAAGGTGTATGCAGTTTATAATACCGCCACTTTGTCAATTTTGCTTTCAATTTACGAATTATATCTAGGCACGAACGATTTCCCAACTATCGTTGCGAATCAGTGCGTAGGTAATATAAGTACGTAACTAGCTTAGAACGGCTCGAATTACAATAATTTGCTTTGTTGTCTTTCTAACAATAGACATTTAAGACCGCTTTTGTCATTAGTATCCGTTTTATTGTCGATTAAGAACAAATAATGTCATGAAATTTTAGATAATGAAAATCGAAATTTGATGGCGTAAACACCACACCTATCGTCAGGCAACGGTACTAAATCGCGCCAGATTTCGTTTGTCACGAATAGATGGCGCGGTCCCCCGAGTGATAACGGCAATTTTAATCAAAAAGCTGTTGGCTGCACTGTAGCTGTGATCCGCGCAACTTCCTAGCCGCCTTTGCCTGGTTGACGTTTGTTGACAAGTCTTTTCCATAATATAATTTTAAGTGGCAGTTGCGACGTGTTTGGAAATACAGTGTGGCACGGTAAGGCTTTTGCGTCAGAGGGCATTAAAAGCAATCGTCTTCGTACTGAATGCTGTAAGGATGCTCGCTCCAATGCGATAAACTTAAACAATTTTACTAACGTTTTACTACAACGCGTATGCAATTCATAATACCGCGCCTTTTGGAACATGTGTTCCAAAGGAACAACGAATTAGTAGTGATTATGTCGTTATAAATTTATATTTATCTCGGGCTGGTATTTATGGAATTAAAAAAGAATAGAATTCCCGTATTACAATGCGATGTTTTTTTCTTTAGTATAATTATAGTTTTACATCGGGTTTTGTTAAAACGCTTTAATAAAGTATCGAATCTGTGGAAACGGCCATCTCTTTTTAGAAGCGGCACTGAAAATAGCGTGGAACGGGCGTTTATTTTAAAGAAATCGATATTGTTTTAAGGTTTAAAGAGAGGTTCTGTGTTATGCGGTGCCGAGGGATGGCGCTGCGATACGCATCCCACCGCCTCGATCCGATTTCGAATGTGTAAATACGGATGAAGCGCCTGGCAAAATTCGTGCCTTAAACTAAATGAGTAAGGAAAATATACGAGCCTTGGTGACGCTTGGCTTACATGCTGGCGTGAACTAGCTTTAAATTTTTGTTAGGGTACAGGTCGTCCCGTGAGTTGCCCGCATACTTTTCGCGGGTGATTTTGGTGAAGCGATCTACCCTCAAATGCTTAATTAATATAAGACTCATAAGAGGGAGGTCGACGTAGCGAATTTCTAAGTCAAGGGTGTTTTTCTTAAAATGGGTTGTAACAGTTTAGCGACTGGACTATATTTTCATATTATTTTCAGATTTTCATACAAATAATCTTTCGGATTTTAACGAAATTTGAGTTTCTTTTAGAATAATTTATATTTGGTTATTTAAATTTGTTTTCATGGCAATACTGCAATGAAAATGTAATGTTTTTACTACTTACCAATAGTATAGGTAAGTATACTACCTCACGCCAATAAGTGTCTGAAAGTATTCTGTATTCAAAATATCACTTTCGTTTAATTCTTGAAAATGGACTCGACTACAAATTTGAGGTCTTAAACAGTTTCTCAAGATTCTTCGATGCTCATTTTTGGAGTGTCTATTCCTAGAATACTTTCTAGTTCAGTTTTATTCTGATGACGTTTCGACATTAAATCTGACCAAATTTATTGTCATAATCGGTAGGTTTAAAATGCTTTCCGCTGCAGCTAAAAGCTGCTAAAATCAGTTCTTTCTCAAATGATTATCAATTGGGAAAATTAAAATAATGATTATGAATTGTTTATGGAGAACAAACTACAAGGTAACAGACCGATGGACGAATATATTTTTTAATTAGAAATATGCTAAATTATGTGATATTTTCTTTTAATTTTAGATCCAATAATTGCATTCGTTTTACAGGATATAAAAAGTTTCAGCTGATGTTTCATGGCCAAGTGTGGTTAAAAAACCGTAACCTCATTTGGAACAAATAATTTTAATTGGTACTCTAAAATTTATTTAGAAATACATCTGGAAATGCTAAGAGGAGCTTGAGAGTGGCGTTTGCATCCTTTTTCTAGTGTCAAACAACTATCATCAAGTTCAAGATTAAAAATACAATTTTGTCAAGTAAATAACTGGATTAGTGACGCATGTGGGATTAGTCTGAATTTTTGCAGATATACGCGTGTAATTTTTGCCGATAAATTTAATCTCGGAGGATTAACGTGTTTATGGGCCCTTCTAGTCCGTTTTTTAATCCAGGCTGCGTTGCTCGGCTGCAATAGTTTTGAATTAATACGTAAAGTCTACCAAACGATATACGGTTTTTACAACCTTTTATGGTCGTTTTTACTGTTATTCAATTGCCATTTTTATTGAGGTACCATATACATTTTATTACGATTTATTTATTTATTAAGAAGTTGAGTTTGTGGTCGATGTCGCCGGTTGCTGCCAAAATTATAATTTTTTATGTGTTTCTGTTTCTGAAATCGACATGTGGGGAGAACTGATATGAAGACAGCTGAAACCCAGTTTGGGAAGAAACAACACCTCGCCGAAATTTATAGGGCAATAGAATTAATTAGAATTGAAGTAGAAAAAACATCTGCTTCTGGCTGGAAAAAATGCGTAGGATATGTTCACGTTTTATAGCTAAATTTACTCGTTCATTTATATTTATAATAAACATTTTAAAGTGGGAGTGGATTTTCACTGCATCGACTAATAATAATCGAGGAATCTCACCGATGAAACTCTACACAAATCTAAAGTTAAATACCGGATTATGCGTAACGATGATATATCGCTTGGAGAACTTTAACAATCGGGATATAGCTCGTAGATGTGATGATTTACTTACCTTAATATTATTTCTAGTTTTTATACATTTACGAAAGTTCGACTGCCTTTCAAGTTTTGAGGAAATTTCCCTATAGAATGTATTGTAAGTGAAACTATTTTCTTTTTAGTGAAAATACCGGATTATGTAGTAAAAACGGTATATCGTTAGGTTACCTCTACCGATATACGTTTCTAGGAAGCTAAACTCGGTAATTTTTATTATTTACCTTTCGCGGAGTAGATGAGATCAGACTCACGTTCGCGTCCAAAAAGGATGCGCCCGATGGCAATAATTTTGGACAGACGTACGAGCGTCGGTTTCGACCCCACTCCATCAACCCTGCTACCGGTTTCTACGACATTATTATCGTTTGTTTCAACATTCAGAAAAAAAGAAAAACGTTTCGTGATGTGTATAGTAATTTCACTTTTGTAAGATTGCGCGCGTTACGTCAATATAATAATATTTTGGTCGCACTCTGGTAATCGTTATAAACAATAAGCGACGCTGACGGTGTCGTCATCGCAATACTAGAGAAAACGACTTCCTGTTGCGGCGATATTGGCGCTATTTTTAATTTTTTATGAATGCGGTTTTGAATTTCGTTCTTACGGCGTTTTGAGCAATCGACCGCGGTATTGCTGACCAGTCGGTATTGTCGGACTTTTTAAGTTTTAATAATATGAAGATTAAAAAATGTTTATATCATGTTTATTTAAGTATTATAAAATAACACTAGTACTTGTGCAAAATACGATTACACTAAATGTATACCAGTGAACAATAATGTTTCGTTCTCAGAGTGGCGATTAAGATTAATAGGGAAATTGAACATTTTTTTTTATATCTTTAATACATTTGTTTATGTGTAGGAATTACGCATACCAAATATCAAAACTCAAAATCCAATATTTAATTTGCAATAAATAATTCAAGTTGTGACACCCGAATAGGGAATAGAACGACACTAAACGCGCGAGAATGATCGTGACGTCATACCGCTGCTTTTCGATCGATACGGCGTTATTCTCGGGTTATAGGCCGAGAATTATATTATTTACATTTTTTCCTCATGTAAAGGTGTGTTTGTATTTACTCTACGCCAGTTTGTGTGCTTTACATGATAATAATGGAAGCAACACAAAAACAATATTACAAACTCTTAGTGCACTCATCCTATTGCAGTCAGAACACTATTAGTTATCAATGTCAACATACTTAAAAATAAGTATTTAGGTTTCCACTAGTGGCTAAATTTTCTATAAACATAACTTTTAGCTTTAACATCGCGATCCTGAGCAAAAGAACAATTTTCGGGGTTTTGTTTTCTGTTCAGTTAAACTATCTCATACTTACTGTTTTTTTAATAACATCTAAATGATTCTTGATGTCTTGTGCTTTTTGTAGCACCGGCTGTGATACTGTTAATATGCACCTCACGCTAAAGAAACAGAAAAGAGTTTGCATTGTTTGTAGATTTTAGGTGCCCAATAGAATCCCTAAACTACTCGCCACTATGGAATTTGCACTCTTTAGACATTAGTGTAGTATTCTGATGACTTCTTTTCGCTGACTGAGCAATAAACCTGATGCGTAGAATTGTGCTTACTACTAAAACCAAATTCCTTCCATTCTCAAGGGGAGATTTCTGCAACTTCGACTTTTTCTAATAGGGAGAGGTCACGAACAAGTGAAAAAATGTGTTTACATTGTGATCACGTTTACAATTTCGGAAGTGCTTCACGAAATGGCTGTCAAATAGCTCGTCAAGCTTTTGAACGTAATTGAGCTCACACAAAGTAATTTCTTCGAAACATTTTTATTAAATAATATATATTATGTATATTAAGCGTTGTATTGTTTATTACTTTTCATTTATTTAGCGATTCATCTCAACATATGTGGTATTTTATCTAAATGCCTTTTATTTTCCCGAAAGTTTAAACGCAGCTTTAATTGTTGGAACGGGAAAGTCGCCGACAATAAGTTAATTAATTAAACAAATAAATCTTTCCGTTCCGTCCGGAAAAAATCGTTGAATAATTAAATGCGCGGGAACGCAGTAAATCAAGTTTCGAAATAATCGGCCAGATCGATTTTTCGCAGCCACCACAATACGAAACGCCGCGATTATCGGGGTCACATTATTAATGAATTTCAATATTATTGCCGTTGTCATCTGAACTTCCGATTTAATCGTCGTGATGTCACGCGCATGCGCTTCGTTTGTATACCCGAAAGTTTTCCAAATAGTTAATGTAATACCTACAAAAAATTATTTGGAGCCATTTGCACTTTCTGGATATTTTATTTATGAAGTAAGTGTTAATTTTTTTTCGCATATTTCCCTAATAAATATTTACTTGGAACTTTTTTATTTCCTGTGAACAACATTTGTTTCAACAAAATAATTTTTGCTTCTATCAAATAAATGTATGTGCGAGGGCAGCGACAAAATTTCCCGGCCTGAATGTGAAATAAACAAAGTATAGTAACAATTTTTTATTATTTTTCAATATAATCCCCCTTAACTTCAATACACTTATTACATCTCTTCATTAACAACTCAATCCTTTTAAAAATATATTCTTTTGGTTTGTCTGCAAAATGAGCTAAAACAGCCTCTTTTAAGTCCTTTTTCAAATATCGAAACAAATAATAGTCGCTGGGGGCCATATCTGGACTACAGGGAGGATGATCTATCTGTTGGAACCCACACTCTAAAATGGCAGCTTATGCAACACCAGCAGTGTGGACAGGTGCATTATCGTGCAGAAGACGCACGCCTCTGGTCAGTTTTTCTCAATTTATGTAATAATGTTGCGTAATATTTACCATTGACATTGATATTAGTTTCTTTAAAATGTATCAAAAGAATTCCTTCACAATCCCACAAGATCGTGGCCATCACTTTTTTGTTGACTGGCAGACTCTTTTCTTGGAGGTGGTTCACCGTTACGACGCCACTCCATTGATTCTTTTTTCAGGCTTCGGTTTCGACCCACAGAGTTCCAAAAAATAGCCGAAAGGTTTTTAGAAACCCATCTTGCACCAACCTTATGCATACCTAAATGATCATTCAGGAGTAAAAGATAAAAGGATAGAGCAAATAAAATGAGTTTAAATATAAATAACGCGCCACCTGTGTAATTGTGCATTTGTTAGCGGTGTGTTGACCAAGAGGTTCTAAGTATTTTAGGTTTTTGGTGGCAAATCCGTGACAGTTATTATAGGAATGGATATATTTTTCATTAAATCTGGCGTGGGTCATTTGTGGCCTATATTTCAGGTAAAATATTTCAGTAAAACTTAAAACATTTAAATATAATATGAATTATGTAGTATTGTATGTACAGAAGCCAGCACGATGACCATTGAGACAGCTTATAATGCCTAAATTTACAGCAATTTCGTGAATGACTTATGCGGTCCCTCCGTGATGGAAAAGCAAAGTTTCGGTTACGCCCTCGTATATAGCGGCCGCAATCCCCTTCCGCGTGGGCTGCTTCTGCGCCCTATTCGCGACACGTCGGCGCGCACGCGTCCCCTTCGACAACAGAAGGAGAGGCTCCACGCGTCATCATCATCCCCCGCGTCGAAATGCCTCATGGCGGGCGGTGACGCCCGCACCACCGAAAGAACGAACACCCGTCGCTGGCAGCAAAAGCAGCAGCGGCCGCTCCGCCAAATTACCGACAATCAAACCGGGAGGTTAGACGACGTCGACGACGACGTCGCATTATCAAGGCGGCCTCCGCGCGCGTACGTTTGTCTGTGTGTGTGTGTGTAGGGTCGCGTCTCTCTCGTCGTGTGGTGCCCACCGACTCAAAAGCTTGCTAGATTCGTGGCCGTGCGGTCGTGAATAGACGGCTGAGACTGGCAGTTCCGTTCGTTTGTTTCCGCGTGTCGCTCGATTATCTTGTCGCACCGCGTCCCATCGATCCGACTTCGTCGCGTTTTTGTGCGCCCTTTTCGCACCGTCGCACTTGGGGTAAGCGACTACGGAGGGCCTACTGTGCGGTCGGTCCCGAACCGGAAGAGGGTTCGGACGACGCGCACGGACCGATACTTTTTTCAAAACTAACCAAAACTAAATTTTTAGTGACCCCCTTGAATTAGGGTGAACTTGGAAAAGTCAAAAGCCATGTTTCTTAAAAAATAAAAAAATCACAATCGACAAAAAAAAAACAAAAATTTTCAAAGTTAATGAATGATATCTTTAAGTTGCCCAACTAATAGTTTTTCATCTCTCTATGCGTTTGACGTGTTTTATTGCGTTTTTGAACTTTTTTAAAGAGAAATTAAAAAGTGCGTGTATTGTTTGTTAATATTTTTGTGATTAAAAATAGTTTAATTTAATTAGCCGGTTTTTGTTTCCAGTTATGGAAAAATGAAGTAACTGTTTGCAAATAGTTTTTTTTTTTAATTTTTCTTTGGTGTAACTCGTATTCTATTGGAAAAATTCCTCTCTTACGCCGTTTTTATTAAAGTGCGTCGAAAAATAAATATAAAATTGCGAAAATAAATATAAAATTGCGAAAATGCAAGATGGGTCATAATGTGTAAAATAAGCGACGAAAACAATGAATTAAGATAGAATAACATTATAAATCGATCGAACTTGAATAGCTTGAATTAGGGGCTGTTTATTTTGAGAATTGAAAAAAATTTTTTTTTTCGCAGATACCCGCCTCCAAGGATGAACGCCTTTCGGAATTTCCAGGTTCCGTTCTAGTGGAAACTAGGAAAAAAAACTGTACTTACTCGGGTAGCATTATTGGGTCTCAGAAAAAAAAACAGAAAAAAAATCGCGACAATGAGTTCGGTGCTGTTAGAATCCAGGCCGTTCAGGCCGTTCAAGTCGAGCGAGGAGTACCTCTACGCGATGAAAGAGGATCTCGCAGAATGGCTGCAAACCATGTACCCCTTCCTGAACATAGCGGTGGACAATTTCATGGAAAAACTAGAGACGGGGGTGGCCCTGTGCGAGGTGAGTCAAATTTTTTTCATTCGAAATTTGAAAAATTACGCATCAAACCTTTAATAATTGTGTACGTGATAGATTTCACGGAAAATTCGTGAATAAGATAAGGGTTTCATTCCGTTATTGCTCCAAAAAAAATCTCCGAAATACCTATTATAGTTATCAGTTGATTATTTTTTGATACCTTTAATCGACCATTGGCGTAGCAACAAATTTTTAGACACCTTTTAGACAAAAGAAAGAAATCGAAAATAAACAAAAATAAATGTCGACGCCATCAGGTAGAAAGAACACTTTGTTTTTTAGGCGTTATGTGCGGTTTTTCATTTCAAAAGAATAATCAAAATAACTGGTGCATGCGCCTTTTATTTGGCGTCGTGGTTCGGTATGTTTCGGGGTGCGGAACACGATTCGCATGGTTTTTCGCACGTTTAATACGGGCGACCTTTCTAAGCGAATTTAGACGAGAAAAGAGAAGAAAACGGAACCACGGCCGTCGTACTATATCAGGTGTTGCGGCGGTTCTGACTCATTCCGTAATGCCGAACGATGTCCTTACGCGTATATAAACGTCTATTGGAACAATGCAAAGTTTCACGGTCCATCTCGACGCCGTCAATAATACAATCGATAAAAATGTTTCTCAGCTAAAGAAATCCGTATATGCCCCAGAAAAAAAATGCAAATTCGTGTTGAATTTGTTGGTTTAATTCCAACGGTTCGTTTCTGAGAAAATATCATCGTCAAATGACAAAAATACACATAATATAATTATACTGTGATCTATGACATCAGCGGATGATTGCACTTGGATTTAGTGGACGAGGGCGTTAATAAGATATAACTTTTTTTCCCTCTTTCATTTTAGTCACAACTGAACAAGGTTAATTATTAGAGAAAACATATTTTTAAAATAAATTGAGTGGCGGATGAACTGGCACTTGTCAAGTGTGTCGGATATACATATTTCAATCTCTTGCGATTTTTTCCATATTTTGACGAGGAATTTGGAAATGATGGGGAGTCCTAAGTTACCTCGAAACATATTTGCCGTTTGTTTGAGACATTGGGTTGCTATCGAAATAAGCCATCTTAGGAATTACGTAATACTTAATACATAATAATCATAATACTTGGTAAAAAAATGGTAATATATATATATATATATATATATATATATATATATATATATATATATATATATATATATATATATATATATACACAAAACGGTAGTCGTGACCGGCTAGTTGAACAACAAATTTTAGTTAATTGGGGTATCGGTCCTGATGAGGGCTCAAATAAAAGGCTTTTGTGCTACACCAAGCTTTCGAAAATGTTTATTTTCTTCTTCAGGGGCTACAATATGAAAGCGGCTCTTAGTTATTTAATACTAAAGTCTTCTAGTTAAAGTACTTACTGCTACAGTGCCATTATAGGCCAACACCAAACTCATCCGGATAACAGAAAGAATCAAATACGACCGTTAATTATTATAACCGAGGGCAGCCATCTAGACGAAATTGTTGTTACATTTTATTTAAACGAATTTTACTTCAAACGCAAAACGCAAATGATGGAAAGGTTTTATTAATATGACTACCGCCAGCCGTCCAGTTTTTTTCCCTTCTTTTTTTTCCTTTTGTTACCTCCTTTTTGTTTACAAGGCACCTAATGTATAGAGGCTTGGGACTATTTTTCTAAATTATAATTACATTGTGACGACACTATTATCAGCAAACGCAATTCGATTGACGGTTGGTTGTAAAGTTAAGACATTAGAGTAGACCACACTGAGGCCATCAATGTCAGATCTTTTATTGACCGATTTCGGTTCCAAGAAGATCTCCACCATTTCCAAAATTGCTCTTTTGTTGTAGTTGCTTTCTTTATGGAGAATTTTTGTTTCAACAAAGTTAACATCGTGATCCATTTGGTTAGAGTGTGTTGCTAATGAACAGGTGTTCTTATTGAGTCTGCAATCACTCTTGTGTGACGTAATTCTATCCTTAAGTACTCGCGATGTCTGTCCTATGTATACCTGATCACACTGATTACAGGGGATGCTATAAATTACTTCTGAATTCTTTTGTACCTCATCCTTATCTTTTAGTTTGCTAAAGACACTCCCCAATGTTTTTGTTTGTTTATATGCTATCTTAATATTTGTTTGTGCTCTCAGAATTTTTGTGAGTGTGGTCGTTAATTCTTTAATGTATGGCAATGAAAAATAAAAACATCTCAGATCGTCCATTTCTGGGCTATCTGAGTGGACGACCGTGTTCCGCGGGTTTGGAGCTCTCAGTGGGGTCGTGCTATATAACAATTTTTTAGTTAACCTACTTGGGTATGAGTTGTTAATCAGCATGTCGTAAAGCTTATTAAGATTTTTTTGTCTTAGTGATGGGTGAGAAATCCTCTCTATTCGTGTCTTTAATGCTATGACCAAATTTATTTTTGTTTTCGTTGTATGGTAAGAGTGGAAATTCATATATCTCCCCGAACTGGTCGGTTTTATGTACCAATCTAATATAATTTTGTTATCGTTGTTCCGGATCACTTTAGTGTCCAGAAATGGTACGCTTTTATCAATTTCCTCCTCTACTGTAAATTGTATGTGTGCATCATAGCTGTTAAACACTGTGAGAGTTTCCCTCACGCAACTTTCAGGTATGGAAGTAATTATATCATCCACATATTTTTTCAGAAATGGTAACTGAAACGACAGCTTATCTACGCACACCTCAAGTAGGTCATCCATAACGTATTGAGCTAATATTGGAGAAATGATGGCACCCATCGGTGTACCTAATTTTTGTTTGTAAAATTCATTGTTAAATCTAAAATACGTTGTATCAAATACAAACTGAAGTATCTTTAGGAAACTAATTTGTGACAAATCAGTGTGGTTTCTAATTCTGTTCCAATGTTTTTTTATACTTTTTTCTACCAAATTATATGGAATATTACTAAATAAAGAGACGACATCCAAGCTCACAAGAACATACTTATTAGGTAATTGTTTGTCATTGATAAATGAAGAAAACTCAAATGAATCACCTGTGAAATAATCATTATTCTTATTATATGCTTTGGTTAAAACCTGAGTCAACAATGAAGCCAGTTTACTGTTCGGAGCATTAATTGATGAAATTATCGGTCTTAAGGACAATTGGGGTTTATGTATTTTGGGTAAGCCATAAAATTTAGGACAAGTTTGATTATATATATTTAAAGTTTTGGCTACCTCATTTGTTAATTGTTTTTGATCTTTTAATGATTTGACAAGTTTGTTAGCTTTTTGTTGGTAAGTAGATGTAGGATCACATCTGAGACGCTCGTAATAGGTCCGATCCATCAGAATTTCGTTTGATTTTTGAATGTATGTATCTTTAGACATAATAACTGTCACATTCCCTTTATCGGCCCTAGAAACGACCAACTCAGCGTGATCCTTAAAAAATTTTTTTGTCTTTTTTAACAAAATGTCTATATAGCTACGCTTTGCCGGTTGTTTTAAAAAATTAGTCAATACATTAGTAAACTTAGCTCTTACAGTATTTTTTGCGTTCTCTGGTACAACTTTAATTATAGTTTCTACATCAGCAATTAAACGTTTGACTGAGATTTCATTGCATCTTGGTGGCACGGAAAATTTCGAACCTAAAGAGAGAAACCTCAAGACATCATCCGGGACCTCAACCTCTGAAATATTCTTAACCCAATTATCTTGTGTTTTGATTGTTAAGTGATGCTGTTGCGACTTCAAGTTTTGAAATTTGTTTATGTTCTTTTTTTTGATGGTTTTGAATTTTTTATCACATGACCCTTGTTGTCTTTTACCAAATTCGTCAACAACATCCCCCGGAATCAATGTCAAAACTTTCTCTCTTACTTGTTTCAGTGATTTTTCTATACGATTGATAGTTGAAATAGTGAGTGATATTTCTAAATTAATTAATTTGTTATTCAACCTGGTATTGAAATCCCGAATGCGGTCCCCCATATGTCCATCGGTCAAATCCAAAAGCATGCCCAAATTTCTGGTCCCGTCTGTAATGTGTCTCGGTATGATCCCTGTCTGTCTGCATTTGAGTAAGAATATCTTCCTGTTTCCAAACGATGATAGTTTGCTGCCGAGCCTGGCCCATTGTTTGAGTAGTGAAACTGCTTCGTTTCCATATCGAGCTTTTATTGATTGGAAAAACCCCATTCCTGTAAAATACACAACATTTTGTGCTCAACAACATTGGTTATAATAATTAACGGTCGTATTTGATTCTTTCTGTTATCCGGATGAGTTTGGTGTTGGCCTATAATGGCACTGTAGCAGTAAGTACTTTAACTAGAAGACTTTAGTATTAAATAACTAAGAGCCGCTTTCATATTGTAGCCCCTGAAGAAGAAAATAAACATTTTCGAAAGCTTGGTGTAGCACAAAAGCCTTTTATTTGAGCCCTCATCAGGACCGATACCCCAATTAACTATATATATATATATATATAAATTTATATTTTTTTTATTTACTTAGTGTGTAGTTTCTATGCCATAGAACGGAATTTCAATGTACAAACTAGCGATGCACTCAACGTCATAAAAAACTTTAGAGAACATTTTATATTTTTCAAACTTTTTGCGAAAAGGCGGGATTTTTTCAGTGCTTTACATTCATAACCTGTGTATTTAAAAAAATAAAACCCTACGCCAGTGACCCATAGAACAACGATAACGTTTGGTACCACTAACCAAAATTAAGCAACTTCTTGTATGTTCCACTTCATCTGCCGTTCAGTTTATTAAAATTCCTCATTGTTAGTGGAATAGGTGAAGGTTTGGTCTGGAAGAGTCTAAAAGATATGTATTGCCGGTAGGGTACAAACAGTCGTAGCAATAATTGAGTTACAAATTAAATGGTAATAACGAATCGTATAATGAAATTAAAAAATAAATAAATAAGAACTAAAAGTTCAGATTTTTACGAAATTATATGGTTTCATATGACAATTGTTTGGACAACACCGTGTCTTTATCAAATGTAATATTTATTTACAAACTACCTGCTAATATATATACCGAAAAATGACCATAAAACCTTAATTAATGTTGTTGCGAGAATTTAAGTTCACTAAAGGAGAGGTATTTAAATCTAATTGATCGTTAAGCAATACATTTGCATGTCTCATTTTGTTAATCTCCATTGCTTCCGATAAATTTAATTTTCTACTTTTTGTGGCTGTATGTAAAATATCAAAATTGCCGTCAAAAATGTGTTTTTCTGTGTTTAAGTGTGTAGCATAATTAGAATCTAGACTATTGTTTTTAAACGCTCTTTTATGTTGGTCAATGCGTTTCCTGAAGGATCTACCCGTTTGTCCAATATAAAGTTTAGGACAAGATCCGCATTTTAACCTGATTTTTGAGATTTTGGACATTTCAATTTATTGTTTTTTAAATATTTTCTCATTGTGTTGTTAGTTCTGAAAGCTATTCTTAAACCACATTTTGACAAATGTTTTGAAACTTTTTCACTGGGTTCTCCTATGTTGTTTTAAATTGTTGGTGTTGTGTTTGGATAAATAGAGTTTACTGTTGTCTGAATTTGTTTTTTATTTATAATTTCATCGATAATGGACGGATTGTAGCCGTTGTTCAGTGCAATTTGTTTAATGATATCGAGTTCTTTGTTGTAATTATCTTTTGAGAGTGGCGTATTAAGAAGTCTGTATGTATAACAGGATGAAATGCAGCCATTTTGTGTGTACAAGGGCGATTTGAGCTGTTGTGGATGACTGTGTCCTTGTGTGAAGAATAAATAAATTAGAATCTTTTTTTATCTCTCGTTTAGTCTTCGTACGCGGGTGTTCTAATAAACAAAATTGCTAATGCAAAAATGTGTTACAAGGCCGTACGCTTTATACCACTAGAGATCTAACATTTGCAAAAATGTGTTATTATTCCGTCCGTTGCCAAAATCGGTCCTCGCGGAATAAGGTTAAGTGGTTCCTTGTGGTTCTCGACTGGGTCGAGGTCGTCGTCGCGAACGCGGGGCGAAGACGAATGGGGACGAATATTATTCGACCCGCGCCCGTCGTCGCAGGAATTTTCGCCGCTGCAGGGTTCGCTCTATTGTTAATTACCGCTATAGGTGTATCTTCTGTGTCTATATCCTCGGTCACTTTCACCGCAAACGGCCAAACGGCCGGTCGTCGTCGATTAGGCTCGACGACCTTGCCTCTTCGTAACACCTTGACGGTAATAAATTAACTATTATACAATGTGGTGTGATGCTAAAGATTTTTTTACTCCATTCGCCGGAAATAGTATATTTCCTATATGTTCCTCAAGACTTGGAATCGTTCTTTCTTCTAGAAGCGTACGGGAAAGACAAGTTAAATGACAAAGATTCAATGTTCTAGATTTGGGACAGTTATGAGATAGCTGTAGAACTTTATCCATGATTAGACTCCACAGCTTGGTCTGACCGTTGTCACTTGTTGTTATTCGCCTTAGATGCCTCCTAAGTGACTCATCATTATCTTTACCATTATTCTTATGATCTTTCTTTTGTAGCTTGTTGAGATTCCCTTTTCATGAATTTCTTCATGACTGATTCTGCAATGGGCTTAGCCACCCCACAAAAGTGTTCTGGTCAAATGATGCGTCTTGACGAATGTTCGCTGACTACTTCGTCTGCGTTTTCGTCACCTTTGTGGCCTTCGTGCTGTTACTTTTTCATTTTTATATCTCTTACACAGTATTCTAGTGCGGTAATCTCTGCTTAGAACACTGTTGTTACCTTGTTGGGTTTATATATTGCAGCTTCTACTCCCTCTTGAGTTTTTGAGCCATTTCTCTAACACATTATTTATATGTGAAAAAAAAAACGTTCATTAATTTGATGACAGCAACTATCCTACTCCATAATGTTGCAAATTGCTGATGCCAAAAGATCCTTTAAGGCAGCAGTATAGGTGACTCTTGATTTGCTGCTATGGCCCGAAATAGATCCTACCTCTTGATTTTCGGGAACGGTGACGGCAAATTTCTCGTTTGAATAAGTGGATGGAAGGGCTTTTTGGGACCCTTTTTCAAAAAACTCGTTAGCTTCATAGTAGTGTAAACGCGCACTTATTTAATTTTGCGCATAGTTTTTCGGCGATAGCAAGGATGTCTTGTTTTTTTTATTATAATAGTATAACGAATATAAAATGGAGGATGGTGTGGTACGAAAGATTATCGTAACGTTTTTAATTTGATAAGCATTGTTCGGGTTCTCCAAACGCCACGGCGAAATTAAAGCAGAAGATTGCGCGTTCTGGCTTTTCTTTTCGACTGACTGACTATTGAGCTCGGCGCTCCGCGTTTATAGAACGCAGCGTGTGTTTAGGATAGGGGTCAAAAATTCGAGTTTTGTTCCAGAGAAACGACGTCCGAGTTCTTGGAATGTAGAGAGCGTTCAATCAGAGCCGGGCTCATCCCATTTCGCTCAATCGTCACATTATTATCAAAAATATCTTGCTTTGAAAACGAAGCGGGGACTTTAGGAAGCAACGATATTATCGAAAATTAAAATAGTCACTCTTGCGCAGTAAATAATAAAAAAAAGTGCTCCGGAACGGCAAGGCAATTAACGAATGAATTCCATTTCGCCCACGTCCGAAAAACGTATCGTTCGTTATTAAGAGGGTAATCAACGTTTTCGATAGACCCGAATGCGTTTGAATATTAAAATCGATCCGGTCAATCACAATAAAAATGTTCATGTAAATCGCCGATCGTTTTGTATGAATAATTTAGTTTAAATACCTCGCGCGTAAATAAGACTCAAAATTAATCGATGCGATTAAATCCTAATCCTACGACACTTTTGCTAGAGGAAATTATTTCAAAAAATGGCTTATTAAGGTACAAGCGGGCTTTAAAACGCACGCCGTTGCATATTATACTTTTCGACACAATTTTGCAAAACAATACTAATACATTTACAGCCTAGTCCGAAGTTTCTCGCAGCCATAGGTAACGAAACTGACGTCATAAAATGACCTCTAATTAATTAATATTAATCATGAGTTTGATTTGACTACAAATGAAAGTGAAAAAATTCTAAGTAGTTCCGCATATAACAAACGAAAACCGAATTTTGGAAAAAGAAGTACAAAACAATATCAAATAATAATAATAAAAAACTAAGTTAATAAAAGATGAAAAAAAAAACAATAAAAATTCTTCCAGCCGGAAGAGTCTGACTGATAGAAAAACAATAGAAAAATGACACGTGATTATTTAAGTGGGCGTCGAAAACGCCACCCTGTAGACACCAGCAGAAGTAATCGTTGCTCGTACCAAATGGACTAGAGACACGCGAGATTTTTTTGTTTCTTTTGCAAAAAACAAAGAGTTTTACAACAACACAATCTTTGCGTGTGTGTGTTTGAATACATATTCTGCGTCTAGGCAGAAACAGTTAGGCATTAAATGCGATCGCGTACCATAACAGATCGTTGTGACTCAACGCGGACGCGCTTCAGCACCGGAGGGATTCCTTTTTCGTCGATTCCGGTGGAACTAATATTAGTCCGCGTTCTGTGTCGCGAAATTTTTAGTCCAAAGTTTCGCGATGCGGAGCCAGGATAATCTGCAGCGAATGCAAGTTATTGTATGGACGGGCGAAGTTCCGCAAGGACCTGTTTTCGGGCCTCGACTTCGTAAAATGTTGCACACGGAGATTAGAAAATTAACTCTACAATGTTCCTTGATGATCGGTAGTTTTCTTAAACGTTTTCGGTAAATTTGAACGTATTTGTGCCAATTAAAATGCATTTGTTAAGAAGCTAATAGAATTTTTATCAACAAGGTTATTATTAAAAAGCCTTCGGTTTATTTAAAAAAAAATCGCCTTTAAAGTCTGTGAAAATGTAATTAGGAATTTTAGTGGTTTTAAAATAAACAGTTTCATTTGCAATAAAATTTGGCCTTGCGTTTTCTCGAAAATGGAGCGAGGTGTGAAAAAATTACCTTATATGTGCGACACAAGGCCATATTTTCAAATTTTGTAGCGAAAATTGAGGCCCAAGCCCCTCTCTTTCTTTCCTTCGGTAATTAAACACGTTTTGAGTAGCGTTATGTTTACTCTAGGATCGTAAAAAATCGCCGAACTAATCAATATTCAAATTCTGATCGTTAAGTAATTAGAGGGCAATTAAAATCTCGACGGT